TTGAGCCCAAGCAGAGCGTCGTCACACAGCAGAAGGATAAGCAGGTAATGTGCCACATGCTGACTTTATTTACAAGCTATGCTGAGAGCATACAAACATGCATCCTGCCTCTGTGAGAGCAGAGAAGCAACTGTCTCTCTAACAAAGAAATCGAGAGAACACTGAAAAACAGGAAACCAGTGTACATCACATCCAGTCTCCCATTCCCGTGGGAACCAACAGTAACTCTGACTGTGGAATGCAAAACAATGTCTTGTGACATGCATTCGCTGCTCAGTGAGGAAGCAGAAACCAACAATTTCTACAAATGATATTCAAGAGAGATAAGAACAAATAAGACATCATAAACATAACATGCAATATTGTAAAAGTCACAATATATAACAGCAAATATATAGAAAGGTAGAGACGATAAAGGAGCAAGTTCAATTTTGAACATTGTACTGCCAGAACAAAGAGCACTGAAAGTAAATTAAGCTAGCTGGTAAGCAAAAATAAGTTAAATATTAAAAAGCCAGCAAAATGGAACAGGGTTTGCCCGGTGCCAGAAGAAGAAGAAGAAGAAGAAGAAGAAGAAGAAGAAGAAGAAGAAGAAGAAGAAGAAGAAACCATGCATATCAACCACTGAAGCCTCCTTCCCAACAAACAATCACCTGATAAATGGATGTGGTAGCATCTGGAGAAGGGTTCTTTGACAAAGACTGCAGCTGCAGTTTGCACAAGAATCACTCAGGTATATGGAAATCTGCAGGTGGTTGCCTGATACCTCAAGTTCCACAAATGATATAAATGTACTCTTCTTTAAAATGAAAGCTGGAGCTCTGAAGATTATGGTTCACCTTAGGGGACAACTCTCCCACCCCAATGTGAATGCCCATGCTCAGGCACCATGTTCCAAAAGCATTTGGGCTTCATAGCTCAGAAGTATCACCTTTAAATGCACCTCCTGGACATACTGTGAGCTAGTGAAGCTCTTAAAAAAATATGTTCATAATGACAACCCACCCCATCAACAGGTTCTTTGCCATATTTTTCACTTTTTAATGGTAGCCCTGTGTACCACACATTATGACCTTGGCCCAGTGTCTCTACCCCTATCGCTCAGCCCAGACACTGAGGTCCAGTGCCAAGGGCCTTCTGGTGCTTCCCTCATTGCAAGAAGTGAGGTTACAGGAAACCAGGCAGAGGGCCTTCTCGGTAGTGGCATCTGCCCTGTGGAATGCCCTCCTAGCAGATGTCAAGGCAATAAACAACTACCTGACTTTTAGAAGACATCGGAAGGCAGCCCTGTTTAGGGAAGTTTTTAATGTTTGATTCTATTTTTAATATTCCGTTGGGAGGCGCTGGTGATAACCACGGTCAGTTCATTCAGTTCCTGGAGAAAATGCAGCTGCTGTACAAACTTAAGTTGGGAAAAGTCAGTGCAAGCCCCAGATCCTGTCTTGGCCATCCAGCAGCAAATGTAGATTGAGGACTACCAGCAAGCTGCCACCTTGATTCCTGCATTGCAGGGGGTTGGCTTTAGATGACACATGGAGTCCCTCCCAGCTCTACAATTCTAAGAGTACAATCCACTCTGTACAGGTTTTAGTGTCTGAGGACTTCCTGTGACCAACTCTTGAAGGTTTGTTCCTTTCTCCTTTGTCTGTGGGGAAAGGGTACTGTGGTTGATTGATGGTAAGGGAAAGGAACCTATTCTAAATCCCTTATTGTTATTGCTACCCCAGGATCAACACTGAAATAAAAAAGAGATTCTAGTGAGGAGGAGACCATCTACAATTGAGTCAGACCATTGTTATATTTAGTTCCGTCTCTTCCACACCAGGGGTAGCCAATGTGGTACCCTAGCCAGCATAACCAATGACTAGGAATTATGGGAGTTGTAGTCCAATATCGGGACGTGGGTGGCGCTGTGGGTTAAACCACAGAGCCTGGGACTTGCCGATCAGAAGGTCGGCGGTTCGAATCCCTGCGACAGGGTGAGCTCCCGTTGCTCGGTCCCTGCTCCTGCCAACCTAGCAGTTCGAAAGCACATCAAAGTGCAAGTAGATAAATAGGTACTGCTCCGGCGGGAAGGTAAACGGCATTTCCGTGCACTGCTCTGGTTCAGAAGCAGCTTAGTCATGCTGGCCACATGACCCGGAAGCTGTACGCCGGCTCCCTCAGCCAATAAAGCGAGATGAGCGCCGCAACCCCAGAGTCAGTCACGACTGGACCTGATGGTCAGGGGTCTCTTTACCTTTACCTAGTCCAATATCAGAGGAGCACCACATTGGCTATCTGTTGCGTATACAGACGGGCCCTGGAAAGCTACGGCCAGTCGGTGTAGACAATACTAAACCAATAATGGGAAGCAGTTAAAAGGAAGCTTTCTATGTCCTTTTCCAGTTGTGAATCCTCATGAGCATTTTAAGCTCTGATGTGCATTCTGCCACAGACCCACATCTCTTTCTTTGTAATGTTCTTTTATAGTTTATTTAATCATCATTGTCAGGTACCAGACACACAAAGTTTTTTCTTCTCTTTCTGCCCCTTGTTCTGCCTGTGTTTGGCCTTTTGCATTATTATTTTTTTCTAGTTACCTTGGGTTATGCTTCTTGTATGTGCAAGTTTAATTGCATGAAGAGCCGAACGTCAAGGCACTTTTAATTAATGCCTTAAGAAAGGTATAAACTGGAGCTCAGAAGATGAAAGCTCGGCATTTGACTAATTTAACTAAATCACACATTCAGGCACTGCCATAGCTATAAGGACAAGACCCTTTGCCAACTGTTTTTGCACACTTTGAGAATTATTCTCTTTTCTTCAGAGAGTCTTATAATATCGACATTAAAGTAAGCTCCACGGTGGACTTTCATGTTCAAAGTTCTTTTCATTTTTCTCCCTTCTTCAGATCTGATTAAAACCTTCAAACTTGCAAGTTGACATTCTTCTGCATATTGGAAAGGAGCGGGTAGGGAAGAACTGATAAATCTTTCTGCCTTTTGGGATCCCCCTGCATGAAAGATATTCTGCAGGGCTACAAAATATGCTATGGTGTTCACCTAGAAAAGTGGGTGGTGGTTTTAGTGGGGAATGTGGTTGAGGCAGACAGATAGCATTAAACTGAAATTTATAGTATTCTATTCTAGGCACTTTTTAAAAAAATCCACATTGTTGTAATATGGAATTTTCCATGTCCCATGTCACTTGATTCCCAGTATAAGAACTGCTCATGTTTAACTCAATCAGATTGAAGGATTTCATTGGTTATATTAGCCAGGCTCCTCAGAATGCAAGGATTCAAAGACTCCATTAAACTAATATGAAACGATTAATCTTAGGGTCGTGGGTTAGAGCCCCACAGTGGGCCAAGGATTCCTACATTTCCAACTCTACAGTTCTATTATTCCGTGAATAACAAAGCTGAAAGGGTTCTGACTTAGTTTTTAAACAAATCTACCCTGCCTTTTCTCCAGGCAGCTCAAGATGGTAAACATGGCCTTCCCCACCAGTCTTCCATTTTATCTTCACAATAATCATGGGAAGTCCTTAAAGTGGGAAGACAGTGAGTAGCCCATGCTTGCCCTGTGAGCTTCATGACTAAGTGAGGATTTGACCCTGATTCTTCCTGGCCCTAGGCTGATACTTTAACCACTACAGTACATGTATAGGGTCATACATGTAACCTTATGCCACCTTCCTCCCTCATGAATGGGTAAAGTTTTCATAATATGTGCATTTTAGTTATAGATGTTCATATTTTACTACTTAATTACTTAATTGGTTTGTGTACTTGTAAAACAGCTAAGAAGCCTATTTTGCCATCAGGCAGTTCTGTATGGGACAATGACAATAAAGATATCATATCGTATAATTAAATTGTTGCCATCATTATTATCTAATAAAAGGTAGCAGGAAATGCTTGTTTGTGATAAAAAATGACCCATGCTCTTGCCACATGTAAAGTGTGGTTGTGTGAATTCACCCTGGCTTTCATGTTGGAACTGAAGACTGCCTAGGATCAGTTCTTAGAAGCTTTGCTCCCTAATCCTAAATAGGTGAGGACAGGATATTTGTGCATAGTTACAAATTTGGGGATACTTTTCTTCACTGCTACTCCACATGTTGCAGAAATCAACGGCAATTATGGGTCCTCTTGAACACATTAAGCCCAATTATGCATCCCACAAAGCTATGGTACATTTCTTTCTTTGTACATGAATGTGTTGAGTGTGTTCCTCCTCTAGTTTATTTAACCATTCGGTTTAAAAGGGTGTATATGACCAGAGGCATCCTGCATAGTAGATCATAGATGAAAGTTCCAGTGCAAAGCAGAACAACCTTAGCTAGAAAACACAAACTCTTGCCTGATGAAAAACAAACTAAAAAATGTGTTGCACAGTAGTTAGGACATCTTGGCAGTGACAATTCGTGTACCACTAACAGCTTATGTGGTTTTGAGGCTTTACAGCCTTTGGGTAAAGAATTGTTCTGAGTGCTGCTGATACTGCTATTGCTTTGAGCGTCCTCACACATATTTTTTCATGGCATTAAATCATTCTTTTATAAACAATGGTTTATAATAAAACTGCTTCGTTACCACTGGACCCATCCCAAGCTCCTTGACTCTAAAATAAGGGTAAAGCTGGGACATATCTTACAGAGATCAACTATACAGAAATATACAAATACCAGAAGGTGGGCTGTATTAGCTGGGGAAAGCTAATATTTTGGCCCTGGTTTTATTTTTCTGTTGGAGAAGGAGTATTTAACATCCCCATTATAATCTCTCTAGGCTCACCATTGGTGATAAGATTCTTTCACAAGCCACTGTAAAGGACTCCTATTAATGGAAATAGAAGTGATGCAAACTGTAATTTTCTAACATCAAAAATGAATGGGAGAATTTATTCCCTCAGCTACATATTCTGATTCCTGCAATGTGAGCACCAGCTATGAAGCACATATTTGAAGTTTACAGTCCATACATTTCCATTCTGATGATAGGAAATTTCTTTGGAAGGGCATTAGCTCAGTGCTAGAGTATCTACTTTGCATGCAGAAGGTCCCAGGTTCAGTTCCTGGTGTCTCTGAGTAGGGCTGAGAATGTCCCCTGGAGAGTCACTGCCAGTCAGATGGATCAATGGTCCTATGAGTGTAATCATAGGGAGATTACCCCTGTATATGGATAATCTCCGTATGGGCTGTTGCTGCCATTTTGTGGCTGGACCTGCCCTCCAGCTGCCATTTCATCATTTGCCCTGGCTGATGGGAAACATCATTCCATTATAAGTTTATTTTTTAGTAGATTCCGTAAACCTGACATTGTCCAAATTAGTTTATTTGAAATATGTGGTTGGAAATTTGCAGCATCTATCTATCATCTATCTATCTATCATCTATCTATCATCTATCTATCATCTATCTATCATCTATCTATCTATCTATCTATCATCATCTATCTATTTTATATATTGCCCTTCATCCAAGGATCACAAGGCAGTTTTCAGTGTAAAAGCACAAAAATCCATAATATAATAAAAGACAAAACAATAGCGTCCCCCAGTTTCAAACGGCATAGATTGTTTAATTGGCCAAAATCCTAATTAGCCAAATCAACCATTGTAAGATGGTTTCGTAACAGTGATAAATCTAAGGTAACATGCTTTGTATGCTACTGTCAGACAGGCCCTCTTGGTATGCAACAGCAGGGCTGAAGGGAAGGTGATAACACTTTCCCTGAAATTTTAATATCTGTTCAATTTGGCCCACAGATTCTAACCTGCAGCACTGTAGCACATTCCAGTATGCATAAGCAACTTCATGCTCTGGCTTGATTAGGTGGAGGTCCTGAAAGGTAAAATGAAGGTTAGAAAGGGGCCCCACAGAGCAAAATATGTGAGAAACACTGGTTTGCTTGGCCAATCTTATGGGTGTATTCCTTCTGTGATAAGTAATGGTCAAGAACACAAGCAGTGACTCATTTCTTCCAGAAGAGTCATCCCAAATGAATATTTATCCCAAATGGCTGTTATCTATTTATGAAAGAGGGGCTGTTTAACTATCTCATATACAGTTGATTTATCTTCGTAATGTGGAACCTCTTAATGACCTCTCCTTACTTACATTGTTAAACTTTTATTCAAGTACAATTTGAAGCCAAATAAATAATTTTACATATTTTTAAAGGTCTGATATCACTATAACTCTACTATAGTGAACTCTTGGCTTCATTTATGGGGTTGAATCTAAATTAATATTAATATTTCTTAATCTTTTTTCCCCACACAGCCCTATGCATGTTTGCTCAAAAGTAAGCCCCTCTGGAACTTATTTTCCCTGAGTTCAGTGGAATTTACTCCCAGGTAAATGCATACAGTGGTACCTCGGGTTAAGAACTTAATTCGTTCTGGAGGTCCATTCTTAACCTGAAACTGTTCTTAACCTGAAGTACCACTTTAGCTAATGGGGACTCCTGCTGCCACCGCCGCACAATTTCTGTTCTCATCCTGAAGCAAAGTTCTTAACCCGATATACTATTTCTGGGTTAGTGGAGTCTGTAACCTGAAGCGTCTGTAACCCAAGGTACCACTGTATTGGACTGCAGCCTGCATATTTTCCAGTCTTTACAATGAGAGTGAATCTGAGGCTGTGTAACACAATGTTTCATTCTAGAATCAATGGAGATGGAGTACTTGTCCACACACAACCTAGATCTATTGTATTCTTTTTCCTTTTTGCCCTTGAAAAGTGCTTCTTGAGAAACTGGCTTCATTCCAAATATGAAATATCACTGCATATCGATTTTTGCATTACCCAGCAGTGTGCTTATTTGAAAATGTATGTAGGGGGTCTCGGCTATTGAAGTTGTATCCTCAGCAGCCCAGAGTTACTTTGGGTGGATGTATAACAAGATTGTAATTACTCCTTATTTGTTCACCTGGAGCATTTTCAGGGAGACAAAAGCATTGATAACCTAAAGAAGGGAAGGGTTTTAAAATACATTTTAAGTACTCACACCCACCCTTTGGATGGCAGGATCGAGAATCAATCTAGACTGAAAAAAGCATGTTGAGGACAAGCGTGAACAATTCCAGACTGAGAAAACCTGAATTTGTGCTACACAAGTGTGCATGAGCTCAGAAATGTTCCAGAGTTCCTGTGCTCCAAAACAGCATAGAATAAAAAATAAATCATTTCATTGTCTCTGGCAAAGTTATTTATTTGTTTCTGTCATGCTTTCAACCAGTGTTTGAATTTTTGGAGGAAAGGTGGGGTCTCTTCATAAAACTTCTCCCCCCCCCCTTTTAGCCCCATCATGGCTCCTTTAGGCTTCTAAAGACATAGCTAAGGGGACTACAACAAATGTTAAGGGGATGGCACTCCCTCACACACATATTATTTAAACACTGCTTTCAGCCACTAATATATTGCCCTTAACTGGGCTTGAATCTTTGCATTTTTGGATGCTTGTTCTAAATCCTTACAAATAAGGGAATCAGTTCCGCCACAATTTTTCCATCTGCATATGAAGAGTAAGACTGCCAATCAACCAGACCCAAGCTGACCAATTTTTGCTTTTAGGATTGTTACTAGAAAAGCAAAGGGGCAAAACTGCTGAGTGTGTGTTATCACCCAGTGATAGCCTGGGCAGCAAGGTCAGCAGCCAGCTCTGAGTGCTGATATACATTGAGCAGTTTGATGACACAGTACAGAAGTAGTCAATCCCCATTCTGCTACTTCACGAAACTGTCATGGAAGGTTGTTGTGTTCCCTTCCTGTGCGCCTCAGCACTCGGAAGCTCAAGGTGCTGGGATTCAGATATGGAAACGTTAAATTCAAAATTATTTTGCATCCTATAGTTCTGAGAAGCACCAGAAACCCGTCATCAGCCTTTCTGAGTTCAAGCTACCAATAGTGATCTGCTAGCTGGTTGCTGGGGAACAAAACAAAGCAATTGAACAAATATGAAGAAGAAGAAGAAGAAGAAGAAGAAGAAGAAGAAGAAGAAGAAGAAGAAGAAACAGCATCAGACAAAATCGTACATATGAGGGTCAGCAGTAAAATCAATAAATATCTTAGGAGAATAAATTCATTCCATGTAGTTACTCTGTATAGGTCAAGCAGAGTTCTTGGGTTAGGAAAGTCTACAAGTGCATGAGACCATTGGTGGAAACAGCCTGACCCTTGTATCCACCAACTTTATAAATCTTAAAGAGTGGGGTCTCTGAGGCTAATCTTAGGACCTGGGCGTATGGCTTTAAGAAGTCATTCAAGTGACTGGGTCCCAAATGGTTCAGGGTTTTAAAGATTAATATTGGAATTTTAAATTGAGCCTTGTGGAAGACAGGAGCCTTGTGGAAGACAGGAGTGCCTGGCGTGCTTTGCTCCATGGGGTCACGAAGAGTCGGACATGACTAAACGACTAAACAACAACAAAATGAATAGGTACACAATGCAACTGTTGTGAAACTGGTGTGTTAAGATTAAACTGCCTAGGTCCCACCAGCGTTCTGGCAGCTGAATTTTGCACCACCTGAAGTTTCCAGCAAACCTTTAAAAACAGCCCTATGCAGAGAGCATAACTGTCGTTTGGTCTAGAAGTAACCAACACATGTGTAGCCATGGCCAAACTGATTTCTCCAGACAGGGTCTCATCTGGAGAGCCAACCTAAGCTGGTCAAAGTCATGAAAGTAAACTGCAAAGAAGACACATTGTGAAAATAAGCAATTGCTCATTGCAATCAATAACTCCCTGAAAGGAATAATAGTGGCACAATATTGTAATGATGCGCCTACATAGCTCCCATATGCTTGAAAAGGTACATTTTCAATTGACTGGGCCTTTAAAGCAAAGGAACCCCCAAAATAACATGGTTTAAGTCCATAATCACCATTTCTGAATATACAAACAAGGATGTTGATGGTGAAATGCCAGATTAAAAAAATGTATTTTGGGTTTAAATAAAAATCTGCTTTCTACTTCTTGGATAAGAAAGAGTCCAAAGTGTTTAGTGAAATGATCTTTCATAAGTTATTAGCATCATTTGAACTGAATTATTGCAGTCACTCAGCTCCATCTTCTGGTCTCCAAATGCACAACACCAGTTTTTTAATATGTACATGGATGGAGTGGAGTTTGGTTTTGGTTGAATAGCTGTCTTATGAAACATTAGCAATCATTTATATTGCAATGTTTAGTGTGCAAAATGCATGAATAGTCCGTTCTCCTTTCTGAATCATTATCCCCCTTCCCTGTAAAGAAAACCGAGGCTAATAGACAGATGGCTATATAAATAGTTTGTTCCACCCTTCCTACAAGGAGTTCAAAATGGCTCGCTGAAATTATTTGAAACAGGTTAGACTCAGACGGTGACTTGCTTAAAACACCACGCTAGCCACAAACCATACTGGACCATCTTTTGATTTGGCAAACCCACCCAAGGGAAGTGTGACTTTCAAGCTACATGCTGTTTGTTTGGGGAAGGGCTGGGCTTAGTGGTAGAGCAGCTGTTTTGCATGTAGAATCCCCAGCATCTCCAGGTAGGACTGGGAAACACCCCAGTCCGAAATGCTGGAAATCTGCTTCCAGAGAGCATCAACAATACTGAGCTAGATGGACCAAAGATTTGACTTGGTGTAAAGTTGCTTCCTAAGTTCCTGATTGTTCTCTGGTCCTGACTCCTGGCTGGTTCTACCCCTTCTGCATTCTTGTGTTGTCATCCGATCGCAATTGTTTTCCAATTCTGATTTCTAGCTCCCAGTTCCTGACTCACTCTGGACTGCTGCCCATAGCCCGTCCTTGACAGTTAAGCAGGAAACTGGTGATGTTTAACTGTGGGTAACAGTAGTGTGTATGCTAAAGTCTGCTGAAGGGTAGTGAGACGAATGTTTGCAATGGAGGGAGCAGATGTTCCAGACTGAAAGGTCGACCCTGCTGTGAAGGCATAGCAAAATACCTATCTGTGAGGGCAGTGAGAGAGTCAAAAATAAAAATACTATTTAATAATAATATTCACAATTGGAAATAATAATAATTATTTTTAGCAATGAGAAGAAAATAGAAGTGTGTGCCACATAATTAGGCTATGTATTAATGTATTGGACTGTTTACAATGTAGTCACAAGAAACAAAATACTGATAAAGACAGAAAGAGAAAACTGAACACAGCTGTAAAAAAGCCTAAAAACTAGAGACAAAATTGGCAAAATCCCGTTGAGACTTCAAAACCCCTAAGCAAATAGCAGATTCAATTACTATGGTCATTCCTGCTCAGTATGGCAAGAGTTAGAAGAACAATAAGACATACCACCAGAAACAATAATATTAATCTCTTGTCGCCATACATGGCACCATGAAAATACCCAAACATAGTACAGAAATGGAACTGGTTGTATTTCACTAAAAAGGACACATGCAAACTTATTCCCCTCCCCCCAAAAAAGAGCTTGCTTCATGATTCAGCTAAGATGTTAAAACTTATTTAGCAGCTGTTCCCATTCCCTGTAAACTGCATGGCTTTCCGTTTATATTCCTCAGCCGAGCGTTGTAAAGAGTTCATAGCTGAGCTATTAAAAAAGACCCCCTGCTGCTGCTCCAGCTAGAATCTGAGCAGCCCGGATGGGCTAAGACATGCTTTCCTGTCAAAGTGACATCTCTGTTTCAGGCTGAAGAGAAATGGCAGAGTCACCTGCTTCTTGGGTTCTCACCAGCTGAAAACTCTCAGTGGATCTTGTAAGCGTGACTTCACTACGTTGCTACGTTTCAGACAGTAGGCAAGAAAAACGTGGGGTGGGGTGGGGGAGAGAAGGAGAGATGGCGGCTGTAGCACCACCCGAGTACCAACTGCATGAGGCATATAGGGTTGTTTATCTGTGCACCCAGGTAAGATTGAGTTCCTGTGCTGAAACTGCGTTTTGGCATTGTGCTAGGGACATAAGCCTTTTTTTTGAATTGTGTGCATCAGGGGTTGACAGCATGACACCCTTGGGTGCCAACATGCCCACCAGTACCTCCTACTGCATGTGTGAAATCTCTCAGTGAATATTCCCTGAAAAATCCACAAAGTATACAGGACTTTTTCTTCTTTGCATAGGGACTCACCTCTCCTATATCCTGAACACATCCAGTTAAGCAAGCCTACATTTCATTGGGGGTTTTTTCCCACTGATGGGAGGAGAGGGGAGCAAGGCTGCATCATTTTGTGATCCTTTTCCTTCCTGTGCTTTTTGATGGGACAGTCAGTTTGTGCTACTTCACGCCCCTCCCCCAAACAGTCTTTTCACAACTGGGATCCACACAGCAATTCCTCAAAATATCAAATGGCCTCCGAAAGGTTAAGCACCCCTGGTGGACTGGTGCAGAGAGAAAGCCTACAAGGCTGGCTGGCTGGCTTCTGCTTCTGTCTCTTGCAGGAAAGGCTATATGACAAATAAGAACGAAAGCAAAATATACAGACAGACATTCGTATGAATAGTCACAGTAAGAATAGCAGTGAAGATGCTTTGAGCAAATGTGAACAAAACTACCCAAAACTCTAAATCAGTGTAGAAGATGTGCTTTTATATTTGGAGAGGAAACACACATTTTTGTCTATTTCTAGATTGTAAGCGTCTTGGGACAGGGACTAGCTCACTCATTCATTGTACAGTATAACGTACAGGAATGAAGCTACATTATTAATAATACCAAACAACAAGCATATGGAAAGAAAATGAAAGGTTTTTGTTTATTTTTTATTTTATTTTTTGTTAAAATAAAGCAGCATTTACACTTTGGTGAAAAACCCACCTCTGTAATTTATATTACAATATCCATACTGAAAAACAAAATAGAAATCAATTAATTGGTTTTGCAAACTTCTGTAGCAATATATTTGCTCAAACAGATCTCATTCAGAAAAATAATTACTGTCCACTACACTCTATGACTGCTACTATTAAAAAGACTGGCATTTTAAAAAATAGGGGAAATGTTTGTTTGGTGATATTGTTTATCTGTTTGCATTTAACTACTACTTACATTTAGTTTTCTTAGAAAGATGTCATTTACAAACAAAACTATACCAAAAAAAAAAAAAAAGCCTCTGTCCATGACACAAACTTGCAATCTGCACATGACTTGCAGAACACAGTAAACCAAGGTTTGGCATAGCAACTTGTCTGAACCCACTCTTGTGACTAAACTTTGTTCTCGCTAGCCACAAGCTGTAACCAAGGTTTGCTCTTGCTTTAGCTCAGCATGCTGCTGGACCAAAAGGGAGCTTGCATGTTCATGCAGGCTTGCTAAGCTGTAGTTTGGCTTGCTGTTGTGTTGAACAAGACCAATATGTTGAGTTTGGTTCCAATGCTGTGAACTGTAGCAGCGTGCCAGAAAACCCAAACAGGTAGGTGCAAAGAAGCTATCTGACTATCTGGTGTCGCTGCACCCAGGAATTCAGCCTGCCAAATCATTTCTAATACATTTATTTAGAGCCTTTCTATATCACTGTCTGCCAAAGGTGACCTCAAAGCCACTTTGCATATAACAGTCACACAATTTCAATGCAAATCATAAAAGGCAATAAAAACACCAGCCATAAACAATGAAAACCAATTCATCAAGAACAGTTGAGTGTGTAAAGCTCTCGAAAGGAAGCAAGCAACAGAAACTGGGCGTCTTCACGCATTTCTTATGCTGGGCTCTGTCCAAGGATGTCAGGTGCTGATACCAGCCCTCTACCATATTACTCATACTCAGTGCTTTTTTTCTAAATAAAATAAAATAAAATAAAATAAAAAATGTTCAGGGGTAATCTCATTTTCCTACTCACACTGAAATCCTACCCCTCAATGAGGCCAAATTTAGATTCACAAAATGTTTAGGGGTATGCGTACCCCTGAATACCCCCCCCCAATAAAAGCACTGCTGGTACTATTACTTGAGTTAGGTTGAAAAGCTTTTACTTGGTTCTTCTGAATTACAACCTCAATTATGCAAAAATAAGTTCCGTTAACACTTACTGTAAGCTCTAGGCTCTTGAGACTGCGATCCTAAGCATACTCACTCGAAAGTCATTCCTGCTAGCAACAGTGGGGAGGTATATCTTTAAATATGTGTAGGGTAGGATCAGGTATCAAAAATAAGGTTTGGGCTCAGATCTAAGCCATGATCCTAGGCATGATTCTGCAGGGATTGGGGATCTCAGTTGCGCAGCAAATCCAATAGGCTGAACTTCCCCACCTTGCCAGATCAAATGATGAACAGTGAATTCAACCATTCTTCCTGGATGGATAGACTGTGTGAACTTGGTTGTTGAGCCAATCCAGCCACATATCTACCTGCCCCACATCTGATGTCACATATGGATGTGATTTGGAGGATATAGCCTTGCAGGCAAAAATGGGATGGAGGGTCATTACCCCAGACATATAATTGACTTCTATTTGAAACTGCAGGTTTCCATTTGGAATTAAGGTGCCAAGTCATGAAGTTCTGATGCACTGGAATCATGATTCTAAACACATTCCCCTGGTTGATTTCATTGGACCTACTTAAGTGTGTCAAGGATCAAATTTGTAAAATTATTGTATTTTAATCCTATTGGCATCCAAAGTTCCTTAAGCAGCATATAATGTTTCTGAGCTATGTTCTAGCCATGGCTAAAAATATAGTGCAGGTTTCAAGTCTTATGCATGTTTTCCACTTAGAAATGGGAGGAGCATACTCTTTCAGCAACAGAGGTGTTATGCTATGAAGAAATCTAAATGGGATGCATAGGAGGCCATCACGCTGCTCGCTAATAAAACATATATCGCATTCTTCCTAGAATGCAAAGCTGGGATCCCTCATGGTGAATGGACAACATACTTTAATATCCATACAGACTTTCAACCTGTCCAGTAAGTCAGATATATTACTTTCATCATATCTTCCTCTGTGAATATCATAACTTGAAATATATAGTACAATGAGATCTTCCTGGCTCAGAATGTTTTATAAATGGAATGTCAGGTTACTCTATTATGGCAACTTTTTGATAGTAGAAGTTTTAGCCTGGTTGCTGCTGCTAATAGATCTGCTCTGAGAAAGAGGTTGGACCCATTTAATATAATCGCTTAAAAATAGTAAAAATGCGTTGGGGTGCTCTCATTTGTAATTTTCTTCTAAATACTTGTGTCACTATTATTTACCTGGGACCTTTGAGACAGGATCTTCATATATACTTGATTTGCTCTACCTCTGTAGACCTGTAACACTCTTTTCGTAGGATCTATGTGCAATATTATTCTTTAGGAAAAAATGAAACGTCTTGGTTCAGTTTATTCAGTGTGATTATTTGCAGCCACAATACAATATATTAGAACCAAAATATTAAACTGAGTGCAGATAGATGTTTCTGGATTTATTCTCCAAGGTATAAAATATGAATGGTATAATTGCTGAACAGCAAACAATTCAACTAAAAACTCTTGAAATGTTATAACTGTAACTATTTTGATGAAATATTAATCTTGGTATAGTCCCTTTATTTTGGAAAAGGATGCAATTCTTTTGTTCTCAAAACACAATATTAGAAAAAGAGAACCTTTACAGTTCAATTTCTGTCCTTATTCATGTTGTGCAAAACAATCTGGATTTTCTCATGAGAGATTAATGAACAGATGGGAGATCAGTGGCAGCAACACTCAGCATCTCATCCATAAGCAATGGGCATGAATGCGATCTAATGTCATTCTTTTTGGAGATGGCTTCATCCAGATCCAGCTGTTTATCATTGATCTTCACCTCCATGCAGCCATTATAAAACACTGTTACAGGGGTTGCCTCAAGTGGAACATCTGCATTAAAAAAAATCAGCACTCTTTATTTAAATATTGATCCATGCTTCTTTTTATTTTTTGAGATGTATAAATGCTAAAAGATGTATTCAGTTGTGTATCTCGTATTACACATATAGACACACACACATATTCAAACAAATGTAGAAATCAGACAAGAGTGAGGAATGTCACACACAGAGATTAAACAAACAAAATAACATGGAAGACAAACATTTCAGCTATTGAAAATGCTCTGCATACTCCTGACATTGGGCTCCAATCCTTTCTGCAAAACAGCGACAGTCTGTAGGTACCCATTCATAATTTGTTCATCACATTTTTTTGTTTTGTTCTTGTTATGGGTTTTGTTGTTAAGCCTCATTTTGCCACATGAACTTCAAGCTGGAACACTTCTCAAGGAGGCTAATGGGGTGGGGAGTTAATCTTATTGAAAAAGCTCCTCTTTATCCAGCCATTCCCAATCTCTTTTCTTAAAACATCTCATGGTTAAACTGTAGCCACACGACTCAAACTATGAGGGAAACCTCCTTTAGGTGGCAATTGATGGTAGAAGATTGGGATTTTCCCAGAGAATTTCCCATTGACAAAAATGTGACTATAGGTGATGTGCCCTTTGACTTTCTGTTGTGTTGATTTATGTACCTGGATTATTTCTTTGTGTGTGCTAATTCTTTTCATGGTCCTTGAGCACTATGAAGCACATGGTGGTTCCATGTGATTCTAATTTGCTCTTTTCCCATTACTTCTATTGCCAAGGTTTAGATCATCAGCATTATTTTTCTCAGCTGATCTCCCCTTTCTCAAATGAGAGGGAAACACCCAAAAGGGCGACTACTGACCACTGGATAGCAAAGAGTATGAAACTTCCATACAATGTGCTGAAGCTGATTCCACCCATAGCTAATCTAAACTCAAAGCTTACTTGCACCAGCTAGGTAACATTGTTTATGAATGTTACCTCAGTGAATTTCAGTTATTCACAATTTCCAGGTTGATTTTTACACACAGCATTTTTACACACACAAGGAAGTTCACCAAATCATAATAGCAGGTAGCATTTTGGATGGCCTCTCATAAAAAGGCTTTCCTTCACACATCTCCAAATTATTAATATAGAAATAATAGGTTGCAAAATACACTAGCTTAGTTGCATTACGTATGTAATTCCTCAGACTAGCCAGCAGAGGACACTTAAAGTATGCTGTAACAGCTTCATAAGATTACAGAGGGGGGAAACATAAAGGAGTGGGCAGGGAAGGAGGGAAAATAGGTCCCCTAGGGTCATGTCCAAAAATAGACTATGTAAGAGAAAGTCCTCTTCTATTAGTGCCAAACTAATGCAGTTTTAACCACTATTGCAATACCAGGTTTCACTAGAAACTATGCAACAGTGTTTTAAAAGAAACAAAAGGACAAATAAAATTGAAACAAAAAAGTATTAAAGCATAACTTGATTATTCTAATCAATTAAATTAATTAAAGGGAACAACACTTACCAGGAATGCCACCTAAGTAGGTATCGACAGAGCCATTCATCGCTTGATCAAGGGCAGAGAGCTTCTGTTCCAAGGAGGCAAGCAGAGTGTGTGAATCAGTTGTAAGTTCAAGCTGCTGTCTAGTCACTCTGAGTCTCAGCAGCGTTCTTCCTGAGGTACACAATCGCTTTGACTCCAACTGGGCCACAATGACATTCTCAACTGATACAATGATAGCCTATGGACCAGAAGCAAAAAATGGCCTTGTTAACTGAATTTCTTTATTTCTTTTTTTCTATCCACAAGGAAACTCGAAGCAGTTGACAGTAGAACAGTAAAACAAATACAGAGATATTAAAAATCCACAGACAAACATGAAAAAAGTTACAACAAATCAACAAATGCTCTAATACCCTATAAATAAAATACCCAAGAGAGAAAAAACACCACTTACCAAACAATGCACAATTCATAAATATTCAATCAATGCATCCTGACAGCAAAACCATGGTAATAAACAACAAGGGGACATGTACTTTAGTGGAATATAACCCCCAGCTGAAAATATACTGAAAATATTGTGACGCACCATTAAAGCAGGAAAATCCACCCGAGAGCCAGCAGGAGCTAAACAAAAGCAAAAGAGGAGCCCTGCTGGATCACACTAAAAGCCTATCTAGTCAAGCATCCTGCTCTCACTGTAGCCATCCAGGTGTCTATGGGAAGGCCCCTGGCAGTTTATTAACAGAATGGCCAGGCTAATCACAAGATCCTCTAACCAGGGAGGCACCCATTAGTACTCTTTCATCATAGGGAACTGAGAGTCATTATACCCCAGTACACCTTTATGGCAAGGCTGATGGCTCACACCAGGGGCTTCCCTAGAAAACCTGTTTATTGAGCATTCAGCCTAATTTACTTGTACAAAGCTTACATAGTGGCTAGACAAGGTTCCAGTCTTTACTGAGCATTTGTTGTGATATGTCTGTGGGATGGATAACAGTGAGCACTCCTTCTGATTTGCAAGTGTGCTGGTTACACATTTTCCCCGCTAATCATTCATTCATCCTACATTTTTCAGTGCCTTCAGTGATAACTTCCCCAATTGTAAAGTCTCAGCTGTTGCTGTTTTAAAGTGGATTTGATGCACCAGGGCGAGAGAGCGCTTTAACTGCGCAAACCTAAATTTACAGTGCGCGCTTGAATCCCTCCCACCGAAAAAAGAGAGACTGGGGGAAAAAGAGAGGCAGCCTTCTCCATTCTCCCAACTGGCAACATAAAGAGATGAGCTGCTGGAGGCAACTGTCTCCAGTAATGGTGCGACTGCAACCCAGCCTGGGGAGTCCTCACAAGGTGACAAAGCTGTACTTCAACGCCAAGGGAATCTCTGGTCTACTACCTTTAATTGTTACATGTTTTATTTTCATACTGTAGTACATGAGGAACCAACTGTAACAACGTTTTCAAAGAACTTCAGCATCATTATTTCTGAGGATGTTAATAATAATAATTAATAATAATAATAATTTTTATTTATACCCCGCCCTTCCCAGCCAAGGCCGGGCTCAGGGCGGCTAACAAGCAATAATAAAAACAAGTTGAATGAATACAATTTAAAAACAAGATTAAAATACAACATTAAAATATCAAAACATTAAAATATTAAAATGAGGCATTTTAATCAAAAGTAAAGCACTTTTGCAGGACTGTACTAACTGTACTATCATCCACAGAAGAGTTTGCTTTAAAGAATCAGGTCGTAAAAATTCTGCACATAGTAAGCTAGCAGGTCAAGGAGAGATTTCCCACAGCAAACTTTCAAGCATGCTATCTCCCAAGGGCATTCTGGAGTGGTGCAGCCAAGAAAGGAAAGCTGCCCCTTTGAGTCACCCCAGAGTTCACCACTCTCAGTGGAAAAGCTCCATTCACAATTCCAAAAACAGCCTAGTCATTTACAAGTCCTAACATTAGAACTGTCCCTTGAGTCTTCACCTTGCTTTAAGCCTCTGTGGAGTGCGGGATGGAGGAGGATACCAAATTTCAGTCAGATCAGATGCCATGGGAAGGTTGAGGGCTAAAATAGTATCCACACTTTCCCTCAACAAATTATCCCCCCCCCCCCACTCAGCAAAAGAAAGAATCTGGCCAGCTCTGCCCACCATGCATGAAGAACTACCTGTGTGCCCTTGGAGTTGGAGTCAACTATGGACAAAGCAAGAGGCACTGTTTCACCAGAAACCAAGGCAAGCAGGACTCCAGTGCCTGTGGATGGCCGGATGGCCAGGGTCACGTTTATTAACCAATCTTCGGCGTTGTTCAGGCTGCTGTCTGTTTTATTTCAAACAAATAAAGCAAGAGAAAATTGTCAATTTAGCAAGCCACAAAAGAATTGCTTTCTAGTTTGCTTGGAAAACTTGACTCTCTAACCAAATATTTAACACTGGGGTTTTGTCCTTCCTGAACTTTTTTGTTTAACGACCAGTATGTAATTTCCTCAGAGATCCCCCTTTTGATGGTTATAAGCCTCCCAGGAAGCCCTGATAAAGAACAGGATCAGAGTGTGCAGTTGCCCTGACATACTTATTCTTGGTTATTGGTCAAACTGTATGATTGCAATGTTCACAGAAAATAGGTATCTGCTGATCTACAGCACATCACAAGAAGCTTTTCACCCGATAATCTAGTTAGAATCACATCCTGACAACAATTTAGGCCGTATAAATCTGAAGGACTGCCTCCTTCCTTTTGCCTCCCTTGATGGTCTGGTCTACAAGTGTTTACCTATATATGTTTCAAAAAATTACGTCCCACTTCTCAGGGCAAAACCCTCCCAAGTGTGCATCAAAACCATTCCACAGTAAAATTAAAATCTTGAAATATTATACTGAAACAAAAGCAACTATATATATAAAAAAATCAGAATGCTGCTTCTTAAATATTTTGAAATGAAAAGGTGTCTTGAAAGATGGTAGGGTAGGAGCCACTATATATCTCCCTAGGAATGAAATGGGGCAGGAGGCCTGTACTAAAAATGTGCTCTGATATTTCATCTGCCATACACAGAAGCAGAGCTGAGGCCTGGGAAATAACTCAAACTAAACAGAGGACACTGCCTCCTACTTTGGGAATTCTGGTACCACATCAAGCCTACCACCCACATGGTTAGATGGAGAACATTTTTATAGTTCCACTGATTGCACTGAGGGCAAAGTGAAAGATAATGCCCTCCCCTCTCTGTGTGCTGTTCCTTAAATATAGTAACTAAAAGGTAAAGGTAAAGGACCCCTGACAGTTAAGTCCAGTCACAGACGACTCTGGGGTTGCAGCGCTCATCTCACTTTACAGGCCAAGGGAGCCGGCGTTTGTCCACAGACATTTTTCCCAGGTCATGTGGCCAGCATGACTAAGCCACTTCTGGCGCAATGGAACACCGAAACCAGAGCAGTGCATGGAAATGCCGTTTACCTTCCCGCCGGAGTAGTACCTATTTATCTACTTGCACTTTGACGTGCTTTCGAACTGCTAGGTTGACAGGAGCTGGGACTGAGTAATGGGAGCTCACTCTGTTGCGGGGATTCAAACCACCGACCTTCTGATCGGTAAGCCCAAGAGGCTCTGTGGTTTAGCCCACAGTGCCACCTGTGTCCCAAATATAGTAACTACCCCAGGTGAAAAATATTTTCAGAGAAAGTGTGAGAATTACTTACTGTAGTTAATATGAAACTTTGCTACTCCAGTGCCAGGATAGTAAGATCCTTTCCCAACGCTTACTAAACAATGTTTGCTTTCTTTCTGTTGAATGATGTCTTTTACACCAGAATTTCCCTGATTCAACAAGTTCCAGGCACGGATACACCCATCCAGGCGTGGGTTAATCTGAAGAAGAAGTTGCAGCATTGTTTGTGGCAATCCACAATGGTCCAAAAACATACCCCATACTACGTGTTACCAAATGTCATCTAGACACCTTTTTCTTTCTTTCTTTTTTGGAAAAAATTAATTAGTAAGTTTTATAAATATGCCAAATAGTATAATTTTATATGCTAACAAAATTATAAATAGTATATTAAAGGTAAAGGTAAAGGGACCCCTGACCGTTAGGTCCAGTCGTGGCCAACTCTGGGGTTGCGGCGCTCATCTCGTTTTATTGGCCGAGGAAGCTGGCGTATAGCTTCCGGGTCATGTGGCCAGCATGACTAAGCCGCTTCTGGCGAACCAGAGCAGCACACGGAAACACGGTTTACCTTCTCGCTGGAGTGGTACCTATTTATGTACTTGCACTATGACGTTCTTTCAAACTGCTAGGTTGGCAGGAGCTGGGACCGAGCAACGGGAGCTCACCCTGTCACGGGGATTCAAACTGCCGACCTTCTGATCAGCAAGTCCTAGGCTCTGTGGTTTAACTCACAGCACCACCCGCGTCCCTTTTAAATGGTATATTATATGTTGTTAAATTAGTACATTGAGGTTTAATAGGAAAGTAAGCATTTTTTCCAATTTGCCCAAATATTTCACCACCTACCACAAAAATGGAGAACACAGGCTCTCTATTTCCCACAGAATTCCCACAGACTTTACATCAGTACCCAGGATTTCCCAGATCATGTACTTAGCTGCAAAATGAATTATGTTCCTAACTTGCCATAAATCCAATAATGTATACTATAGTTTCCGCCCTCTACAAGAATTGATAAATGTCACAAGGTTTGCACGTCAGCAGAAGAAAAGAATTATAGGTGAGACAAGATAGATTCACGGTTCTTCTTCTCTTATTCTGAAAATGCATAGTCACCCTGACACAGCAATTGCAATGAGCATGTGCAGTGTTATTCAAGGAGGGTTGCTTCCACCCCCATCACAGTTCAGGAAAGAAAGAAAAATCTGCTTGGGATCAAGAGTTTTTTGTCCATCTCTGAAGTAAGATACAAAAGTTTTTTTTTAGATCACACAGTGAGGTTTTATCTAGCTAAAGAACTGTCAGTACCTGTGTGGTGCAGCTCAGTTTTGCTTTCTGCTCTTTCTTCAAAGAGGTGGATTTTATTTTTATTTTTAGTCAACTGGGCAGCAAGCTATACAAGAGCAATGAACAAAAGGACCTGAATTCTAATTTTTGGACAAGCCAATTTCTATGTAACCCTCGTAAAATAAGAGCTTGCAGTATGGAGACAGCTTTCTGTGGGCTGACTGGTTCTCAGAAAGAAACTTTAATTATATGCCCATCAAGCTAGATAAAAAGAACCCTCAATTTAAATGTTCCATAGGGCCAGTGTTCACACTTACAAGGTTTTTAACCTGTGTGCTGGTTTCTTTTTGTGCCGTGTTCCCACACCAGGACAACTTCCATTGTGGCCACAGTTTGCTTGTATGCAAATGCTGCACAGGAGTCTAAGAACCCTTTAAATTCCTTTCCTTTTTATCACTGTTGCCGCAAGAGTCCAGGGGGTCAGTGCATCTGGATGTTAATCAGAAGGTCAGGGGTTGAGCCCACCCAGGGCAGGATTCCTGCATTGTGGGTGCTTGGACTAGATAACCCTCTACAATTCTATGATGCTTGAAACTTAAAGCTGCTTCTTTTATCTGCCCCTTGTTTCAGGGCCTTTGCAGGAGTACGTAGTTTCAAGGATATGGAATGGCTGGGGAAACCCAGCCAGATGGGCAGGGTATAAATAATAAAATTACTACTACTACTACTATGGAATGTCCTTCCTTGGAAAACTCAGCAAGCTCCTTCTCTTTCAATCTTTAAGTCAAAACACTTGAATTTCACTGGATTTTTGGATGTTTCTAAGTTGCATCCTGTTGCTACAATTAGTTTACTGTTGCTCTGGTAACCTGCACTTTGTTTCCTTTTTCTTGCAGCAGCATATATTTATTATGATACATACATATAGTAAACTGCTATAATGTGCCCAAATGGCAGGATACAAATCTTCTAAATAAATAAATCTAGCACAAAACTGCTAGCACAAATGAGCCTGCTGCAAATCTGGTGTTTCCAAGCTTAATAGCCCTATTCTAGTCCTCTCCATTACAACCCTCAATGAGCTGAACCACTTTTTCCTCCATTCCAGGATGGCTTCCCTTTTTACTGAAGTTACATGAATCTGCAGCAGTAGATACAATTAGTTGCATGCATCCTTGAATACTTATTTCTGTTCAGAGTTTCCCCAACTTGAATGGCTTTCAAACTAATGTGTTTCCTTTTTTGTTTTCTTTTTATCTGGGGTCTGGAATTACTTGGAACGAGGAAGACCAGACTTGAAGATTAATCTACAAAGTGGATGTGTGCTGTAAGAATAAAACTAAATAATGAAATTTACAAATCTACCTGAAAGGATAATCTCTCACTGGCCACTGAAATGCAGTGGTACAAAGCTTCATAAAAGATCTCAGGAAATATTGTCCATGGTGATGTTTTTAAAAGGGGGGGGGGATGCATTAACTCTAATTACAATAAAGGAGATAACGCAACACCTGATGTGTGACATTAGCACTGAAAACAATTACCGGTTTAATGAGAGTGTTGTCCACTTTGCGAGGTAGTCCTGCAATATACACCTTTGTCTCCAGAAAGCCATTGGAGGGCTTAAAAAGATTTCTTGGGCTATTGATGCTCATAACTGCTTCTTTTGCTATTTTTACACTGATGCTGTGCTCTAGTTCTTCCACGGAGATCTAAAGGTAAAAGAAACAGATATACTTGTGAATGTTGAGAGAAGTCGTCCCAAACCAACAAAGGGGATCTGTATTCAGACAGCATTCTGCTTTGACTGGCACAAGGAAAAAGAGCTCAGTTTGGTTAAAAGAAACACAAAAAAACTATGTCCAGCACCCAGGGTGTGTGCACACTGATAGTATGTGCATACATCCATATACAGAAGTGTTGGGAGCATGAAACAATATCCACACAAGTGCATGTGCTCGCAAAGGACAGGATCTGCTAGAAGTGAATTTTCCAGCTTTTCCTGCCATTCTTTAGAAAATGCCAGTGTGAGCTCCTCTTGTCTGAATGAAGAATAGGAACTGTATCAAATCTTAGACTCAGAGCTCCAACGGAGGGTTCTTTTATTATGAAGACATGGAAGTATTCTGGGGACATGAAAGTATTTTGTGAAAATGACAATCTGAAGCTAGTATTGCATATTCATCAAGGGGCTTTAAAAGTGGCGTCTTCTTTTATAAGCAATTCAATGTTCAGTTTCCTAACTCATGGGGGAGGGGGCTTACCATGTGCCACAAACCATCGTTAATGGCTTTGCCACCGCTTGTTACTTTGGCTGCCAGTTCATTCTTGAATTGAATTTCAATCTTTCCATCACGCAGTGCAAGCAAAAACCATTCTGTGTTGTCGTGGGATTCGGCATACAGTATAACACCCTCATTATCGTAAGTCCGGAAGTCAAATTCTGCAGAAAATCTGGGTTGTTAGGAAGGGGGAGAATGAAGTATGACTGATAAAGGAACTGGATCTGTACTTTAAGAACTTTGTAACAGAATGACAATACAATTAATAAATGGTACTGATAGGAGAGCTGCACGCTACTACTCAATAGAAACTGATAATAATAGGACTAAATGTGCATTCATACTGCTATCTACTTAAATGTGCATTCATACTGATATACACTTACCTTGTAACTTCTGGCAATCTGAACCTTAAATACAAAACAGGGATCCCTGAAAATTGCTCTGCCAGATAAAGCAATTCATAATACTTTTCAAGATTCAGGGCAAGACAATTCTGCACAATCTAGACATAACAGAAAACGAAATGTTACATTATGGTTTGATCAAGTGAGTCCACATTTCTGTTCTGAGCCAGTTTTTGTAATTTATTCCTAATCAATAGGATGAATTCAAGCAACTACCTCCTCCCCAACTATCTCCATGTACGTTGGCTCTTGCAGTCACCATGCAGTGAGAAGGTTTTACACATAAGCAATAATATTGATTATACTGGAATGATATTTAATTTAACTGGTTCCTGGTACTGAATTTCCCACACATTAGATTTGGAAACAGTTTCCACCCACTAAAGGGAAGACTGTTAATAATCCTGCCCAGATTAACAAAGACTTCTGTTTATTCTGCCTAGTATTAAAAAATAAACCTGTGAAGCTGAAATCTTCTAGGGCAATATTTACTCGGAAGATAAATGGCCTGCTTGCCAGTTCCATTATCTTCAGGGAATGGAATCACTCCCCAGGTTGCCTAATCATTAAATCACAGTTAACTACCACTCACTAGGTTCTCTTAAGTATGTTCAAGCACAATAGCAACCTTTGATCTGTGAACTATTTAAGCCCCACTACATTGAACTGCGTCAAAGCTTGTTTTAAGTGGTAGCTGTCTGAATACATTTCAACATGCCCAGCCTTGCCAAAGAAGTATAAAGGAAGCTATTCATAGAGGAATGTTTTCATTGAAATCATGCACAGCCTCATGGTTTCCTCAGCAAGAAGAGTGCATGTTAAACTGCTTTGCCCACTTACGACACCTCTTACGAATTTTTAGCTTGCTGCGAGAGAATTAAATTATTTTTGAAAAAGTGGAGCCACATGTTAACGTTATAAAACAACTATACTAGTGATGGATAGTACAAACACAGGCTTTGAACCTATTATTAAACACTTACTTTGGAGAACTATCTGAAGAAGTGTGCAAGCACATGAAATCTCATACCAATAACAAACTTAGTTGGTCTCTAAGGTGCTACTGGAAGGAATTCTTTTATTTTGGAGAACAGAGAAAGAGACAATCATTTGCAGGACTATTGAAAGTGTTATGATATGGACATGCCATTATTGTTTTCCCCTTTTGTTGTCTCCGGTCAAACAGGGTTTAGAAGTTTCTGATGTGCTAGAAAACCCCTGAAAATTTAATTTTATGGATACACTCAATGAAGGGTCTCCATCAATGACCTGAGGGCACAGGTAAGAATGTATGAGATGAGATGTTCCTTTAGGTATTGGGGTTCCGAGCCATACAGGGTTTTATAGGTCAAAACCAGCCCTTTGAATTGGGTCTGGAAACAAACTGGAAGCAACTGAGGTAGGGAGCGAGGACCAGCTTTATGTGGACCCAGTTTACATTCCCCTGCCATATTCTGGACCATTTTGGACAAGTGGCTGGTGCATGTGTGGTTTTTCTCAGCCTCACTGGGGATGAATATTACTTTCCAATGAAAGTAAGGAGGGGATACTTCACCTCACAAGTTTTCATGTCCTTAGAAAGCTTGAAGCCCTTCTTGCCATCACAATAGCAGGTGTAGCTTCCAGGAGTATTGACACACATTTGGGAACAGGCATTTTCAGCACATTCGTCCACATCTGCAGTGAAATGGGAAAAGGCAGCTTGACATTTGCACTTATCACGAGCCCAACCTCCTGGGAAGCAAACTGACATTTAAGTGGCATGAAGCTTAGGCAGTGGTTGGGATTGCTCAACACATCTACTGTTAAGTTACATGGCATGCAAGTTCCAGGTAATGGCTCCATGGTTCCCATGCCTTTTTCCCAAAATGAATTTGGCATTCATCTACTGTGAAACTGAACGGTCTGTAGACAACAAACCCAAATGCAGCCCACTGGTTAGGTATTGTAGCTTAGCAGATACTTCACCCACACTCCAGTTTTGTAATCCTAGACTACCACCACCAACTTCATCAAACTTTGTTACAAGTTTTGCCAGCCTACTGCACGTATATTTTCATGCATCTTAAGGAGCAGCATGCATGAAATTTCACATTATGTGCAAAGGACAATAGGCAAATCTAACTCCCTTAGTCCATGTTTAGCTGAGAAAAGAGAAGGTTAAGAAGAGACATAAGAGTGTCTTCAAACACCCAAAGGGCTGCCATGCAGAACATGCAGCAGACTTGTCCCTTTAGATGGCAGAATGAGAATGAATGGGTGGAAATTGCAAGGAAGCAGATTTCGGCTAAGCATCAGGAGAAACTTCCTAATGGTAAGAGCTGCCTGACAGTGGAACAAGCTGCCTCGGGCGGTGCTTTGCTGGAGGTACTTCAGCAGAGGCTGAGTTGCAATCTGTCAGGGATGCTGCAGTTGCATCCTGCATTGAAAATCCTGCACTGAGCAAAGGTTTGGACTTCAATGAATTCTAGAGTCCCTTTCAACTAGTGGAGGCGGTCCATTAAGATGAATGAAGCACTCCCCCACCAACCTCAGTCTGCCCTCAGCCAGCCATCACCTGCCTGCCTTCTTATTCTAGGGAGTTGGCACTGACTGTCTGCTTCCTTCTTCTAGTCGTGGTTTTGCCCTTGTAAGAATCAGCAGGGAGGAGGATGGGGAATAAAAGCAGAATTAGTTGGCTCTGCCGATCCTTGGTTCTGGCTCCACCTAGCTTTGGCCACCTTGCCTTCTGCCCTACCACCCTTAATGGGAAACAGCCACTATTGCTTCTAGCTCTAGGCTTCCAGTTTATGTGGCTGTCTTTCTCAATCACAGCAACTCAAAAGCAGTTTCCCCAACCAACCACAATCCACTCATACAAATATGTTCTTGTTGGCATCCGTCTGTCTCGGGAGACAATGTAAGCGCCTAGAAAATGTCTATGGTGGCTGTGAACTGCATAACCATGACTAACTGTTGGAGAAAAATATTCACAGAAATGAGCTGCAAAGCTAAAAAGCAACAACAATAATAATCAGAGTGTAAATTGTGCGAGCAAGCTCAGACCAAGCTGCCTTAACCATGATATGATATATTGCTATTTTTAAAAAATGTAGCATCTCAAAATGGTCCCTATTATATGCTCAAACACTATGCACCGCATACATGCATGCTACCTTTGTAAAGCAAAAATCAGCTCGGTACAATTGCAGTGGGAGATGAGTGTGCGTGCCAAATTGCAAAGCCCAGGGGGCTTGGGAAGCATTCATTCAGAAAAGAAATGTGGGCTGACCAGGGCAAAACACATTTTGTCCTGACTGAGTGAAGCTGACTACGTTCTCTGCTTTGTTGGCTAAGCACAATAAATAATTTAGAAGTGCAAGGCTGTGTGAAAGACAGCATTAGTAACTTGCCTTCTCTGAGAGTAAACAAGACTCCCACTGCCTGAGAAGATCCCACTGGGATCAAGCCCAGGAAATCTTGCAAATCCTGTTCCTAAAATATCACGCTTGCATGATAAAGACTTACCATGCCCTGAGATGTATAAAATTTAAGTTGCAGAGCTTGGTTTTGCAGCAGCCTAAGCATTTATGTGCATTGTCTGACTCAGAAAGCTAAAAATTTCCAGTGTATTCTAAACTGCAAAGTAGCTATAACCCTTCCACAGCTGCAGAAAAATATTGCTGTTTGCAATATTTCTGCCTCATTTTGGGTCACATAAACATGGTAAAATATAGTTTAACTGATAGAATGGAAGATACTTAAAATTTAACTAGGAAGGTCTCATTTACTTAGATAATAAATTCATTGACTAAGGGTGGTTTTACCCTTTACACAGCAGATGCCAGTTCTGTGAATACATGAGCATTACACCAGTCTTTCTGCAGTAGAACTTTACAATGTGTGGATGTCGTACCAATAGCTTTAAAAGTGGCTGGTTAAGCCTTTTCAAGCCAAGTAAGGCACTCACCCATCAGCAACATGCGGGGGGGGGGGGGCAGAGTCAAAATGGGTGTGGCCAATTTGTATTTTATAAATGGGGAAATGGGGAGTTCCTTTTGACATCACAGAATCATAGCAGGGGACCTGCGGGAGTGGACAATACAAAAGAGTCTTCTTTTTTAAATGAAAGTTGACAAAATTTTGGGATGTCACAGAAAACCCTTTGGCATGATGGTACCACAAAGGAGCTTTTGGGGGAGAGGCAGGTGTAGCCTGTGGGCCACAGCTTTAAGCATTCAGCATGGTGCCACGATTGGAAATATCTAGCCTCTGAGTGGCCATTGCAGCAGACTCCAGTGTAATACTTGGTGTACTCAAGAAGGTCACATCTGCCACATGAAGTATGTAACTGCTTTCACCAAACCAAATTAGTAAAATGTTCCGAGAACTTTGGAAGGAAGTTTGCATGGCAATCCGTGTGGTGTGATGGCTACTGGTCTTGGGTCTGGATACAGAAAAGGCATGTCCAAACTCCTACTCAGCTTTGAAGCTCAGATGGAGCTCTTATAGTTCAATCCTCAATCCTCATGTCCCACTGAGTTCAAATTTGCTTGTTTCTTTCTTTCTGGCATTTCTACGTAGCCTTTCAAGATAAGTCTTTTAGGTGATTTAAAATAATGTGGGGGAAAAATAGCATAAAGGATCTTTAAAACCTTTGGTACTGAAAACGTAGGAGCAGCTGAACCTAACTGACACCAGAGCTATTAGGAAGCAAAAAATATGACATCTCACCCTAAGGAAGGATGAGATGCAAATAACTCAACAGTGGAAACGGACATCACTAACCACATGGTAAAATATTACATAGGGACAGAAGCTAACCAGACTGGGAGGTGAATCTTACTTCAGCACTGACTATAGGACACTGCAATTTTGGACAGTAGGCTAGTTTAGAGGGTGCAGAGCAGGCCAACGTTGCTGCTTTAAAATGTTTTTATTGTTTTATTCCCAACCCCTTCAGCTGATGGAACCTTGGGTGGCTAGGACACACAGCTCTGTCCTACATCTTACTGCTACTTTCTGCCCCACTGGCCTCTGCATCACTCTGTCGAATGGTAGGGTTAGCCCTGAAGGAAGGAAGGCAATAGTATAGGGCTCACTACTTCACATGTAGATGGTACATACAGATATTTTTCTGTATTCCACATATTTATTTGACTTCTTCGCTTGAAGTAGGCGTATGTTGTATATATTGATGGATGTGGTGTTTTCTTTAAAGAAGATTCCCTTCTTTCAGCTTCCTTTATGTTTTAGAAACAAGATGGTAGAAACTCAAGAGGGCTAATTTAGGTGGCATAGTCCCAATATTGTGACATTTGCAATCTGTGTGAAAAGTAATCTAAACAGCCTATGCATTACCAAAAAAACCATGAAATCTATAAAACAAACGACACACACACAAACTAAATAGAATGTGGAAAATCTGCAGAAAATAATGATGAATATGTCAAGAAAGGTAAGCTAAAACATCATTTAAAAACAAAAGTTCTACCTTCACACTTCTTTGTAGTTGAGTTATAAGCATAACCTGCCGGACATTCACACTCGTACTTCCCAGGAGTATTCTTGCATTGTGCTGTCCCACAAATCTTTGGGTCCAACATGCATTCATTCATGTCTGTAAATGCAAAATGCTATTATAAATTTCCCACAAAAAAAGGAATGGATTGATTTCTGCTGCTATTGGCTATTGTTTCTTGCCACTTGCCCCAAGGGTAGAAGGGATCTAAAGAGACAATAGGAAATGGTGAAATATGCAAAATGTGAACAGCATAAACCAGTCATGGCCAAACTTGGCCCTCCAGCTGTTTTGGGACTACAACGCCCATCATCTACAGCTAACAGCACCAGTGGTCAGGGATGATGGGAATTGTAGTCCCAAAACAGCTGGAGGGCCAAGTTTGGCCATCACTGGCATAAACCATAAACTCACAGAATCTAGACATTTTACTATTTTCAAAAAAGTTGATAGCCATAAGAAGGGCAGTTTTCCAGAGATAATTATCTTATTTTTCATATTTTCTCACAGTGCACTATATTTTCCTTGCATGTGCTTACTCATGTGGCAAGGCTCCATGCGATCAGGCTAAGCAGCTATTTTTGATACTGGAAGTACATGCTCCCCCATTTCCTTTTAATTAAGCAGTACGATTGCAATCCAGGGCCCTGCATGGGGTGGATGGTTCAGCAGCAAGCTAGACAGATGGCAAATTGTGAACACATGGGTCACACCAGGCATTAGTGTAGCCTTCCCTCTGCCCCTTGTTTGACCCAATCCCATCTGTTAATAGACTACATTTTCAAAGAAGACCAGTGGATTTACAGGTATGTGCCAAAACTCTAAGGCTTTGCTACTCCTGAGGCCAAGGTTGCTAATACACACAGTTCCATTTAAGATATAAGACAAACATGTTGAAACTTGCCCGTATGGACCTTAGCACTGCAATCAATAAGTATAAATCCTGTTACAGAATAAGATTGTCTTTTTGTTTTATGTGCTGCTGACATTTCGATGTTTGGCTTCTTCCTTACCCTCACAGTCCAGTTTATTTGGATGTATATAATAACCATCTTCACAATAACAACGGTAGCTTCCAGGAAAATTAATACAAGTTTGACTACACCCTCCATTTCTGTTTGTTAGGTCTTCACATTCATTGATATCTAGGGGGAAACAAAACAAAACCTTCACTAAGAAATTGCTTGCATCAATAGTGCTTGTTTGATATGGAAAGATATATTTAAAAGTGAGCCAGCTCTATTGTCCACCGTAGGGAGAGAAAAAAACCTACGATTACGTACCCTCTTCACATTTCTCTCCTTGCCATCCAGGTTTACAGACACAGGTGAACTTGGCTTGCCCATCTCTGCATTCCTTATAACCTTCTTCATTGCATGGCAGTGGAATACACTGGTCTGATATTACTGCAAAGGCAGGTAGACAAAGCAGAAAAAGTGTCAGTCTTATGATCCACCTTTTCTTAATCTTGATAGTTCATCTTTTCTCTAAGAATGGAAAAACTTTATCTACAAGAACAATAATTGACAAAGCCAATTCAGCCCTGAAAAATGTTTTTTATTCCTTGCGGGGTCTTTGGGCACAGCTAATGGATGCCCGTTTGACATAGGTTTTATTTCCAACTTCTTTCACCGGTCTGAATAATAGTAAGCTTCCTATTTCTGATGAAGTGAGTGGAAATTCCTCAAGAGTTATGGTTGCCCCTTACATATGTGGCCTTTAGGAATTAGATCCAGAGACCTTTTTTTTCTCCAGCCCTATAGAAACAGTTGATATAAGACATAATCTCCTGCTGGATCTCATTTTGTTAGTTTTGTTTCTTCCGATCCTTCCTCCTTTGAGAGGAAAGGCAGAATATAAAGCTAATAAATAAAAATAATATATTGTTAATGTTAAGAGCATTGTATCAATGTATATAAATGTGTGCTGCCCTGGGAACCTTCAGGTTGAAAGGAAGGCTGAATTCTTTTTTGAAAAATTAAAAATACAACACAATACAAATAGTAGGTCTTTCTTCCTTTGTGACCAGTATATGAAAGAATACAAGAACAAACAAAAGTTAAGACACCAGATTGCAGAACGATGAATTTGAGAACTTCATTCAGCATCAGCGTGTGTGCTAGAACAGAATGGGCAGATCTACATCAAACATTTAACCAATGTACTGTACATTTAAATCATGTGACTTTCCCCAAAGAATCCGGAGAATTGGAGTTCCCTCCTCATAGAGCTACAATTCCCAGCATCCTTAAGAAGCTACAGTTCCCAGGATAGCACCCACTGAGTTTTTACGCATTTCCCCCCAAGCCAGTTTTGATCTAAAATGAGAAACCGAATGACCTATCTGTGTTTTAATCCAGTTATGCTTACACAGCCTGTAAAAGCTTCTTCCTGAGATTGGTGTCAAAGAGCAGGTGGAAAAGAGAAGAGGAAAAGCAGAAAACCAGAAAGTGGAGGGGAAGGAGGAAGGAACTGTGACGCGTATAAATGTAACAGAGAACACATTAGAAAGCTGTTGCTGCCAATAAACGTGATAACATTTTTTAATACATTCACCCATTAATAATTTGTCCATCCCGCAATTTCCAATGCATTTCCCTGTCATTTTCCTAACCGCAAAAGTCTTTTCTTTTAAAGTGGATTTATTGCGCCAGGGTAACAGAACACTTTAATCCATTTTAATTGCACAAACAATACCTGGTATGCACCTGAATCTCTCCCGTAAAAATAGTGACAGTCTGGAGGCAACCATAGTGTCCCTAAGCCTTGGGATTCACCAAACCGTGAGATCAAGTGCTATGATTTCAGGCGCATCAACCAACCACTTCGAAAATTCTTATGTGGCAATGCTAAGACTTGTGGCAATGCTGAGACACAAAGTGCTTGCTGCAGGGCATGGGGCTCCGATACTCCTGGCACATCACTGCTACTGCAAGCCCGGTGCATCTCATATTGCAGGCATCCCCAAACTCGGCCCTCCAGATGTTCTGGGACTACAACTCCCATCATCCCTAGCTAACAGGACCAGTGGTCAGGGATGATGGGAATTGTAGTCCCAAAACATCTGGAGGGCTGAGTTTGGGAATGCCTGTCATATTAGCTTGAGATGCTACAGAATTTTCGGGACTGGATTGCCAGGATATGAAGTCGCAGTTACAACATTTTTTGTTGTTGCTGCTTGTAATATCGTCAGAGCTTCTCCAGTGGGTAATCTGTGACAACCGTCTTATGGCACAAGCACATATGAGGAATAAAATTAACATCAAGTACAGCGACGCTCCTCACTAGAGACTATTCAGCAAGATAATTTGCTCACACTTCCCTGCCACCCCCCAAGAGCCTCTAATGAGAGTAAGAGAGAAACAAGGGATGAATAAGAACACACTTTAATTTGTGACTGCAGGCATGCTAGCACAGCAGTCTGGGAGCCACGCTCCATCTCTGACTGCACGTGTGATAATGATCAAGGATTCCTTTTTGCCCTTATCTGTTCTCAAGGACAAAAGACAGAGACAGATGCTTAAGGATTAGAATGTATGCTTCGCTTGGGATCTCTTTCCAAACACCTCGAAAATGTTGCGATAAGAACAATGAGAAGGAGCAAAGGAGAGAAGCTGCTTCTGGGGGATTGCTTCCTACTCATGTCTTACACCATACTTTGGATGTGTTTATTTATTTGAAATAATCTATATATTGCCTTTCCAGCCACAATGGTTATCAAAGCTGTTTGCGCCTGATCAAACAGACTGAATGAACTGCAATGTTTGGAGTTGGAACTTTTAAGGATAAAAAGAAAGGAACCACTAGAATCAGTCAAGAATTTAGTGCAATGGTCTCCAAATTTTTCAGACCCCTAGAATCAAATTCATGTTGCAGAAATTTACCTGTTATTGGGGTTCAGGAAGGGCCGAGACAGGGCAAGCCCTCAACATTTGTGGTAGCCCTGTTAAGGGAGATGTTGTCCCTCTCAGAGTACTATGCCTCTGACTGCACATGCACACCACAGCCCAGTTCCTCGACACCATGATGAAAATAAACTCTGGGACTTTGTGGTCAAAGTTCTTAGATACCCAGTCAAAGAAGACTTATTGCAGAGGGCATGGAGAACTAAGATGGGGCCAAAACAGTGATAAAATCATGATATTTCCTGACTACACGAAGGAGGCCTAGGAGACATTTTGTGCAGAAACACAGCTCAAGAGCACAGCATCATACTGAATAATCTTCATTAAATTTCCCATACTTTTCTGCATCAGCATTAATGAGAGAGTCCAGTCCTTTAAGGACCCCAATGTGGCTGAAGACTTCCTCAGCAGCACTTGCAGAGTTCTATGCTATGCCTCAGAATAAAGGTCAAGTTCTCTTCTTGCTGGAAAAGCACTGGAGAAACTGAGTCTGTGTAGACATTACTGGCTTAAACCGCAGCTGCGTCATTCTTTTTCACAATTTGGACTGAATACGGTTTTGAGGAAAGCACATCCAAGGGCAGCAATGCACAAGAAATGACAGGATAGATACAGGATAGATATGGTTCCTGACTAATGCTGAGCGCACTAGAAGCAGAGTAAACAGAGGGGGTGGGTTGGGTTTACACAACATGAGTAACTGTGTTATCTGCAATCTGTATTTCTGGTAGACCAGCTGGTGTCAGTTACAAGAAAGGCTGGGACAGAAAAAAATAAATGTACCTCTCGACTCAGGAGGTATGGTATACATAACCACAAATGCTTACCTTTCACACAGGACCTGAGGTCAGCTGGAATCCCAGAAGTCTGTAATGGACTCGTGAAAATTTCCGTTCGAAATGAAGCCAGGCAGTCTGTGAAAGCACAAGCAATTTTAGATGTTTATTTATTTGCTATATTTATGGCCTGCTTTTCAGGGCTGTCCCTCTCAAGGAAAATTAAGCTGCATATTGAAAGACAGTAACCACTACAACCACAATCTACTATTCTAAAGATTCTTAAGGACGGTGTTCCATATTCAGCTAAATCACACAGTGAAGGAATTCTGGCATTGTCTTGCTTCAGACTGTAGAGGACTATTGGTGAGTTGAAGGTTGCTTTTTTAAAGGCATCCCACATACAAAAAGAGTTTGAAGTAGCCTTCTCCCTTCCATGCTGGCTTTTCATGTGCACAGGTAACAATAAAAAACTTGACCCTCCACCTGTAGACTGATCGTGAAATGATAGAACCATGTGCTTTTGCTGTTTGTGCAGCACAGGGCTCACCCGCACTTCTGTTTGTGCTGCGATTTCTAGGAACAAGTCTGTGATTTGTGGGCATGGGTCTAAGTGGGTTTCCCTGGGGAAAGGGGCAGGACAAAAAATCAACAATGCTTGGACCCATGCCTACAGATCACAGACCTGTGCCTAGAAATTGCGGCACAGACGGAAGTCCTGTCAGAATCAGAAGAGGCACATTTCTTTTTCATTACAAAAGAGATCATAGAACTGGAAGAAAATGAAGACCACCCAGATGTTGAAACTAAGTTCCTTCAAGTGCTAGAAATCTATAAGAGCTAGTGATGGGTAGCATATTTTGCTAGCTTGAATAATGTTATACTCTTTAGCAGTGCTTTTTCCCCAGAGGGTACTCCAGGGTACACAGTACCAGCACCTTTTTGTTGTTGTTAAAAAGTGTGGCACTTGCTGTGACAACTTCATGGCAAGCACTGACACCTATATTTCCAGAAAAAAGCGCTGCTCTTTAGTGGTAAAGTTATGTAACATTGTTTTGGTACTCCATATCTGACTATTTCTGCCTGGTTTCACAACTGATAGCAATCTGATTCTGGCAAAAAACAAAATACCAAATGTGCTAAATACAATTAAACCATTATTATTTTTTCTTTTTTAAAAAAGCATGTCAATACAGTACAACATTATAGTGCACCCACCAACAGAAAGCTGACAAATCACTCCCAGGTACAGAAGGTGGGTGTAGACAAGGAATACAATTCCTCAAGCATAAAAAGAGTGCTTTATGCTGTACAAGGAAGGAAAGGAGAAATCTCAGAGTAATCAGCCATTACAGCCCCAAAACTGGCTAGTATTGCACCAATCCTAAACACATTTACCTTGGAGCAATTCCCATGAAAGTCCCAGCTAAGATTATTTCAAATTGTTCATTGAATCAGGCAGCAAAAGACAGCAACACCTGGCTTGCTGCCATTTCATGTGTCCCTCAATGCCTTTAGATCAATCCCCACACTGCTAGGCCTACTGTGGAATGAGACACAGCCACAAAGCTGCTGCTTTATTTATTTGGACAAAAAATAAGTGGTCCTGCCCTTCTGTCCCAGGGCAGCTAAGGTTACAGTACAACCATCTAAAATCACACCAACAAAAAGCAATATCCATCAGCCTGAATGTCACTCGATAATCAAACTTTGCCAGTAGCAAAGGCCTGTTGAAAGAGCAGCTTTTTTTACTTTTTTGCAGAAGGCAGGGAGAAAAGAGGTCAGCCAGGTTTCCAGGGGAAGGTGTTTTGGAATCAACAAAAATGCCCCCATTTATGCCAGATGCTTACTCTGATGACCACAATGAAACTCATATGAAAGGAAGTTGCCAAAGTAACTATTTCAACTTGTAGGTCCCATTTCATGAATCTTTCCCTTCCGATTGCCACCACATGGGAAAAGCATGCGGAAAGCATGGGTGGGTGGGTGGGAGTATTGCACCTGTCAGGCCTCCTCAGCCATTCTGGGCAGCTCCCAACAGAATATTAAAAACTTGATAAAATATCAAACATTAAAAACTCCCCTAAACCAGGCTGCTTGCAGATGTCTTCTAAAAGTCAGATAATTGTTTATTTCCTCGACATCTGGTGGGAGGGTGTTCCACAGGGCGGGTGCCACTACCGAGAAGGCCCTCTGCCTGGTTCCCTGTAACTTCACTTCTTGCAGTGAGGGAACCACCAGAAGGCCCTCGGAGCTGGACCTCAGTGTCTGGGCTGAACAATGGGGTTGGAGACGCTCCTTCAGGTATATTGGGCCGAGGCCGTTTGGCGAGCTCTTTAGTCGGTCATCTTTCAATGACATAATTGCTCCCAAGAAAACTTTCAGATGCAGTTTCTTTCTCCATATAATTGCTATTGCAGACAGAAGCTAGAATGCAGGGCAGTGGGTGATCTCATAGGGAGATGCTAGCCTTGCTGGATTGAAGAAAATATGGCATTAACAGAGAACAGTTCTGTGCTGTGCATCCTGCTCTCAATGAAAAACATCCCATATAGTGTCACAGTGGGGCAGCTATAATGGGAGATGCTGCCCACACAGACGAGTACAGTGGTGCCTCGCAAGACGAAATTAATTCATTCCGCGAGTTTTGTCGTCTTGCGATTTTTTTCGTCTTGCGAAGCACGGTGTTGGGAAAGTTTTGGAAAAGCTGCAAAAATCACCAAAGTCTTTAAAAACCTCAAAAAATGCTACCACACCACATTCTATGAGTTGCTCCTCGAAGTCAAGTCGCAACTGTATTAACGGTGTTAAGAAAAAGGAAACAAACTTGCAAGACGTTTCCGTCTTGCGAAGCAAGCCCATAGGGAAAATCGTCTTGCGAAGCAGCTCAAAAAACAAAAAAACCTTTCGTCTAGCGAGTTTTTTGTCTTGCGAGGCATTCGTCTTGCGAGGTACCACTGTACTTATATGCTTTGCAAATATAATCACATTAAGCGGTCTCACTGACTGCAAATCATTTCATTGCAACCACCTTCCAATTTTCTCCTAAAATCTTTTAAAGAAAAATGTTACATAAGTAAATAAATTTGGACTTTTTAAAACGAAACTTACCTAAATATCGGGGATAGAAATAATCCTGTGTTTAAAAAGAAAAAGGAAGAAAGACAGATCCCATTAGAATGTAAATCAAATAGGAGAAACAGCTTAATTGTTTGCGCTGCTTAGGATGATAATTAAAATTTGCTTGTGCTGTAACTGTAATAGGTCATAAAGAAATTGATTTTATCCATTTTTTGTATTTGTTGCTTGTTTAATAGTTTAATTAAATTGTTTTTTAATGCAACTCACAAAATATTTATTAAGTAAAGTGCGGCAAAGCAGCCTAACTTTGAAAATACTTCTTGAGGAACCAACAAACTGAGATCAGGTTATCCTTTCTAATTATGTGGCTAAGAACCTGTAACTGAGCTCACTATTCAATCTCATTTGTGATTTCAAAGAACGAGATGGGGCATCTTTGCTTGGTCACTCTAGAACCTGGAGGTTCCATAATTTTAAAGTCACATCTTAAAGACGTCAATGTATACTCTGTATAGTCTGAGAACATGGTCAAGTGCTAAGGACCACCTGACATCATCATCATCATCATCAATTATTTATATGCCACCCATCTGACTGGGTGGCCCCAGCCATTGCCCCAGAAAATTAAAACATCAATAACAAGACCTGATAAAAGCTCTGTTCCATGGTCATTCTCTATCAAAGTGGAACAGGAGTGAAGATGAAATATGAGCAATAATTAAATGACACAAGAGCCTTATAAAGAGCAGTACAAATATGAACTAAAGCCATAATATGGAAAAATCCCATATACCGTCACTTGCTTAATGATGTGAAAGTGTACATAGGAATTGGATATACTATTCAAACCCTAAACAAAGGCTCCTAGTATTTAGGTTTGCTGGAAAATTCAGAATAGTGCTTAATGATAGCTGTAAAATAAGTGTATGTACACATATTGAACATTAGAAGGGAATGTTACTGACTGCCCTTACACTGCCAGGCTTGGTTCAAGTTTCTTTCATTAATTTACAAACCCTTAACAACTTGGGAACAGCATACCTCAGAATGTCCTGTGCTGCCACCAAGGTATTTTGGGGAGTCACTGTTAGTGGTCCCCTGTGGCTTGGATACATGGCTCATATTCATCAGGAGCCACAAATGCACTATTGTGGGCTCAATTTTGTGGGACTCCTTTCCAGTTAAAGTCAGATATTTCCCCTCCATGTTAAACTTCCAGTGCTTATCAAATGCTTACTGAAGGCTTACTGAATTGAATTCTGATTTTATAGTATTACCGGTAACTCGTTTTTAGTCTTATTGTAACCAGTTAGAGACAACTGTGATTAACTGGTATACAAATTGTTGAAATAAATAACTAAAAGTTCTGCCTTGGTCACACCAAGTTCTGGGCAGCCCACTTTAAGAAGGATATTGACAAGCTAGAATGTTTGCAGAAGAGGGTGACCAAGATGATCAAAGGTCTGGAAACCAAGCCCTATGAGGAACGGTTGAGAGAGTTGGGTATGTTTAACATGGAAAAGAGGAGACTGAGAGGAGATGTGATAGCCATCTTCAAATACAGTGGTACCTCAGATTACATATGCTTCAGGTTACATACGCTTCAGGTTACACACTCCGCCAACCCAGAAATAGTACCTCGGGTTAAGAACTTTGCTTCAGGATGAGAACAGAAATCGGGCAGCGGCCGTGGGAGGCCCCATTAGCTAAAGTGGTGCTTCAGGTTAAGAACAGTTTCAGGTTAAGAACGGACCTCCGGAACGAATTAAGTATGTAACCAGAGGTACGACTGTATTTAAAGGACTGTCAACATGGAAGATGGAGCACACTTGTTTCCTCCTGCTCTGGAAACCAAAGGTTTCATGTTACAAGAAAGGAGATTCTGACTCCCCATCAGGAAGAACTTTCTGATGGTAAGAGTTGTTCAACAGTGGAACATACTCCTTCGGAAGGTGGTGGGCATTGCTTCACTGGAGGTTTTGAAGCAGAGATTGGATGGCCATCTGTTGTGGATGCTTCAGTTTAGATTCCTGCTTGCAGGGGTTGGACTAGACAACCCTCAGGGTCCCTTTCAAGTCTACAAGTCTACGATTCTATAAATCACAGAAGCAGGCTATGCTCTACCATGACTACTTGCCACCCTTAGTAACTGGAAATTGTCCATAGTCTTAAGAGCTCTTACCGTTTCAGGGTTATTTTCAAAGACCTCTCTGGCTTCTTCCTTGTTGCAGTATTCTTCAATGCACTCCCGCTCCAAATTCCCCTTCTTGCTTTCTTCCATAAAGGAGTTTGCGCGACGTTTTCTTGCAAGAAACTCTGATGCATGGTGCTCAGATAAAACTTTTAAAAAACAAGCATTTTGGGTGTAAGAGGCTCTGCTGTGCAACCAAGCAATGTCTTAAATTAAAACAAAGATTTAAAGTTAAGATTTTGGTGGCCACGTGGACCACTATTAAAGCAGTATAACTAATTAAATGTCAGCATTGCTTTGTTTTGTGTGTGTGTGCTACAAATCCTAACCCATTAAGAAACTGCTAAACATATTAAGAACATGACAAATTCCTGATAAAGCCAGCTGGGATAATTAAGAATGAACCTATGGAGTGCCATGAAGATTGGAAAATCTTCCACAGAAGCAGCCAGTTTCTGGACTAGTCAATTTCACATGGCTACAGAATTCTCGTTTCCAGTCAGTTAGACGTGAAACTAAGTAGACCTGAAGATGCCTTTCAGGATAGCAGCAAGCAGGAACCCTCCATACATCCTCAATGGAACAGACACCATACATTTAAAGCACCTGGCTTTCACCAAAGTGTACTGGTAACTGTAGTTTGTTAGAGGTGCTGAGAATTGTAGCTCTGTGAAGGCTAAACTACAGTTTCCATGGTTCTTTGAGGAAAGCCATGTGCTTTAAATGAATAGTGTGGGTAGGAACAGGGGGGTGGGGCCCAACAGCCTAGCAGGTTTCCAGCACCTATAACCTGTCATTTCATACAGAAAGTATCATGGTGACCAGGCTCCTCATGTGATGCGCATCCACATAAGAGAGAACACTGGCCACATCCATGCCACACTAACAGTCATGGAGAATCTTGGGAACTGTAGTTTCTTAAGGGCACATAGATATGTAGGCCTGGGGGATTAGCACTACAGTTCCCAGGGTTCTTTGGGGAAAACCATGACTGTTAAAGTGGTATAAGAGTTCTTGAAGTATATGGTACAGATGTGACCACTGTGAAAAAAATAGCCACTCTTGAGTTTCCCCTGGCTCAGGCTGGGGGTTAAACTGGGCAGGGGATAGTTGGTTTATCCTGGTGATTAGGCAACCATCTATACATAAGGAAAGGTAGTACTCTGGTTTCAAGCACTGTCTTTCATTTGTGATCCCCTCTAATAGTAAACACAGGGAGCTGAGCACCAGCAGAAAAGAAGCCAAAAGACCAGCCACAGAAAACTATGAGAGTGGTATCAAATTGGTTGGGGGAACCTTAAGATTGCGAAAATGCAAGAAATAAGGATCACACCACCCCTTAAAAACAACAACAGCCCAATGAGCACTGAACTGCTTAGCGGACACAGACTATTAAGTGACAGATAGAAAATGGTATGGAATGGGTTAACTGATCAGCTGCCCCTCTGCAGCAAGTTTATCCACCTACCTACCTACTCTACCAATGGATTGTCACTGAACAGTTGCTTGTGATAGTTAACATATTTTTTGCTCTATGAGACTCACTTTTTCCCTCCTAAAAAGTAAGGGGAAATGTGTGTGCGTCTTATGGAGCGAATGCAGGCTGCGCAGCTATCCCAGAAGCCAGAACAGCAAGAGGGATCGCTGCTTTCGCTGCGCAGCGATCCCTCTTGTTGTTCTGGCTTCTGAGATTCAGATTTATTTTTTTTCTTATTTCCCTCCTCCAAAAACTAGGTGCGTCTTATGGTCTGGTGCGTCTTATAGAACGAAAAATACGGTATATGTCAAAATGATAGAGAGGATAACTTTAAGAATACTTAAATAAGCTGTTTTGGAGGGAATCTGCAAGCAATGAAGCCCGTGCAGCAGGAATGAACAAGCTCACTTTCCCACATACTGTTGAGTACTGGGCAGGGATGTATAAAAGAGGCCCCTGACAGCAGAGACTGATTGGCATGCAAAGCACTCTAGGGAGAGAACAAGGACACTCCAGCAAAACTAGGCACAACTTCTTCCTACTGGCTTGGACTGGACTGGTCTATGGGTATTGATATGTATATGCGAGAAGGGTTAAGAAGATTGGACATTTCTAACTAGGTGACTGGGTAAAATGAACAAAATATTGAGATAGCCTTGTTATGCAGCTTTGTATACCTGAGACACAACTGAGTAAAGAAAATACTACACTGGCAAATACAAAAACAGCAGATTTGTGCCTGTACAACTGCACAGCAGGACCATTCCATAGTTGTGTCTGTAATGTGGGATTATCTGGAACTGTGCATTCTTTCCATATTTTTGCCTTGTTAATAACGTCCTGTGATTAAAATCCAAGTAGTGAATAGGCAGGAAGGCGACTAGTAAAAAACTTCCATAGCCCTATGTAAATTTTAGTAGACTCTTCTTGGTATGGTTTTTTTAGACTGGAACTCAAGATATTTTACAAATTTTTAAAAAGTTATAAAATTTGTAAATGAATGTGCTTATATCTGTAGGATATAATTACATGGCTTATAATATAGCACTAGCAAAATGTGCACACCAGTGTTTACTAAGAAAGAAAGAAACACTGCCACCTAAAACTAAGTAATAAAATGATCAGTTGAGCCTTCCTGGGGAGGGTGTAGCATAACTTCAATACCACTAGCACTTCTTCAAGCACTAAAATCTTATATTCCTGACAGAGGGAACATGCCGCAATATATCATACAAGTGGGTCTACAATAGATAGTTACGGAGTACTCCTATTCAGGGTACCAGACACGACTTACCCAAAGATACACCATCCCACCACTACCGCCTGGTTTTATATTCCCCATCCCACAACAAACACTCAGCATCCTGTGGCCACTTAGAATGTAAAGACTGCTTTGAGCTGTTTTGGAGGGTCTCATCTCCCTGGTTAGACTTTCTCCCTCTGTATTTTTTTTAAACTTCTGCGAAACTTGGGTTTCTCTGAACCCTGCTGTGAATGGTGATGTTTTGGTTACTTAAGGAACAAAAGGTTACTTAAGGAACAAAAAATATATACTGTATGTTAGGATACACAGCTGTAGGATATACAGCAACTGCTGCTAAAAAGGTATTTTTTTAAAATCAGTTTTGCTACTCCGAATGGTTCAGAGCATTTCTCCATAATCAGGAGCATTATTCAGATAATAGACAAGGACAGTAATTTGGATAAATAAGGCTCCATTTCTAAATAAAAATAAAACCCTATTTCAGTGGGACACCTTCTGAGCAAATAAGATTTGGTTTGGGCTGGGGGGAGGTTGAGCAGGAACTTAGGGGAGCTGAGTTCCCTTAACTTTTTTAAATTAAATAAATAATTTGAAGGGGGGATCCTGTGGGGGCTGGAACTGATATACCCCCAATGCCTGAGCCAAAAATCAATAAAGTTGTTGCCATTTCTAATCCAGATCACTGTGTGCTTGAGTTTATTAATCACATCTTACATTTAGCCATTGCTGTATGTGTATGGCACTGCGACTGGCCCACAACAAACAAACAAACTTTGTAGTGAGTCCCCCCACCTTTCCCCCCAGAAAAAAAGCACTGGCTTGGGCTTTAGGAGTTGAAAGTCACTGAAAAGTGATTCATGAATAAGGCTTTTACTGTCAGGGAAAGAAGAAATCTTCTTGCATGTGGGTCATATGTTTCGATTCAAGTGAAAGGAAACTGACCCATTTAGAAGTGCTCCACTGCAATGCAGTGAGGCCTGCAAATCAAATGAGCTTTGGGCCCTTTCCAATCAAAAGTAGAGAGTATATTTATTAATTTCTTATCTATTTGGGAGAATTTCTATACAGCTCAATATAGAAAATGCTAGAAAATGGCACATTTTGAGTCTCGAAAGAACGTACAAAATAAAATACAGAAAAAGCTGTACAGTGGTACCTCGGTTTATGAAGTCAATCCATTCCGGAGGTCCGTTCTTAAACCGAAACCGTTCTTAAACCGAGGCGCGCTTTCCCTAATGAGGCCTCCCACTGCCGGTGCCCTTCCACCATTCGGCTTCTGTTCTAAGACTGAGGTAAAGTTCACAAACTGGGACACTAGTTCTGGTTTTGCGGAGTTCATAAACCGAATAGTTCATAAACAGGGCTGTTCTTAAACCGAGGTACCATTGTATAGCATCTTCAATAGTGTGGACAACATGAGGCCAATAAGAAAGAAAGAGAATAAGAAAGTTCTAACAAGGGTCTAAGAAGGGATGGGAAACTTGAGCCCTCCAGATGTTGCTGAACTACAACTCCCATCATCCCTGACCTTTTGCTATGCTGGTTGGGGCTGGTGCAAGTTGAAGTCCAGTCCTGGTCCAAAGCAAAGCACATTGGACACTTGCTGGATATCCAAAAAGAGGGAATTCCACTAAATTAGGGTTGCCATATGCCTGGACATTACTGGGATTTCAATGGCAGAAGTTCAGAGGGAATTATGGAGTGGAACAGTTAAAAGTGCCTCACTTGAAAACTGGAATGCCTGGCACACAGGAAATAAGGGAGTCCCTCAAATACGCTGGTCCCAAATTGTGTACAACTTCAGTATCAGCAAGACCTGGCCTAGTTAGCACAGTGGCAGCCAATGCAGTCATTTCAGCAACATTATATGCTGATGACAGGCTGTTCTAGTCAGGAGTCTTGACTGCTGCACTCTGAGCTAGCTGGAGAGACCAGAGCAACCAGTAATTGATCTCTGATGTCACCAATGCCTGAACTGCTGTGGAGACAGGTTGTCCCTGTCCAGGAACAGCTGAAGTTGATCAGAGGTACTCCTCGCCACCTATTTGACCTAGCCATCTTTCTCAAGTCAACAGGGCACTTGCTATTGGCTTCCAACAGATATGGACTTCATAGTTCAATAAAACAAAAGTAAAAGTGAAACATTTTATTAGCCCCATGTTCAAATCATTGAATGCTTTGAGTTACAAATAAGTTTCCTTCCAATGCAGATCTTTTGAGGCAAAAACATTTTTTTACAGCAGCATGGCATACACTGCACTTTCAAGATATAGCTCAGTTCTACTAATACAATTGTAAGTTTTGCACAAGTTGCTTTCTACTTTATAAAAGTCAGTTGGCATTTGCTTGTTGGATCCTTTAATTTGTTGAAAATCTGTTTCTGTATTCTGCCAGAAGTAATATATCCAGGAAAGCAAATCTATTAAGATTTATAACTTTGAAAAAACTTTTCTATGTACAGCATATCATTTCTGAATGAAAGCAATTCCAATCAAAATGTCCATCAAATAAAAGTGTTTTCCCATAGATCGCTGTGAGATGCAGCAGTTCTAATAAAACTTGTCAGACCTCTACAATAAAAATAATAAAACTTTTCTGCTATCTTAAAAACCCCCCAGCTTTCCTAGCTATGTAACATTATTCTTTTAATTTAATTTCAAGTCTTAGTTTTGGATACCAACGTTGAAAGCAGAGGTAAATTCTGTGTTACTTGAAAGCTATTATTTCTGACATTTTGAACAAGTAGTCCTAAACACATTTACCATGGATAACAAATCTCTCCTCATCCTCCTACATTAGGCTAGTGGGCATTGTGGTCATAGGCTATGAAAATGCCTTTCCTTTTTGCCCTCTATTGTAAAAGCTCAGCAACTTTTTGTCCCCCCCCCCCATTGTGCCATAGTTTAAAACAAACTATGGTTTATTGTGAATGAGCAGTGTGCTGTTGCATACTGCTGAAAAGATCCTGTGGAGTCCTCCTCTGCTTCTGTTGCTTCTACACCAAGAAAAAAACCTTACAAATCCATCATGGTTTGCTTAGAAACAACCCATAAGCTGAGATCACAGTGTGGTGTGTGTGCATGTGTTAGGAGCATCATGGGAACTTTTGATCAGCATGCAATAGCACACTACACTGCTTGTTCTCATTAAAATATAATTTGTTTTAATTTAAGCTATGCTTTAAGGAGACAGGCTACTATAGTATACCTCTTTGTGATAGAAAAAGCACAGTACTTCAAAAGAAAGAAAGAAAGAAAACCAAGAATGTAATGGTGAAAGAATACGGCCAAAAACTCTGACAAAAAGAGAACTGACTCTTGATCAGAAAAAGAAACATTATTATTTTTTGTTATTATCCTGTGTCAGATATTGCATAAACATTCAGCAGCACAGCATTGTTTTTTAAGTGACCTCATTATTTTGCAGTAGTGGAAAACATGTTTATTTGTCAGTATTGCTAATTACTTCTTCAGCACATTGATTGCTTCCTAGTCCTTAGCTCTGCTTTGCACAAAAACTGATTGCTTCAGGATGGGGGATGGGGATTTGCTTGAGCAGAACAGGGTCACTTTTCCAACAAGAGTAGCTCTTTACAATCAAAATCAGCATCTCTCAGCCATACCTGATACAAATGAACCAAATCAAGTTTACAGTTGGTTGTCCTCCGCACACATTCTGGAGAGCAAATTTCCTCGAACTCAATGGGATTTACTCCTGAGTAAACACATCTGCATCTCTACTATTGCAGAAATTTGTTGATGCAAAGATACATCCTTTGCACCCTTTTTGTTTTTAGAACGGTTTTGCAATTGTCATTACACACTACAAGCACCCAGCTGGAGCAAGAGGGCACCGGGACACAATTCTGAGTTTCACTGAAAAAGCAAACAAAAACGAACTTTTAACTAAAGTTGGGAATCCAACTGATTTTACTTACATGTCCTAGCTTCAGAGAGAGCGATCGCTGAAATATACAGGCAGGAAATAAACAAGCAAGCCACGCAGTGAAGCCTCATCCTTTGGGGGAGTAGCTGCTGTGGGTTATGCAGGGCGTGTGTATCTGTTGGGGGTTAGGAAGGGGAGGGGGCTATTTGCATTTGCTGACAGGTCGCCTTCTTGCTGCTGCTTCTCTGTTGACACCGTGCCTGGAATCAGGGAGGCAGCAGCAGGGAAAATGTTCAGACCTCCCCCTGCTGAGGGAGGGGAGGGAGAGGAGACTGGCTGGGGGCTGGAATCTGGTTGCATACAGAGGCAGGACATTTCCAGGAAACATTCCTGCTGCATTTCACATGGTGGGTAAACAGGAAGCACGGGAGGGAACCTCGAGTCCATATCCCAGAGGCCGTTGAACCTCCCTGGTGCTGGTTTCCAGCAGCTGACTGGGGAAGACAGTGGGGGTGGGTAGAGAGAGAGAGAGGAGGGATACAGTATTAGAGACAAAGCTGCCTTTCCATCATATGTTTCCCCACTGGTTTCTTTAGCATTGCACTGCATCACCGGCCCACCTGCCTTATCCTGCTTTTCTTCCCCAAATCAAAGACTGTTACCTGCCAGGTTGAGCTTATGTTTGACTGGACTTTGGTTTCTATTTATGTATTGATAGCAGCTAGTCTTGAGAAGGTACTGGAGACAGAGCCTAGCCCATGGGTAGGCAAACTAAGGCCCGGGGGCTGGATCCGGCCCAATCGCCTTCTAAATCCTGCCTGCGGACGGTCCAGGAATCAGTGTGTTTTTACATGAGTAGAATGTGTGCTTTTATTTAAAATGCATCTCTGGGTTATTTGTGGGGCATAGGAATTCTTTTTTCCCCTTCCACAAGGTCTGAGGGACAGTGGACCGGTCCCCTGCTGAAAAGGTTGCTGACCCCTGGCCTAGCCACTGCGACTAGCAGTCACTGAGAGCCTCATCACCCTTGTATCTGTCTAATCTTAAAGCCGTCCGAGATGGTGATCATCACCACTTCCCATGGAAGTGTCTTTCATTGTTAAAACTATGCTCTGTGCATATTTCTATCTTGCTTTTCTATCCAGATGCTCTAGGCTGTGTGTGCTTTCCTCCCATCCCCCTTGTGTATTCACAACAGTCCTGTAAGGTAGGCTACGTTTTAAGTTACTGTGTGTACATAAACTGCCGTTCTTGTCAGTCGATTTGAGATGGGAATCCAGGGAGGGACCCAATCCGCATAGAGCGTACTAGCCCAGGGACTCCTGCCGGCAGGAAGCCCATTCCATATGACGTAGGCATTGGACTTTTAGGGAGGAATTATTATTTACTGGATCATTCCCTGCCTCTCCGCCAAACCTACCTACCTCGCAGGGTGGTTGTTGTTGGGAATTAAATGAGAACTATGCGTGCCACCTTGAGTTCCTCGGGCAAAAACATGGGATATAAATGCATTTTTTTTAAAAAAAAGTGTCGACTGGTGGTAACACAGGATTTACGTGCTTGGAGAGAACAGTCTTATACGACGAGAAAGCACCTCTCAAAAGGCAGCCTTTGCTGCTGCGCATCCGCATCGCGCGCGAGCTCTGGTCACCCTGGAAACCATTCCCCGCCTCCTTCGCAACTAATGGTCGGCGGGAAGCCGCCAATCCAGCCGCCGCCCGCTCTCCATTGGCTCCTTTCCTTTCCTTGCCCCCGCCCCCGTTTCCTTCGCTCCGCTCTCCTGGTAACCATTGGAAACCGGCTTGGTTACGCGTCCCTTGCGCGCCCCGCGTCGTTATCGGCCTGCCTCGGGGACCCGAACCAATAAGCGATCTCCCGAGGCGTCACGTGAAAGAGGGGAAGGCGGGGCGAAAGCAGCGGGGGGGGGGTCACGTGGCTCCGTTGGAAGGGCCGCTCTTGAGAACCGGCGGCCGCTTTGGGGGCTCTCGGAGTGACGGGTGAGGCGGAGAAAGGGCGGTTAGCGGGGAGGGAGGGAGGAGCCAGTGAGTCCCGCGCGGCGCCTTCGAAGAGGACGCCCCCCCCTCCGCGAGGGTCTGCATGTGATGGGGAAGCCGGGGGTGGCGGACCTGTCTCGGTGTGTTGACGTGCTCGTACCCTGAGGCGCTGGTAAAAGGGGCTCCTAAGGCTCGGGCCCAGTTGCCTTCTGGGCGTCTGGTTAGGGAAACGAGGCTCAATCCAGTGTGGGGTGCCGGCTTGGTTAAAATCCAAGCTCTGGGAATATTTTGTATCCATTATCTAGGAAAACTTGCACCTCCTCACTGCCCTACAAAATTGTGTATCTGGCCAGAAGAGATGATGCTCCACTACACTGAAAACACCCCCCCCCCCCCCCCCGCTTTTTAAAACTGCAACTTTTTCAGTGGGTTAGCCACTTGAAAGCCAGCCTTATAAAAGCTGTTGATTTCTGAGTTGGTTTTGGAATAATAAAGTTTGGTGATTCATTATTCATTGTATCCCCTCCTCCTTTTTTTATTTTAGGTGTAAGACAGCATCCGAGTTGCTCATGTCTTGGAACTCCAGGATCCGTCTACATGCTGCGTCCTTAATTCATTTGGTGTGCTGAATGGCTGTTAGATAGGGATGTATAGTCTGATGGCCAATTGTTGCAACTGGCTAAAGCGGTGGCGAGAACCTGTCAGGTAAATTACTAAACGTTAGAACCATCTCCTTTTCAATTCCTTGAAGTAGTCTGAAGATTGTACTATGTCTGGCAAGTGTCACATAGAGGAGGAGTATGTCTAATGCTGTTCTACTTGTGCAGCAGACTTCTGCTTGTGCAAAGGAGCTCTGATTTTCCGACTGGCCACTGCACAACCTCAAAATTTGTTCCTGGGATCCCTCTAGAACAGATTTTAGGGTGAATGAGAACACATTGTGCAGGTGGAGTGCTACTCATGCAGCACTGGATACAACCCAAAGCCTTTAAAACCATTTTTGAAATGGGATATTTTTAAAACTGTAAACTGAAGAGGGTAAAAGAAATTGGTAACTTTAAATGTGCACTTTGAAAGGGCATGTGGATGTGAAAATACAATAGACCTTTATTAGTGGCATTCATGTGGCTGTTCTTATTCCCCAGTCTTATTTTAAAACTTATTGGAACTGTTTGCAGGTAAAGGTCCCTGTGTCTCTCCATTTTCACTAACCCAGAGTTTTATTTGAACCAGTATTCAGTCTCTGTAGCATTTTCTGCTGGAGATTAGTTCAAGAACAAAGACCTCTGGATATGAGCATGATGTCTTTGTTAACTGGGGGAACATAATCTGTATGTGGGGAAATGTGGTGGTTAAAGGCATGGCAACATGGCACAAGGAAAACCGCGACAACATTTCTGTTCCGAGCTACAGTTGACATCATCTATCCACTTTCATCAAGAGGCAAAAACAGAATCCCACCCTCTTTTTTGCTGAGAAGCGTTGATGTGCTTTTTTTTTTTTTTTTAAGCAGAAAATAGATTTCTTCTACCCAACTCAATATCCAGAGCTTGCTAGTTCTCCCTTGGTACTTGTTTCCAGTGCCACAGTATGGTCCAATAAAAACACAGGTATCTAAACATAGCACGAGAGGAAAGCAACACAGTGCTCAGAGAAATTTCAAAGTTTGTACATATGTGGGGGAAAAACTTGACCAAAAACATATTTAAGTACACAGGGAGACCTCTACTTCTTCATATTTATGTACTGCATCTCAGGATCCCTCTGTGTTCCAAGTCCCTTCTCAAAACTTGCATTTTCCAGAAAGCCTTTGGAGTATCTCCCCTAGTCACACTACCCTATGGTATGAGTAGTTGAAATTTTTTGCATATTCTTCCCCTGTTTTCCCAATGCCTCCATTTCCAACTCTCCATTGCTTCCATGTAAGATTACAGTTATGAATGGTGCTGCATATAAATAATAGGTACTTGATGGTGTTGATGATTCTTGAAGATAGATTCAATCCCCCCCCCCTAAAATTCTATATGGCATTCAGTCAGGACAAAGTCTGAAAATATTTTTTCTTTGTATATAATTCAAAGGAGTGTGACATTAATCATGGTGGGTCTTGATAATGCTGGAAAAACAGCAACAGTGAAAGGAATCCAAGGAGGTAAGTAATATCTAAACTATTTTTGTATTTATAAAAGTATTAAAATGAGCTTTTTAAAATTATTTTTGCACAGGAGGAATTTTTTTATTTATTGCCCTTGGCTAAAACAAGGCAAAGGCTGCAGACCTGACCTCTGTTATCTGGGAATAAACCCCATTGAATTCAGTAGTATTTACTCCTGTGTAGACATGGTTAGGATTTTGCTGCAAGATGCCATATAATGCTAGTAAATACAAAACCCCCAACTGAATAAAAAATGAATTTGTGTTAATAACTATACTGTTTAATTACGCTCAGGATATTTAACACTTTCAGGCATACATTACAGATACTGCACTTTGTTACTTCATTAAGGAGGGACCAAATACAAAAGAGTGACCAAAACCACAGATACAGTGGTACCTCTAGTTGTGAACACCTCTGGATACGTATCCTTCGGGTTACGCATGCGGCAAACCCGGAAGTAACAGGAAAGGTTTCCGCTGTGCATGCATGCGCAGAAGTGGGTTAACGCCGCATGCGCAGAAGTGGCGCCTCTGGATGCGAATGTTTTGGGGTGCACACGGACTCCCGGAACGAATTAAATTCGTATCCAGAGGTACCACTGTAGGTCTAGGAAGAGCTATGTAATATAGCAGGATAATTGCTTTCTGTTTGATGCTACAAGTTGCACTTTTTAAGCTGAATGTGGATTCTTTTCTGGTTGAAAGCAAAACATCTCTTGTATGGCTGTGCCCCTCCTTTGAATTCTGCTTGGGCTTATATTTGGAGATGCCATAGGCACTTGGGCTGCAACCTCATGCACTTACCAAGGAACAAGCCTCATTGAAAACAATTGTGCTTGCTTCTGAGTATGCCTGCGTAGATGGTGCAGTGAATCACTGTCAGAACATCTCACTTGTTTTGTGAGCATTGCTTTCATTTGTTTTGTACATTGTTAGCCACATGCACATTTTTAGTGCTTCCAGAGCCTCTGGATATCACTGAAACTTTGGGAGCAATGTAGATGCAAAATGAGGCTGTTACGCTCAGATATATGCACTTAAATATATATACTGTATTTTTTGCTCTATAAGACTCACTTTTTCCCTCCTAAAAAGTAAGGGGAAATGTGTGTGCGTCTTATGGAGCGATTGCAGGCTGCGCAGCTATCCCAGAAGCCAGAACAGCAAGAGGGATTGCTGCTTTCACTGCGTAGCGATCCCTCTTGCTGTTCTGGCTTCTGAGATTCATAATTTTTTCCCCCCTTGTTTTCCTCCTCCAAAAACTAGGTGTGTCTTGTGGTCTGGTGCGTCTTATAGAGCGAAAAATACGGTATATTACTATTTCATGTTTCCAAAGTAAAGGGTTTACAGACAGTTGTTGGAGAAGACTGGTGCCTCTATCATGGTAGAGAAAAATAATATTTGTTAGGAGTCACCTTGTGTCATAAAATGGAAGGGAAACATCTTTGGTAAGCATTTGAGGAACTGCTGACATAAATTATTTTTTAATTATAGCACATATGTAAAATATCCACATTAATGAGGCATTTCACATTTTAGTTTAGGATAGAAAATCAATCGTTCCCTTTTGCCTCCCCCCCCCCTTTGCATGTGCAGTAACTCTTATTTGCTGAAATGCACAGTAATGAGCATACATCAGTAAATTTTACCTAAAAATCAATGTTGTAGGTATTACCTTTTTATGATATTGACTTGTGATATAATTTGGAAAGAAGGAAATTGTATGTGCATAACAAAGTGTTATTCTAATGATATTTTTATATCCCTATTTATAATTGGGAAGGTACCAACAATTTGCCAGATCACCTTTATCCCTTCAACCATAAAAATCTCTTTTAGCATCACTTTCTCGCCTCTGCCAGCTCCAATAAAACAGCATGCAAGCTTAGCATCAAATAAAATTTCTGTTTCAGCTGGGGAGAAGTTTCAGAAGTGTCTGTTCTGAGTGCTTGACAGTTTACTGGCATACATGAACACTTTGTTTTGGATGAATCCAGTCCAGAATAACAGTGGATTTTTCATATGTGAAATAGTGAGTATCTTTTCTAGATGAAAAGATCATATGACTTCAATATGACCCAGATCCAAAGGGCCCATGGGCAAGGGCTTTTCATGTTCAGCATCTCAGCGGAAGCTCCTGACAACTGAAAAGTCGTTGTGAACATCAGGGTATTCCTCATTATGGTTCTCAACTGCAACTGGTGAAGAGAGAAAGTCACTTCACTTCTCCCCTGCCCTGAAAGCTCTGGGCATGGGCCTGGGCATCTTTTGGCACTGTGATGCCTGTAGCTCCAAACAAATTCTCATTCTAGCTTTTCTTGGGTTATGAAGCCCTGGCAGAAATTTGGATTGAAATGTGGGAATATGAAATCAAGTAAAACAAGATCATTTTAATATGAGGAGTTTGTCACCTCCCCCTGTCCTTATTGGGTTGATTCTTCAAGGGTTCTACTCAGGGTATGGTACCTATCTCTCTCAGTTCTTCATAAACGTGGCATTGTTTTGCATATGAAGTAGACATTATTAACACGAATTTCTAGTCCCACAGTGAAATATTGCCTTCAGTTAGACCATAATTCACAGCAAGACAGGTGATAAGAAATTTAATTTGCATTCATTGTGATCACAGCAGCTTATGCATTATTGTCTGTTCACATGGCATCTTGTGATCCATGTTGGTAATATTTGTAGCCATTATATACATAGAAAAACTAGAAACTGGTCTGTAAAATTCATGCTATTCTGATCCTGAAAGCACATCAATCTCTCTTACCAGATTGATGCATTGCCCCCCACTTCCCTTACCTCATCAAAAATAGGCTGGAGAGGAATAACATTTTGGAAATAGGTTTCCCTTTCTCCAAACTTGATCTTGAGTTGGAAAACATTACCCTCTTCTTACCTTTCCTTTATTTGATACTTTGAAGATTATGGTTCCCGATATTCATTTTAAGTGTCTCTCTGTGTGTGCTCACACATGCTTGTGTGTCTGTTAATGTAAAAAAATAATAATACTTTACAATTTGAAAAACCAGTATTCTGTCTTAAAGTGCCCACAGGCCCCCCCCCCCAAAAAAGATAAACTGTATCACAAGTGTCTCATAACTTGTTCTTTAATTTCATCAGAGTCCCCAGAGGATGTGGCCCCAACTGTTGGCTTTTCTAAAATTGATCTTAAGCAAGGCCGGTTTGAAGTCACAATCTTTGACTTGGGAGGTGGCAAGAGAATCCGGGCTATTTGGAAGAATTACTATGCTGAATCATATGGGGTAATATTTGTTGTGGATTCCAGTGATGTTGAGAGAATGGAAGAGACAAAAGAAACTATGTCGGAAGTTCTAAAGCATCCCAAGATAGCAGGGAAACCTGTATTGGTGTAAGTAACAAAAATCAAGAATTATTTTAAGTACTGAGCTATAACTTAAATATGTTTCCTAAAACATTGAGTTTGTGATACTACTTTTTCCTTAAGTTGCCTTTAAAGCGGAATATTTTCTTTCCAACCAAACAAGCAGAGAAATTAAATTGTATTGTTCTGCCGTTGCATGTCATTAGAAATGATGGCTTCAATATGGCAGAACTATTGTCTGTGCAAACACTCTTGAAATGAGTTATATAATTTCTGCAAACATTCCATTATTGCCTGTAGTGATAACTCTATAATTGTTTTGACGAATAACGATGTCAACACAAGTAATATGACCCTTGTGTTGTCTAACATAAGCATGTTATTAGCTAACCGTTGGTATTAATGAGGTCTCCGTGTTTAACACCAGGGGGTGCAAGTGATGCATTATCAGAAGAACCTGGTGTCTAGAAACTGAACTTGTCTCATGCGTAACTCTGTATCTCGGGATGTGTCTTACTCCAACATGTTCAGTGTAATGATGTAGTAGAAAGTGGATGCACTGCAATTTAGACACCTGCAGAGTAAAATACCCTTCTGCCCTTCTGAACAATATGGTCATGATCCAGCCACAGTGAAGCAGGTTTAAGTCCATTTTAATGTAATGCTAACTTACATGTTCTTAAGTCTTCCATTGAAAGCAGTGGGGCTTGATAGTCAGTTTAAATTAGAACTATGAATTTAGAATTAGAATGAAATGAGAAAAGTGACACTCAATAGCAGCTGGTAACATTTTGACCTGATAGGGCTGCAACTTTTAATATATTGTGTTTTCAGCACAACAAGACTTAATACATCACTTACTAGAGGGTTTATTAACTGACAGTAAAGTTGTGCTTAAAATATAATTGAACAAATGCCAGACATTTACAGATGAATTTCATATTGTTTAATTATCAAAAAATCAATGTTTCATGTAATTACTAAAACTGTTAACTTGTTTATTTTTTTATATCAATTACCCATGGGTAGTATTAATTTTTTGGTAACAAAATAAATATGAAAATTGTATTTGTGTGAAATTTGTGCTATTACAATGACTTTCTATACTGCATCACCTGTGACCAATCTCACACCCTCCTTCATTTTGCACTTGTTGTTTGGACACCAGTTGCACCACCCTAGTTACTCTTCCGGTTGGCAACTTAATTCTGATGACTGTACAAAATAACTGACAGAGGAAACTGAGCAAACCATCCTGCCAATTGCAGAGAACACTCTGAATAATCTTTTATCTTTGATGCTGGATTTTTGGAACTCAAATGTGATTCAACTGACGAGGATTTCAGGAAATTCAGTTTAGAAAAATTTTGGTTGAAATATCTCCCTGTATATCCCAAAGCAGGAGAAAGGCTCTCCACATCATTATACAATTTTTGCCTTAGTGAATCTGATTTTGCTGTGCAACAGACTGGATATTTAAGGTGTTCTAAGATCTGGCTATTTGAAATTTTAAATTTCATGTGCATTTTTTGAATGAATATATATATACATTTTAAAAGTATTCCTGATTTTTTTTTAATTAAGCCCCAAAATAGTGTTTATGATTAAAAGTCAGCAATGTTTCAATACTTTCTAAAAATTAAAATAGGGGCACCAGATGTGGATGGGGGCATACCATTTTTATATAATCTGAGAGGGGTCATGGGTTAAAGGTTCAGAAATGCTTCTTTAGAACTCTTTCCACATTTCTGTCTAGGAGCTTCTTGTTTATAGATAAATCCCTACAGGTGAAGATCTTGTCATCAGTTACTTCAATCATTTTATAATAAAAATTGTTCAGAGTTTTGTTTTGGAATGAGTTAGCTGTAGCTGCCAGCTGCTATTTTTATTTCTTAACTTAATTATTGAGCTACATGTTTGGGGGAGGGAATTGATCATACTCCTAGTCCTACCATCTTCACTTTAGACAACTGAAATACTGGCAACATTTTGCTCTAAAACAATTAGGGTGAAATGAATGAAGTTTTGCTTCTAGGCAATTTCTTGTTATGATCCCTTTAAGCTAGTATAAGGTTGTAACTTTAGGATGGATGGTTTTGCAGAAGAATATCTAACCTTTTTTTATTATTATTTCTGGGCCACTATCTAGAATTAGATTTGTTTGTCTCTGTTGAAGTTTCAGTCAATACTTGCTGAAAGTCCATCCGTCTTCACTGGCCACAAAGAAAGAGTGAATGTGTAGTTTCTGTGTGTGTGTGTGTGTGTGTGTGTGTGTGTGAGTGAGAGAGCGAGAGAGAGAGATGTATGCCTATGTACTTGTATTTCCCTGTGACACATAATAATGTACTTACCCGTTATCTCAAACAACTTTCTGTACCTATTTGGTATAAAGGACTTGGTGGTGACATGATCCGTCTTAATAGTGACCTATGTTAAATTGTAGAAACTGAGAACTAGATTGGCTCACCCACTATAATCTAAAAACACTAAAATGGTTGTGAGGTATCAGGCCCATGGATGCCCTCCTCTTTCATACCCGGGGCAAAAGCATGAGTAGTTATGTACAAAAGTACATCTTAGTTGTCCATAATATTTGCACTCGAAGTCTTGATAGATGAATAAGTTCAACATGTTGATAGCTTTCTTCAATATAAACACGCTCTAAATTTCCAAGTTTGTACAAATACTGTATTTTTTTCCATCTTACCTAGTGCAGCCATCTTTAACATTTTCATACCAAAAGCTCCCTCCTTTAAACCAATAGGTGCAAATTGGCACTCAGTTTTAATTATATGTGCACACACCTGCCCATCTCCCTCCCTCCCACCATCTCTTGCCAAAGGAATTCTGGCAGATACTTAATGGGCTGAATTTTTCTCTTTCACGCCCAACTTCTACCCTCCTTTGCATCTGGTGACCTATTAGGCTCTGCTTTCTTGTAGTCTAATGGCAGATTACTATACCCCAATCTTAGGTAAAATCAGTGCTATTTTTCACTTTTCTATGCCCCTTATTTATCTGATAAGAAAAACAAATGTTAAAGAAGCCCTGAAAGTGGTTTTACTATATTAGTGCATCTCATATGAAGTCAGAAAGAGACTGGTTGTGGGTCCTGATTTAACTAGTTGGACCAATTATTCTAGTGTACGTGTTTGTGCCTTTTAATATATTTTGAACAGATCATATCTGTAGTATTACCTTGCATGCTGTTTAGTGGCACCTAATTGTAAGCCACTGTTGGTTGGAAAGGCATGCTATACAGTGGTGCCCCGCAAGACGAATGCCTCGCAAGACGGAAAACCCGCTAGACGAAAGGGTTTTCCGTTTTGGAGGTGCTTCGCAAAACGAATTTCCTATGGGCTTGCTTCGCAAGACGAAAATGTCTTGCGAGTTCCTGCGGGGTTTTTTCCCTCCCCCCCCCTTTTTCCCAAGCCGCTAAGCCGCTTATCAGCTGATCCGCTAAGCCGCTTAACAGCTGATCTGTTAAGCCACTAAGCCGCTTATCAGCTGATCCGCTAAGCCGCTTATCAGCTGATCCGCTAAGCCCGCTAATAGCGCTAAGCCGCTAAACCGCTAATGGGCTTGCTTCGCAAGACGAAAAAACCGCAAGACGAAGAGACTCGCGGAACGGATTCTTTTCGTCTTGTGAGGCACCACTGTACATGCCTCCTATTGATATCATAACAGATACCCCTTAACTGCACCTCTGGCTGGGCTGGGGGAATTAGGATCATATTGTTGCACTAAAGCATGCATGGTTGTTGCACTAAAGCATGCACGGTATCTGAATGGACCTGCTGCCTATACAAATCAAAGACATTCTCAGAGACTAAGTGCTCTTCAGCCAAAAGCCCCTTTTTAAAGTGATCAATATTTGTGAGCACAATCCTAGTAAAACAAGAAAAATACCATTCTGGTATAGAACATAGGAATTTAATATAGAAGGCTTAGTTACAAATACCTATCTGGCTATAAAGCTCTATAGATTACCTCTGGCATTTATATATCAGCCTAAACTATTTCAGAGGGATGTGAGGATTTCAGTGCTGAAAGTTGTAGATAAAAGTGAATACATTCTGAATGTGTGTTCTTGTACTGAATCAGTCAAATATGTTTAGAATTGCAATACCTTTTTAAGGGGATTAGAAGACTTTTAAAAATGTTTATTGATTAAAATCCTATACACAGAAATGAGAGTAAGTCTCATTGAATTCAGTGGGACTTGCTTCTCAGTAATTTCTCCAAGATTGTACTAGGAGTTCTCTTCTAAAGCATATGGAGCTTTCCATCAGCCAGACCGTATTTTGGAGTCAGCGTTCGAAATGAGCTGAGCGCCAGTCACCTTTTTTGACTGGCAAGTGGCCTTTTGTGACTGGATGATGTCTGGGTGCCACCCTTGGCAACTAACATCTCCCCCTGCCTGGCTGCAGTCAGCTGGTCTGCAGGCACAGCAGCAGCAAAAAAGGGTGCATTTGTGGGGTGAATCAGCTTCTCCAGGGAGGGAGTTCCAGTGTCTGGGAGCAGCCACCAAGAAGGCCCTTTCCCCTGTTCAGGCACGCCTGTGAAGGTGGTAGGACAGAGAGAAGGGCTTCATTGAAAATCTCAAAACCAGGTCATATTTGTATGAGGGAATACAATCTTTCAGTTAGCTTGGACGTTAAGGGTTTTATAGGTCATAACCAGCACTTCTGGTAAGCTAGAGCCAGTGACACAGAAGCAGGCAGGAGATTTGATGTACTATTCTGAGATGTAAGACTCTTTATAAATACATTTTGTGGCCTGCAAAAAAACCCACTGTTTACTTCTAGATAGAAATATTTTTGTCCCTCTTGTCCATAAAAATAAACTTAGCTCAATGCTTTTCCATAATCATAAACAATGTTCTCCTTCAAACGATGTTTGAAGCTTTGTTTTAGATGGCATCCTTGTCACAGTCAGGAAGAGATAAGTGAGTAGCACATCCTTTCAGAAGGGAACTTGTTTACCAAATCATGCAAAAGAATTATTCTGATGTGTGTGGTGCTGTAACATAGCTCTTATTCTTAAAATTATTTAATTACTCCTGAGTCTGAGGTTTCAAGTGTCTTTTTTGTAGCAATAATGACTAATAATAAAAGCAGAGATTTTTAGGAAGTAAATTCAGCAGTACATCCTGTACTTTTTAAGCAAATGTTCTGAATCGCAGCAACATACAACTTTCAATATTGTAATATGCCAAGGCAAAAATCGTTGTCTGTTCTTTATGAAAATGTTTAATTGTATCCCTAGGTTGATGTATGTTCAGTTGCAGGGGAGAGGAGGGGAAGGGAAGGTATTGCTAAAGCCAGATACTTCATGTACAGGGCCGGTTAAACAGAACTTTGCCACATAGATTAGGAGATTAGGAGCAGTGGTCAAGTAATAAGTAAGCATGGTTTCTGTACCACTTACGTAGTGGTTATTTAAATACTACTGAACCTTCCAAAAAGAGACTCCCATTCCATTGATGTAATCTATTTCAGGCACATTTTCTTAGACTCTTTATGCCAGTGAGTGTAAATATCAGTTGCAGTCAGTTATAGTGGATCAAGAATGGTCTCTTACTTGTCTTTGCTTTTGTATATGCCTGTTCCTACAGTGTTGTGGACTATTCCATGCCGTGACTATTTTATTTGTCTCCAGTGTCAGTAGGAGGAGTAGGAGTACAGAGTCGGTAGGAGGCAGATCGAAGAGAAGGAGTATGACTAGGAAAGAATGACTGTCAATAATGTAACAGATGTGTTTTCTGATATCTTTTTGTTTCGGTTCATGTTGGATTACAGTGGTACCTCTGGATGCGAACGGGATCCGTTCCGGAGCCCCGTTCGCATCCTGAAGCGAACGCAACCCATGTGTGCGGGTTGCAATTCGCTGCTTCCATGCATGCGTGTGATGTCATTTTGAGTGCATGCGCAAGCGGTGAAACCCAGAAGTAATGCGCTCTGTTACTTCCGGGTCGCCGCGGAGCGCAACCCGAAAAGGCTTAACCTGAAGCGACTTCAACCCGAGGTATGACTGTATCTTGGTGACCTATAAGCATGTTTAGCTGATAACCATTCCTGGGAACTCCATGGCAGTGTTTGTGTCTATGGCTTTCCATGAATGGGGAAGTGTGCTGATGCACCAGGAGGAAACAGTGGCTGCTTCTTTCCTCTCCCATGGTTTCACTCACTGTTGTGTCCAAATTTGAGCTTGTGGTTTGCCTGACTCCAAATGATCCATTAGCAGCAACTTAGATTTATTATTGGCTTACTGCTCGAAGTGTGTTTGGGAGAGCCCAGGATCCTAGGTATGCAGAACACTAAACCAAGCCATAGCTTAGCTCTCAGTAGCGTAGAGGAGTTTGGGAGGAACTTAAGTGGCTGCAGTTTCATCACTGTGCAGCAGCACACTTGCTCATTCACAGTAAGCCACAGTTTGGCTTAGTGTTATATGTGAATGAGACCAGTGTAGGAAGAAAATATAGCCATTACACTAAGGAGCTATAATGGCTGGTTGGTTGAGGGGGTGGAGAAACCGGGTGTTGTAAAAATAATTGAGGGAAACTCTGTCCTAGAGTCTTATAAGGATAACCAGTTCATCCCATAAACCATACTTTATCATTTTTTTTACCTCCTTAAACTGAAAAGCCTTTGCTTTTAAGTACAAAATTTTGTAAATGGCAAGTGTAAAATCCTTGGTGTTGTATTGTTATGTTTTTGCCACAGCTATTCCTTCAGGTTACTTTAAATTACAAGGTTGCATGAATGTAAATACGCTGCTGTTGGAAGAAAATGTTATATGAGATTTTAACTGGACATGCTTGGTCTGAAAAACCTGACTAGCTTGGTAGTGACTATTGTGTGCTAGTCTTGCAAAATGGGAAGGACTGATTTTTTTAAAAAATGCTGCCAGGGTGGGGGAGAATTTTAAGTGTCAGGGCTGAACAACAGCATCAGCTGTTCATGCTTTCCTTTATGAATTGATACAAGAGTTCTAAATTTTACGTGTCTGGTTCAAATTATTGTAGAGTCAATTCCCATTTTGTTCTCTCCAAAATGGGGAACAGTGGCTTAATCTCTGTGAACAGACCAGGGTATTAAGATGGATCTGATCTTATCTTGGCTTGTTAACAGATGAGTAAGTCAGCCATGGAAATAAGCCAACAAAAGGAAGGTGCTAGCCTGCTACAAATTTAGCACTCTTCATTTCCATGTTGTCCATAGAAGAAAAATCCCATACAGTACTTGGCAGTTCACATGGGAACTTAGACTTCTAACCTCTTGGCAGACTTGTTTTTTGTTCTTTGTTTTTTTTTTTAAAAAGCCTTCTATTAAGCAGACTAGATTCCACTAGCCTATTGCATTTTCCTACTAGTCACAAAGGGTACATTCTTCTTTTTCTGATAGCACAGAGTTCCCTGGTTGGGACATAGGAAAGAACTCTGGGCTGGTTGGGACATAGGAAAGAACTCTGGGCTTTTCCATGCACAAAGTGATTTAATATAATGCTACCCTCTAGTTTTGTACCAGCAAGGAATGATTGCCCAAAGCTAAATGGAAGAGAGGGTGTTCTTTGCTTAGCCCTGACACTTATTCCCAGATACATAAGCCATGGTTTTTGAAAGGTTGTCTGAACCTGGTCTGCAGATGGGGCCAGATCTCATTTGCTCCTTCCATGTTAATTGTGGGGGACACCTAGCCAGCACATTTTGTACTAGAATTCAAAATGTAATGCTTGAATCTGCTCTGAATGTAGTCTGTATTCTTAAGTACTTATTTTAAAAGCTTCATTTTAATATGACATGTATGAAGTACTTATCAATTACAGTATATTGCATATAATAAAACCTTTATAAAATCGGTCTGGAGCAGAATAGTAAATATGTATAATTTTCTTGACCTGACAATGTCCAGTGACTTTTCTTGCATACTTAGGCCAACATTTATTTTCCTGTTTTAAGGCCTGTTTAACTTTTAACTTTCAGCTACACATTTCAAATACGTTACTGCCTTTCTTTTCATATAATTACAACAAAATGTGTTTTCTTTATATAGTTTTCTAATATGTAAATTGGCAACATGGTTTAATTTAATCTTCCCCACACATACTTTTCATTCTTGTCTCACACTAGTGATAGATTTGCACTTTATGTAACAAACTGTATATATGGTAATAGTCTTTTTACTTTACTATTCTGAGTAAAAATAAATTAGCTTTTTAAATAAATTAAATTAGCATTTGTAAAATGTGGTAATTTGACAACTATGGAGAGCTAAAGCTGCTGGCAGCAAAAAAAGTTCTTCTGCGGACAATAGCTCTTTCGTTTCTGAATAATTATGACTCCAGTGTTAAACCACATTCAGAGTAGACTCAATTGTAATCAGTTGACTTAAGCTCCTTAATAATAAGTCTTTAGTTTTGTGTTTTTAGTAGTCAGTGTCATGTTACTGTGTTCTGGCATAATTGTGGGGGGAAATATATTTATGAGATGACCACAAGAATCTCATGCCCACAAACGGACCGATCCCTTTTATGGTCTAATTGTTGCAATGCTTACATAAACAGATGTTATACTCAGGGTCAAAGAACCACATACCTATTTCTATGTGTCCAATACAACTTTCAGCTTGTGTTGTATGCTCTATGGCAAAACATTTGTGAACAGAGAGAACTTTTGAAAATAACTTTTTTAAAAATAAAATGGCTTAGTGGATGGTATTGTGATTCAACCAGAAAAAAATCTATTGAGGGTGATGAAGCCTTTGGACATGCCTAAAATAGATCTTTTGGTTCTAGCCTGTGGCATGATAGCAGCTTATACATGCCCTCTACACCAGGAAACTGGAACTGGCCACAAGGAAGGGACAAACAAATTTTTCCCTGTATAATGTATGAAATAGCCTTTCCCCCCATTTTTATTTTTTACCTTTTTGACCCTAGTCTTCGGATGAAATTAATAAACCTGTATTGCTAACACTTGTTTAACAGATACAGAAAAGCTGTGCTGCGAGAATACTTCCCTTTTTGGAATAACAAATGTTCAAAGTTGGTTGAAGCATGCTATGCATTTGCACCAATTTTTGTTTTTTTTAATCATATATATTGAAGAAACTTATTATGTTTTGAAAGTATAAACAAAGACCTTGGTTACAGATGCACATCTCCCAAAATATCATAGAACTGTTACGTTTATACAAATGACATGGAAGAAAACGTGTAACATACAAAAATAGTTATATCCTTTACTGCATTCTTAAAGATTTTACACATATAATGTTTTTGTAACAACCTTTCCCCCTTTTAACCTGTTTCAGTGCAGCTCTTTTAGCTGAACAATCTATTTCCCTGTTCTTCAACTAGTATTTTGTGAAATACCACAGTCACAAATTATTTCAAACTCTTTGTTCTTAGAAAAGCCAGACAACAGAGGAATGTGAACTCGCTGCAGATTTGCTGAGCACGTTCTGGATGACATTATCCTAGCATTTATTACACTGGGCTTGCAGTTTTCCTTCATCTAAACTGCTGAATAAAATTGCTAGGAGCTTACAGTCACTTCCCAAGGAAGTGAATCGAATGTGAAGGCGAGTGCTGTGTGGCACGTGGTTGCACCTGTTGTCACAAGCACCTGTTTGACTAGTTCCTGTGACCTGTGACTGGTAACAGAACTCCATCCTGCTACACCCAGCACTACCTTGTTCCCTTTTTTGAGAAACGCTTCACTATTATATCAAAGTCCACCACTAGATCTTAAAAAGCAATGGCAGGGGATGAGGGTCAGAAAGTCTGCCTGTTCCCTTGTAAGTCACCCCTTTTGTTCCTTAGACCCCCTGCCAAATTTGCAGCATTCAGGGCATGTGAAAAAGAGAATGTTGAATCAAACTGTGGCTTTGCCTGATAGTGCAAACCCACGCCCCCAGCAGGGTCACCTATGTTCATTACATACTGGATTAGGGCTATTGCAAAGAACATTTAACTGCCTGTATCCCCCCCCCCCCAAAAAAAAAACCACACACAAAAAACCCTATTAACAGCAGGGGCAGCACCAGCAGCATATTGCTCTGCACGGATGCTTCTTTCGATACCTTGCCGCCAGCCTGAATTTCTCTGTTGTCGTCTGAACATAGTCCTGAGTTTTGACAACTTCCATTTCGATGCTGTCGATCATTTCACCTTGTTCTTCCACCAAAAGTGAGATTTGGACAAAGAGGCCCTTCAAGTCTCTCACCTGGTTCTCCAGATTGACCAGTTCTTTGTGTCTCTGTTCAATCTCAGATAGCTGAGCTTTTGTGATATTGACCTCGGTGAGCAAGTTTTCGTTGAAGATTTCCCATTTTCCTTGCTGAACCATGTCGTTCACTTCTTCCTCGGAGACTTCTTTTCCAGCCACTTCAAGCTGGCGCACAATAAAAGCTTTGCATTTTTCTTGCTTGGCTGTTATGGCGGCGTTGTACAGAAACATGATATTTTGGAAGCGACGAAACAGGACCGCCCGCTGAGCACTCAGAACCCTTATAATGGCAGATGATGAACCATGTTCTTTCTCTGCTTTCTTCAGTGTTTTTGACAAGTCGTCCAAGCACTTGCTAATGTGTTCTGCTTGAACCTTTATCCCTTTTGTGATGCTGCACTCCTTTTTAAGTACGCTGAATCTCCTCATGGAAGCCACTAGGCTTTTTTGCTGCTGGCTGAACTTTTGGACGTCTGCTGCCAAATTGTTAATATCATTGTGAAGTTGCTGGATTTCATTCAGGTACCTTTCAGTTATGGGCTCCTTTTCAAAAATGACAGCTGTTTGTTCAAGTTCTTTTTCCTCTGCCACAACACTAGGAGAACGACTGTTTTCTTCTATTAATTGCAGTTCCTTTGCTCGCAATTTAAGCTCTTGAAGGCGGTCTTTCATCTTCTGTAGAGTTTTCTGCGGTTCTGTTCTTTTTAAAACCAGACAGTTGTGTAAACCTAAGGATTAAAAACCACTTTAGTAAGCTGTTGTTTACCCACAGACCTATTACAAGGATGGCAGAAAACCTTTAACGGAGAGGGAGGGGGAGTCAGAAAAATGCAGCAGCAACCATAAATAGGTTGCACATAAAGCAAATTTTATTTTTCCCTTAGACATGCTCTTTGAAATACTTGGTCCACCTCAAGATTCTTTGAAATTTGCAGGAAATACACATAATTGTTGATTGTCTAATACTGGTCCAATATTGTACTACATCTTTTTATTATTATTTTTTGGTGTGATGGGCAGAAAGAAAATTCAAGTGATCTGCAAGGTGACAATATCTTGAAAATTACATATGTAAACATTTTTTTAAAATCCTAATCATGAATTGGAGACTTGCATGATCTTTCACTTCTTACCTTCTCTCTCCAGAGCTAACCATGGTGCAGTCTATAAACTTTGCAGAGCTAACTGCTTGGTGTGGTGAAACATTGTATGAAAGTAAACAATAACCATGTCGGGTTAGAATGTACTCTTCTGTATTTATTAATAAATACAACTGTATTTATTAAAGGAATGAAATAGGTAAGATAATTTGTGCAAGAAATCTGCATGGAAATCTGCTAATCATGACTACAAAGTCAGAAACATTACTTCTGCACTTTGGAAAGAACTAAATCTGTGACATTAAAAACGAAAACAAAAAGCTAGTTTCTTTTTGGGCATGGAAGCAGTCCAGTTATTTTGTACTTCCCAAGAAGAGATACAGCTGTTGCTTCTAAAACCTGAAATGCTTGGTAAACTTAAACAGTCATTACTTTAGTTTGGAGATGGTGGATTATTTATATCAAGGATGGGGAGCCTTTTTCAACCTGGGAGCCACATTTTCCAGGGAATGCATGAGAGGCTTGGGTGGAATGACAGGCAAAAGTAAGTGAAATGATGGCTTGAGACTCTTACCTTTTTGTACATTAGGCTTTTTTGCATCCACGCAACAAACACACACAGGAGCCTACATACTTCACTTTATCCAGGCAAACGAACACAATTCATGGAAGCATTCTAGTCAGGCAAAAGCAACTGAGGGCATGAAGCAGGGCTGGTAAGAAGGGGAGTGGTCTGCAAAGGTCCCAAGGGCCAGATAGCGCATGCTGGGGCCCATATTTGTCCCCTGGGCCTGAGATTCCCCACCTCTGCCTTACATCATTTAAATATCTATATCCTCTTTCCACCCAATGTTGCCCAAGGTTGCAAACAATAAATAAGATAAAACAACCATATGAAGTATAAAACAGCAGATAAAACAGGCAGATAAAAATACAGGTCTTTTAAAAAATAATAAAAACCCAGCCCATTATATTGGAAATTTGGATATTGTAGGGATTTTTTTCATTACACATCTGTAAACAGTGTCTTGAAAGATATACATGCATGCACACACCACTCCCAATTTGAATAACTTTTTTTTAAAAGAAAAGAGTGTCTCAGCCTGTTCAAAGGATCAGGCATTGCCAAAGACATTACCAGAATGCGAGTAGGATTATATATAAAAACTTGTTATTCGCAAATGCTTTATTCTGTACTGGACTGAGGGAAGTAATATCAATGTCTCTTTGCTCTTCATTTTCTACTCTCTGAAGATTCAATAGCTTGTTGATTGCTGACTAAGTATCCAATCCCTTGGGGGATATCTTCTATTCATGTTTTTGACATTTGCAAATGAACTGTTCCCAGTAGTGTGCCCTAACATGCAGTCCCATGGCCCTTTGATAAAACTGTGTATCTCACAGGATTATGCTCCAAATTTCAGCTCTTGTGATGCTTGTTTTTCATTGAAGGGTTTTATTTGTGGAGAGGTGGGTGAGAAAGAAGGAGAAGGTTTATGGCCTTGGAGAGAAAGAAGCAAAAGTCTTGGTAGGCTTTCAGTTTGACTGACCTTTTGGTGCATTGCCTTCATGTTAAGGCTATGCTTGCTGGTTTGGTTCACTCTAATTTTTCTGTTGTTTACCGCATTTCTGTATGCTGCTGTATAATCTATGGTGTCCCTTTATTGTAACTATATCCTGTACCCATATGCTGTGGACTTAACTGTGAAAACTGGATAAGGATTGGGTGGCAAGAGCTGTAGGCTTTGAGCTGTACTCAGTGGAATTTTTCATACATTGGTTCACTCGACATTGCTGCCTGAATACAAACTTCATTTTTTTATGAAGCAGGAGGTTTGATACTCAAAAACCACTTACTATGTTGCTTGGCCAGATCACATAGGATATCTGAAGTAAATGCATTTGCAGTTCTGGTGTCAGGACTTTGCACTCAGTTTGGCTAACACACACTGTGTAATGAGTCTAATGTTTCAGGACCAATGGTAGAATGCTTCCATGCTGAAACAGTTTCCAGTTGTCTCAGTTGGCAATTGTAAACAGTGGAACTTCCCTAAAGTGCTTGGCTCAGGAATAGTTCCCAGATCAATTAATGATTTGGTTAGAATGCAATACATATTTTAATTTAATAAACTGGGTTTGGCAGCAGTTCTTATCTGACGCCATACAGACTGCCTTTAAGGAAGGTGGTGAGTAAGTATCAGCAATATGGTACCTTGTTGTAAGCATATTAATGAAACCATTTGAGCATCTGAAAATTATATAGCTGGGGTTTATAGCCTGAGATCTGTATTTGCTTGTCATATGATTCTGTGGGAAACACCTAATTCATTGATACAACTGCTGAGTATGTCCTATTAGTCCTTTTTCAAATGTGTTTTTCTCCCTCCTTAATACTGAGGTATAATTTTCTGTGCCTCCTTGTATCATTCTCCTAAAGTGCAATCTCCAATCCCATTTCCTTAGAATACCATGAGTGTTCTGGAACTTAATAGGCAAGCATATTTCAGTACCAGTTGTTGGAAACTTGCAGTCTACAAGAAAAATAAGCTGTGTTCTGATAATACATTGCAAAACGCTGTGACTTCTAGAGCAGAAAATTTTATTATGACTTTCTTCAGTAATGTTACAAAACTGCTTGGTACAATTTAGCATATTCTTTTTTCTTTTTAAATCAGTTTGGTGCATGTAAAAATGAACTGATGTACTAAATTGAGACTTCAGGGTACCAACCTGAAAATATCTCTTAGCACAGTCTAACACATCCCTGGCCAACATTAATTTAGTATGTCTAACCACTTAGTAATTAAGTGGCAGAACGATAGTCTCTATTTTGTCACCTACGGAAAACACTAACTTGGATTGCATTAAACTGAATTAATGTAAAACTGTAATTCTTGAAGCCTTGTTATTACAGTTAAAAATAAAACCTTTAAAAGTTGGCTGTTGCTCATATGCTTTTTAAGAGGCTCAGTACTCCATTGCTACATCTCTCTAGCTGTGAAACACAAGTCTACACAACAAAGAATAGAAAATGGCTGTAATAGACTTTGCACTAGCCTCTTTTGCTTCCAGGAACAATGCAAAACTCTGCTTTTAACTCAATATGATTGCCCTGGTTTTAACTTAAAAAGCCTTGTGCAGTTTGGGATCAGAGTATCTGCCTCCGTATGAATTTGCCTGAGTGTTAAGATCTTCCTCAAGACACTATTCTGTTGGTGCTCCCATTTCCAAAGGTGAAGTGACTAGCAGCTGGGCTAGATTTCTTTAAATTTTTGATTGGTGTTATCTAATTCTGGGTGCACTCTTTCTGAAGGCCATCCTTTCCTTTAGGCATCCGGACAAACTATTGTTTTGTGTTTTTTTAATGACAATTTTTATTTTTATTTTCTCTGTTACTTGCTGTTTTGGCATTTTATCATTCTGCTGCGGTTGCTTTCTAAAAAGTATGCAACATTTTGAGATGTTAGGCTAGTATTCTTCGAATTCATCCCACTGGTGCAAGGACTTCTGCTGGCTCAGTAGAACTTCCTCATCATCTCCTCTCCTCTCAGGCCCCCCATCTGCTCCCGAGGATTGGGGGAACCCCTAGAACAGATTTGCTGGCGCACAGGGTGAGGAAAGGAAATGGAAGTTCTATTGCACCAGCAAAAGTCCTTGTGTAGCAACTTCATTGGCCACAACTTTATATTTGCTGCTTGCTTTATCGTTCCATTGTAGGCTGCTGGGATATAACAAACTTTAATTTAAATATAAAATGTTTGAAATTGTAAATATATCCTCTCCTACCACTCTATTGCAGTACTGCGCGCATACACACACACAGTGTGTATATATATATATATATATATATATATATATATAATGCCTTGTGAAGAGTCTACATTGCTTTTTCTATGGCAGAAGTTTACATTCTCCCTGCCTCAATCTTCTAAAGTCTCAAATAAGGAATAGAATATCTTCATTTTTCAAGAATAGCATTGCCCTTCTATTAAAGATTGTTGGTGTTGGACCAGGGTCAACACATGTATCGTTTTTACAACAGCTTTATTATATAACGAAGTATTGGATGAGAGTTGATTATTCCAGAGGTGAGAACCAAATGATACAGGGTGGAGATCACTAAATGAATACTCCCAGAGAAAGGCAGTGTGATTCAGAAATGAGGAGGAGGAGAAGCACTTCGTAATAAGAAACAGCTCATAATGAAACCAGAGCTTCAGTTGCCAATCGGCAGCAACAAACTTGAAAAAACCAGCACCATAAATGTATGCCTTACTTGGAAAGAGCCATAAATAAATTGAGTTAATGTTCCTGGTGACTGGAGAAATCAATTGTATTTGTAACTGCAACTGTACTGTTTGTTGAATAATGTTATGAACAGTTTCATATGGGCTGTGCCAATACTCTTGGAGGTAGGAATTGTTCTCTGCAAGAGTTTTGATTGTCATTGCAAGACAGATTCTGTGTTGCGAGTTTTGCAGGGCAGGCATGATTTGTTCCCTTGTTGACGCTTTCCCTGGTAAACAGGGAGTCTTGAACTGTTTCAGCTGCTTAACAAAATGTCTACTTCTGTATTGGTGAAATACTCTAAGGACTTGGATACCCTGCAGTTGAGCTAGTCATTGAAATCTTTACAGTGGTTATTGCACATTTAATCAGGCTAAGAGATACAAAATCTGTTGATAACTTAATTTAATGTTTCCTATGAGTGTTTGCAGTGTTAACATTGCAGCATTTGTCTAGAACAGTCTTTCCCGAATTGAAGTTTGAGGAACCCTGACATTCTCTAGGAGAATAACAAGAATGGCAGAAAAATATTTCCGAAAGGCGGGTCCCCAATGTATGAAATGCTGCAGGTGTTTTAGAGCTTCAATCTTCAACCTTTTTAGACTTGGGATCCATTGTTTAGCCCCAACAAGGCTTTCCAGAGTTCACTTCTTAATCTTTTAATTTATATTTCTATGGTGGTAATGTTACAGACCCACTTTAGGTCATGCTGTGACTCACCATCTGAAGACCAGCATTCTGGAATATGAAGTGACTTTGGGCAACCTGGCAGTGAAGGCTCTTGCCAGCATGCCCTGATTATTATAGAATACTCTCTGTTTTGAGGGGAGTTGTTGACGGATAAGTTGGTGTACAAGGCAGTTTCTGAATGCAGAAAATATGAAAAGCCGCTATCTAAATTCAGAGTACAGAAACAGAATATTTTTAAATCACTTGTAAAGCCAGACTTTATAGGAAATTTCTAATGTATCAATGAAAGTGCCATCTGAGGCATTACATTGTGCTAACCCTGCAGCTTGCAGCAGGCAAGTTTAGCTGAACTTTTTAAAAAATCATGTTTTAACCTTTTATAATAATACCCCAGCTTTTTGAGGATTAAGGAAATCCTGGAGTAAAGTTTCATTACATCTGTTATCTGTGAGCATGACCTTTGACTGCAAACGTTTCCACATACAGTACTCATATTTTTTTTCATAATTGTAAGATGATGTCATTTCTGTCAAATGTACACATACACTCCCTTTCCCATGATTCCTAAAATAAAAGTGCTGAAGTTCTCCAACTGTAATAAAGTCCCCCGAGGCTCTTACAACCTTTTTCTGTTTCCTTGATTCCACACCATATTCAAGTAGGTATATTAAGCATACAAGTAAATAAAACAAGAATCCTTCTCGCAGTGTTTAGCTTCGTATTCTTAACTTTACAACCACCCACCTCCCAGAATATTGCTTCAAGTATATATTTTGCTGTGAACCTTCCTCGGTTTTAAAATGAGGAATTTGTGCAAAGAATGGTTTTATTGACTTGGAAAATTAAAAATGAACTCTCATCTTTTAAGCTGTTGCTGGCATGCTTCCAAATGAAACGAGTTTGGGTGCATAAAACACGTCTAGCAGATTAGTATTCATGTACCTAAGTAATAAAGCTCTACAAACATATCTATTGGAAATGTTTTCAAACTTTGCAGAGGGCAGACGTCTCCTGTATTCTTAACACATCTTAACATTGGGGGCTTTTAAATTACTCTGTGTTCTACTTTGTATTATTTGATGTAAAATAAAACCGAACTACTTACCTTTTTTAAAAATCCTGAGTTGCCGGAAGCCTCTTTAGGATCTGGTGCTTCAGGATGCTTTGCAATATCCTTGTGAGGGTAAATAACAGAGCAGGAGTGTGATTTCCATTAAAACAGTTTCTGCTTACTTAATCCTCCTAGACCTTAATGATCATTGGGAAAGTGCATCTTAGAAAGCTGTGGAGTATGAGAGCCTTCACTAGTTACGTTGTACAACAGAGCTAATTGCTTACTTTACGCTTGGGGAATCTGGTTCTGCCTGTTGGAAACCCAGCCTTGCTTTCAAGGCGGGCCATTCTATTCTAATGAGGCAGCACCAGGAAGTGCCATTGCCTGCCTTCCTCCTTACTGGACTTGCTGGTTTACATTGCAAATGCCTGTTGCTTAATATGATTCTACTCCTAAAAATAAATCCCCTGAACATCGGATACTTGGCATGCAAATAAGAGGAATTTTTAGACTATGCATATCAGTGCCAGGGATCACAGATAATATAGAGGGGAGGAAATGCTGGGGTCCTCAGAGGCCAACAAGCATGCATAAAGTGCTATGGTGTGAATGTACAGAGTGACTGATCCCTCCCCAATCCATGCCATCCTTTCACATGAGATGCTGTGTGTGTGAGAGAGAGAGAGAGCACGCACACATACGCAAGAGCGAGATAGAGCACCAGCCCTTAGGAATAGCTATCGTGCAGGCATGAAACACCATACAGAGCTTTTGGTTCTGGCCACTGAAGATACACAAGTTTGAACTCTACTTAAAAATAACTCTTTGAATTTGTGCATTCCTTTTGTTGGAACAATTTACAACAAAACAATAAGCTTGACATTCACCTGCTTCAAAAAAAATAGAAGTGTATACTGTGTGTTTTAAGAGTAATTAATACAATGTTATGATTTTCCTTTTCTGATAATTAACCATTATGTGCAACTTATTCCTCTGAGGAGTAATTATTGTAAATGGGCAATATCGGAGACTGTCACTGCCTTCTATTGCACACATAAATTGAGATTTTCTCCTGCTATTGCTTGTTGTCTTGTATGTTTACTAATGTAAACAGTGCTGTTGCATCTTCTTACTTGGTGGCTTTCTTTTTCTTAGGTTAGCAAATAAGCAGGATAAAGAAGGCGCCTTGGCAGAAGCAGATGTAATTGAGTGTTTATCTCTCGAAAAGCTTGTCAACGAGCACAAATGTCTCTGTCAGATTGTAAGTGCATTTTAATAAGATTAATTGTAGGTTCATTTTAATAAGATTGATTAACTTCCTTAAACCTGATGTGTGAGCAGAACTTTGAAACTAGAATTGTGTAATCCCATTGTTCCCATCCACTTTACAACCAGCCATTTTCTCTTCTTCTGTACTCCTGAGCTCTGGTTGTGATTACTGCACCAGTTTTAATAAAAGACAGGTAGACTTGCTTCAGCGGCTTAATATCCAGGCTGTAAGGAAATTAAGGCCAAACCCACCCCAGCCTTTGCCACCACTCAAATGCTTTAGGCTACTGTTCCATTGTAGTGTCCATCATTGCACTGAATTTAACTGCTGCTCTTGAGCTTTATTAACTTATTTATTTAACAAATATTGCTAATAAAAGGTGGCGACAGGGTGTGGTGGGGGATCAGTAACCTTTAGAGTAACCGAGTGAAATAGTTTAAGCAATGGCAAATCTTCCCAACATGTCTTTCACGATAAGTTTTATTCCAGGGTTCTGGTATTTGTTGGAACATTTCTATCTGTGGATCTGTGCAATATGCTGGTATGCACTTACGCCAGACACATGGGAGCGGGGCTAGTAAGCTCAGCCCCACAACCGTCCTCACACGCCCCTTGAATGCGTGGTGGTGTCATCCTTTCTCCCATTTTATTCTTTGACATGGCAGATTCACTTAAGATGACAGCACTTTAAATTCCATTAACGTTATGCCACATGTGCACTGCTTTAGAAGAACCCTAGTAAAAAAAAAATCTAGTGTCTAAATCCTCATTTAAATTGCTCTTGTACCAAATTGCCAAAGTGATCATTTTCCTCATATTTTTGGAATATATATGAGGGCAGCTTCTGGGAAAGCCATTTTTGGAGTGTGTAGGCAAACCTGCACCTGCATCTCTCTGGATTGCAGCCTTTACAGTTCAATACTGAGATGAATCAAAATGTGTATGAGTTCCAACTGACAAGCACCTGTATAATTGCCAGTGAGTTAGGATCTCTTTGTCCACGTTGATAGTAATTTAACAATATAATGCTGCTGATTTTTCTCTTGCATATAGGAACCTTGTTCAGCGATCATGGGCTATGGAAAGAAAATTGACAAATCTATAAAGAAAGGTTTACTCTGGCTGTTACATATTATAGCCAAAGATTTTGATGCCTTACATGAACGAATCCAGAAAGATACCATAGAGCAAAAAGCAGCTGAAGAACAAGAGAAAAGAGAGCGGGCAGAACGAGTGAGGAAGATACGGGAAGAAAGGTATGTTTGTTTTGCTTTATAAGAAGGGACTGTATGAAAGAACACTATTAAGTTTTTTTTTAAAAAAAAATTTAGTTATTTAAAAAATGTCATTTGTTTAGTTTGAAGTAACATAATAACTTTCATTTATTTATTTTGAAGTAATGTAACAACTTGAAATAACATAATAATGTATATTTGCTTAAGAATATTTATTTTGAAATAAATATAATAGCAACCCCAAAGGGAAATAAAAATACTTTACCAAGATATGTAAGTAGTTACATAAAACATTTTTTCTACTGCCTTTCATCATACCATATGTCAGTGTTGTGTACAACATGGAACAACATCGCATCTCAGACAAGTGTAATGTGCACAACCTTATTTACTGATGTCTTTATGGGTGCCCTGGAGGAGAACAGTCAATGAATCTTCCATGACAATGTTAAAATTACTATTTAACTGAACTAGAAAAGTACATGTGTTGGAGATTGCTAAATCATCGAATCATAGAGTTGGAAGGGACCAAGGGTCATCTAGTCCATCCCCCTGCAATGCAGGAATTTCAGCTAAAGCATCCATGACAGATGGCCATCCAACCTCTGCTTAAAAGCCTCCAAGGAAGGAGAGTCCACTGCCTCTCGCGGGAGTCTTGTTTCACTGCCAAACAGCTCTTACTGTCAGAAAGTTTTTTCCAAATGTTTAGTTGGAATCTCCTTTCTTGTAAATTGAAGCCATTGGTTTGAGTCCTACCCTCCAGAGCTGTTAATTGTCGCTTTCCAAGTGTATTGGTAATCATGTGGTAAGGTAAAGGTAAAGGGACCCCTGACCGTTAGGTCCAGTCGTGACCGACTCTGGGGTTGCGGCACTCAACTCGCTTTATTGTCCGAGGGAGCCGGCATACAGCTTCCGGGTCATGTGGCCAGCATGACTAAGGCGCTTCTGGAGAACCAGAGCAGTGCACAGAAACGCCGTTTACCTTCCTGCCGGAGCGGTACCAATTTATCTACTTGCACTTTGACGTGCTTTTGAACTGCTGGGTTGGCACGAGCAGGGACTAAGCAACGGGAGCTCACTTTTGATCAGCAAGTCCTAGGCTCAGTGCTTTAACCCACAGCGCCACCCGCGTCCCAATCATGTGGTAGAAGTCGTCAACTACTTTGTCAGAACCTGGAGCATCATTAGAGTGAGGCTGTTACAGTGATGTCTGCTGTGGTGGTGCCTGCTGTTCCTTGCATAATCTTAGGGCTAGGTTCAGGTTCTTACATGCTGTTATTATGATGTGCACAGCATTCTGGAGTAAAACAACCATGAGTGATTTTATTGACAGACCACATGAGGTTTTTGTTTACTTTTTTTAAAAAAACAATCTGTGTTCATAATTCCTTAACGTGCCAATCTTTTCCATTGATTTGTGTTTTATTCAGCACAGGGTGTACTGTCCACACATTAAATGACCATTCTAAAGTACAGCGCTCCAGTATCATTTAATCAGTCCAGATAATAAATGTATTTAAATGTATTGTGCTTCTGTGCAGTTTCTAAACTTTCAAAAGCAGCAGAGAAACATTGTGTTTACACACCGAGCATACAGAGTCCATGTGCTCAAGCATCTGCCTTGCTTGCTTGCTTGCTTGCTCTAATGACCAGGCATGGTCATTACATTGAGGCTGCAACGTTAACTCTGCTTACCTTGGAATAAGCACCATTCAATTTAGTGGTAGTTGCTTTTGAGTAGACATGATTAGGTTCGCCCTGTAAGCTAGTTTTTGGTAGAAGTTATAGATGATGTAAGATTGCACAGTATCAAGTTATTTCCATGACTGCATGCATTTGGGAGCACTTTTTCTCATACAGTAAAGCATGTAGAGTAAAGATTAGAGGCAGGCAGCTGCAGAAAATTCTGCATGGTTCATCAAGAGGCGGTAAAAGGCAGATACTTTGCACCAATTTTTCTCACTTCAGGTCAGCATCCTAGAAATGGCTGCTCAGTAGTCTCGTGTTCCTATAGTTTTCTGTTCCTATTCTATGATAAATTAGGTGAAAATAGTACCATGCTTCGGAGAAAGCTTTGTAGACAGAAGTCCAGACAGTGATCTCTTTCCAAACTGAAGCTTTATAACAGAAAAGAGATGCTGATATTTTGATCATAGTAATGACTTGTTTTCCAAATCTCTCTGCTCTCCACTTTCACTTCTGTCCCCATGATTTCTACAGTTGCTGTCTCTAGGATTGAAAATATATATATTTTTAAAGCAAACAATGGATATACAGTATTACAAGTCTCTGTGGAATTTATGGGAGCATTGTGTTTGCTTTTTCTGGTCATTTTAGTATATGGTGTGCAGAAACATAGATGAGATAATGTAGGAAAGATTAAAAATCCATGTAATAAGTAATTAAGTTACAGTGGATGCAGCATGTACATTGATCATACACCAAATCTCTTACGAAAGTTTTCAAAACTTTAACAAAAAATCAGTATGTTTCTTGTTGCTTGTACCTCTCAGAAAAGTGCTTTGAAATACAGATTTGGTTCCAGCAGAGACTTTCCACTGGAAGAAGTGCATCTAACTGGATCTAACTCACAAGTGTTGTATACTGAAAACTTTATATGGTTGACAACCATAATCTCCTTTCCTAATTCTCCCCCTTCTCCTACACAAGCCTCTTTGCCACTGTTTTTCCTCTTCTCTCTCCTCCCCACCTTTTCCCTAGCTGCCCCCATGCCTTTATTTTCCTTTTGGTTCCTGACTGTTGTTTGTCTGAATTAAATTGTCCAGAAGCACCACATGGACTACCTCCAAGCTAGTCAAATGATTCCTCTTTATGGAGTGTGCTGTATCAGAGGTTCCCAAACACACTCAACTCCCTTCTATCTATCTTCCTACTCGCTGCACCTGGTAAATAAGGCTGCCCTTGTGTGCTTTCAAAGAACAGGCAAGTCTCAAATCATCCAAAATAGGTGCTGCTAACAATACCACAACAACAAAATTGGAGAAACCTGCCATGAGAATCAGGTGGTGGTCTTGTGCGCGGTAAAATCTTTAGAAAATATAGGGATATTGAATTTTATCTTGTTCTGATTTGCACTCAATTTTTTGCCTTAAGGATAGAACAGAATGCATGTTCAAATGCATATTGAAAGCTGGTGGTGCTAATAGCTAAAAGTGTGCGTGCCATCAGCCAGGACATTTCAGAATTGGATCTCATTTCAGCCCCTGCTGGCTGGCCTCAAAAAAGCCAGTGCTCTCACCTTCACATTCGTTCTTTGCAATTTGAGGAATAATACACATTTGTTACAAGGGGTGTTGTAAGGATGACTGACATAATGTACATGAGATGCTTTGAACACTTATAATGTGCTAAGGATCATAACCTCAATGGCATTTCCTTTGGAATCGTGTTGATTCAAGATCTTCTGTCTTTCTTTTTTTTAAAAAAACAACAATAACAAAGAGATCGGAAAGAGCGAGAAGAAGCAGAACGTGAAGGAAGAAGTGTTCCTAATGAAGATGACACTGAACCAGTAAGAGGCAACCCATTCCAGCCTATATCAGCTGTAATCACTGAGGTATCGGAACATTCGTATGTTTTAAAAAATGTTTTTGATAATCCATATATTTGAGACTGATACTGTTCAATAATGGATATGGATTCTGAGTCAGAGTGTTGATTAGTAGTGATTTTTCCTGCTCAACCTTCCCCTTAATAGAAAAAGTATTCTAAAAAGCAACTGCCCCTACCAATATCAAGAATCCTAGATAAGTGCTGGTTTGGGTTTGAAAGGATGGTCTAGAAGTCTTAAAAGAGGTACATTACAGTATACATGTTCAAGTAAGGGAGTTTCAACATGATCATCACCATTGTTTACTTGGAAGTTATTAACATTGACTAGTCTGACTGTGGGAACGTATTTTAAATATTCAATGTATAATATTAAAAACTGGTTTGTATCCAGTGCTGCGTGAGCATGGTATTCCACTTGTGCAACTGGACTTCCTTTCTTCTCCTCTTCCCATGTGCCTCTCCTTAATCTGCTCCAGACGGTCCCTCAACCCAGTGGAGCAAATTTTGAGGTTGAATGTGGGGGTGGCGGGGGGTTTCAAGGCAGAGGAGGGGGAAGTTCTGTTGTGCAAATGGAACTCTGCTGTACAAACTGAACAGCAGCATTGGCTACAACTCAGTATCTTAAATAGTCAAGCGAAGACTGTGGTGGACATCTCGTTTGGCAGTTCTCCAAAAATTAATCCCAAACTATTTGGTATTTCATATTATAGTACTGTACATATACAGTCCAGTACCCCTCTTCCATGTCTGCACATCAGGCAGCAGCCCCTTGCAAGTAATGCAAACAAGAGTGCCATACTTTTTTATATATATAAGATATTTATTGAATTTTTCAAAGTGTTACCAAATAAAATAAAAGCAGTAGAAAATACAAAATAAAAATAATTAACAAAGTAGAAAAAGAAAAAAAAAACCCCTTCCAACCGTATGAATACAAATTCAAAAATAAGAAAAAGTGACAAAAAGAAAAAAAAATACAAAAATACATCACACACAATTAAAAAACATTTAAAAACAAATTCATTATTCTCATATCCTCAACTGTCATTACCTTCTTTCTTTGACCTCCTCCTCCTCCCTTTCTTTGTATCCTAGTTATTAATTATCCCAGCAAATCCTTTCCATATTTCATAATATTCTGTCATTACATTACCCTAAACTGTTTTAATCTTATCTTTCTATAATAAAATAAACCTTAAAGCTTAAAACTTAAATCTTATCCTTACCAACTTCTCATAACCATAATATTCTTTCATAATTCTTTAAACATCTTTACTAAAGCCAAGTAGTTTCATTCCAACATTTTTCTAACATTCATCAATTTTATAAAACAGTTCTAATGGTAGAAAAAAGAAATACAAACAAATCCAATCTTCATCCAACGTCCCTTCCTCCTGGTTCCGGGTTTTGTCAGTCCTTATTATCCCGTCAATCTAGCCCATTAACCTGGCAGCCTTATATCCGAGGCCCTCAAGTCTCTTCCATGTCCCTTCCGCAGCTCTTCTTCATATTTGTAACTGTATTTTCCCTTGTCTCCTGCTCGTGGTAACTCCAGCTTGGCAATATTTGTAACCCTTCTCGACAGATCAGCCCATTTTCCATATTCAACACTGAGTTCCATATGGTATTTAAAAGCATGTTTCAAAGACCCTCCGAAATTAAGAGCCCCCACAATCCCAAACATCTCACGGCCCATTGTCAGATTTGAAAAGTCCAAACATCCCAGCATAGGGGGGTCAATCCAGCCCCCCATTTCCAAGCCAAACCAAACTTTTTCTTTCCAAATCTGGCTTTTTCCAAGTTCATTTGTCAAATCCGAAAACTCATATTCCTGTTGGGCCTGTTCTGTCAGGACACACTCCTGATTTAATTCCTGAGTGGGCTCCACATATTTTCCCACTGTCTGTTCAAAATTTCCCACTGCCTGTTCAAAATTTCTAGTCGAAGTCGCCATCCAATTCACCTTTTCATGTAATTGTTCCAGTAGGGCATTTGTTTTATAGAAAGCACACAACAAAGCTTCTGAATACATTGTCCTGCAAGGTCGAATGCCTGTTCCCACGATTGTTATCTGTAACAGCTGCCGGCTCTTTGGAGTTAGTTACAGTTACACAGTCTCCCTCTAGGGGGAAAACTTCTATTTGTTCTTGCAACAAAATTTCCCTTTTTGAGATACTTTGTCAATATTTGTTGCTTAAAGATGCGAAGGGAAGCAGTGGAATCGCTATGTTTCTCTTCTTTTAGCTATCTGTCAAAATGCTTGTCTCTGGTCAATGAACTTCAAACGTCAGTCCTGACACCCCGCTCCAGGATCAGGACGGAGGAAAGTTACTTTAAACTCACTTTAAACAGTCCGGAAAAGATCCCCCTCCTTCTCCTGCTGTCGAAGGGGGGTTCCACAATTTTAAATGATGAAATCCAATCCTTTAAAGGCGATTTTCTAAGCTCTAGTTTACGTTGTCTTTGCTTTATTCTGTCTACAGAAGAACGGAAGGCTGACTCCCTGTTTAGACCTTCCCGTTCCGTACCAAATTAAAATAGGTTTTTAAAATCCAATTCCTTTCTGCTCGCAAGTCCTTATCTAATGTCCAGTTGTTCAAAGTCTAAGTACTCATGGGTGCTTATTTTAGAGTCCAAATTGTCCCAGGAAAAAGGCAGCACTCTCCAGCAACGGCTGTGCGGCTTCACTCCACGGAAATAGCAATTGACTCACAGCACCGCACCACTTCCCCCTCTTCACTTCGGAGCCCGTTAGTGGGTTCCTTAGTGAGTTGGGGGGGGCGCTAAAGGTGCCCGCCGAGTCCCATGGTCACAGGCTTCATCCGCCTGTGATTTTTAAAAGGGTCCCCGCTTCGCTGTAGCGGAAAAGACCCGTTTCCCGCGGAGCTAGTCCCTCCTGTTCAGAGGGAGTCCGCCATTGCCAATGGCGCCACCCCGGAAGTCCAAGAGTGCCATACTTAGGACTGTAGGCTTGGCTCCTATCCAGGAGTGCCATAAACTTCTGCTGCTGCACCAGGTATTGCACTCGTTCTATAGGATAGCCATCATTGTTCTAGGAAAAATACTAAGTATGGGCTTGTTACATCTATGCAATCTAACTTTTTATAGATACTTCATTTCTATGAGCTTCTTTGAAAATGTATATGTTCCTGCTTTTCCAAGTTTGCTGAAAACATAAAATATAATTCAAAAACAATACAAGTGTTAACAAAAGAGCTGCATTAAAATCAGCTTCCTTGTACTCAGACTACTCTTGATTGTTCCTTTCCTCATGAGCCAAAGACCTTTGGAAGCATATATTAAGGTCAGAACTGCCTTCATAATAGCAGCACTTTTTTTTTTGTTAAACTGGTTTAGAATAGCATTACCAAAAAATGTCAGCCGCTCAGCTTCCGAAATCAATGTAAGTGATTAAAAGCTTAGTATTTTCAGCAAAGAAGAAGCTATATTACAAAGTCTAAGTACATTATACACAGTGGTTTGTTTGTGGAATCCCCCAGTAATCTCTGTGTACATACACGGGAACTAAACTAACACTACTGAAAATATTTGTAAAGCTGAACCTTTAAATACCTGACATTTAAAAACAATTAAAATGTAAAGTTGCATATAGCATGCCTTTACTAAGAATACAGAAACTAAGTAATATTCAGATATTAAGTCTTCTATATCTGAAGTTTCATTTTATATTATTGATTATCTATGATCTAGCAGAAAGGATGGTGTGCTACCTAGGAGATTAATAAAAAATCTAGGCTGACTGTGAACTCGCTTCAAGTAGAGGCACCCTTTCTCTCTGAAGATATATTGCTGAGCTGAATGTAAACAATTATAAAAAGTTTTGCTTAGCTTGTGCTACAAATGATTTTAATAATAATAATATAATATTTTCACTGATCCTTGTAGAGTTGTTTGTTTGTTTTTCTTTTTGCTGACTTTCCCCCTGTTCCACTGTCCACCCCAAAATTTCATGTCTGCACTGCTGGTTTACAAAAATTGCATTTTTTTCTCTGCTTTGTTAGAATGAAAAGAAAATTGAACAAGAAAAGAAGAGGCAGCGGGAGGAAAATGAGAAGTCTTCCATTGCCTTGAAACCTAAAACAGATCAGGAGCAAATGGACACTCAGAGCCTGAACAGCCAGCGATCAAATGAGAGTAGATTGGTAGAAAACTATAAATCTGCACTAACACAACGTTTGGAACATGAAGATGAGAATGACCAGCAAATTTCAGAAAGTCTTGACTCTGGTGATAATGCCACTTTGAATTCTGGAATAGGTGGGTTGAGTTTCATGCTTGTAGTATAAACACTGACTTCACTTGCTAGCCAGCTTCTATTGTGTTTGCCACAACTCCCCTTCTCCGTCCTCTAGCATGCACATAATGGTTGGATGAAATGCAGGAAATATTTTTCACTTGCACTACAGTTTGGAGAAGTGAAGATCCAGCAGGATAGCTGCCTTTTCCTCCTGCTTCTGATTAAACAGGATTTGGGAGAAATGTAGGGGTTCTTACCTCATTTGCAGAAGATAAATGGCATAAGAGATTCCTGCTTCCGTACTGTAGTGTAATTTTCAGCTCAAAGATGAAGTGAATGGGTTGGGGGTTTAAAAGCTGCTCTAAATCCTTCATCTTTGTTACCAAAGGGGGCCCTTGTTGAGTGGGTTTTTATTTTTAATTCCTTCGTAAGCTGGTGGGTTCCAGTTATGATACCATACTGCAAATGTTGCTCTTAAACTTAGATTGGACTGTTTTAATTGGATAATAGGTATGCAATATGTTTCTGTAGTACGTTATGATGAAAGTTTGCCTTGTTTATTTAAGGGCAAAGTGGTAATAGTATAACTTATTATATGATGACATCCCAACATCATGCAAGCAGAAAGTCACTCACTCATGCAATGCATCTTCCCCTTTCCCCATACCATCAGATGGGCACAGTCAAATTTCATCTTTTACTCTGAATGATGATGATGACGACGACGATGACAATAATAATAATAATAATAATAATAATAATAATAAAAAACAAACCCAAAATAAGTTTGCAGTTCTGTATATATTTCACAGAGTGCACTTGTGCTTATTCTGAGCAAGCAGGCATTGGATTGATAGGGTCATTCTGGTTAGATGTTGGAACCTTTCTCATCCTGCCTGATGGAAATTAGCAGGGAAAGTCAAAAGTCTTACCATGCAATCCTAAACACACTTGGTGGGGCATTCTGCTTTGTGCTGTAGTCAGAGGCTCTTTAATCAAAACTAACCTTCCCTCAACATTGTGCCCCCCAGGTGTTGTTGGGTTATAACTTGCATCAGGATGTTCCACTCTGGTCTGTGGTCAGGGATGTTGGAAGCTGTAGAACAAAATATTCAGCGGGCACCAGGGTAGGGAAGGCTAGCCTGAAAATCGTCAGGTATTCCCAGATTGGCTTGCCTCTTTGGAGGCTCTCCCTAAGATGTCCCCATTATCTTAGGTGAGAGAAAACTGTAGATAGCCTTCTTGATTAGACAGCCAGCTTTTAAATGGTTGTCCCCAGGGAGGCTTGCCCAATGTCCATGTGGATGTCCTTTCAGTACCAGGTGAAAACTTTTTACTTTTTTCAGGCCTTTTAACCTCTGATAAGGTCATTTTTAATGTTGCAGTTTTATTTGCTGTTTTTATTTGATTGTCGTTTCAAAGGATTACACTGTTTTTACCATTTGGAAACTATAAGCCATTCTGAAAATAGAAAGGCAGGATACCTATTTGTTAAACGAACAAGTAAACATTAGAGTTGGTTAGATGCAAATGCTAAATTGCAAGTGTTGCTTGTGTTTTGCTTTAGAGAACAGCAAAAAGAAAACAAAGAAACTAAAATTGAAAAGGAGTCATCGAGTAGAACCAGTCAATACGGAAGAGACGGTTTCCCCGAATCCTACACCAGTAGCACCTCTTGCACCAGGTTCGTAAGCATGAATAACTAATGGTATGTCAGTTTCAAAAAGGCCATTTCACCTGACCTTTCAGATAATAGGAAAATAGATCTCACATGGCTTTTTTCATAGCATACAGAAATTTTAAGAATAAACCTGCCGCTGTTGGATTTTATTCCAGAGTGAACAATGCTCTTGCTAGGAGGGATTCCCCCTACCACACCCAGCACACACTGGGAGATAGTTGGGAGCATCATTTTACAACTCCTGGAATTAAGATGCTTGAGGAATTGGATCTCCATTACCATAATTCTGACAATAATTGACCTGATTCAAAACTCTTGGGGTTAATGGATTAACCACCACTTTTTCCACTTCCCAAATGTTCTGGTGGCAGTTCTTGGTGAAAGCCATATCGAAATATTGAATCGAAATTGAAGGAATATACAAGCATTTTGTGCCCTTAAAAAAACAATAATCCTAGATTAATGGGAAACATGACAGAATGAATAATAAGTGAACAGATGTGAAAGTGACACAGATTAGAAATAGTCTGATGACTGTGGGCATATAGGGAATCTCTTTCTCTCCATGCCCTGCTTATAGGTTTCCCAGAAATATTGGCTGGTTACCGCTAGAGACAGAAAACTGGATTAAATGGCCCATTACAGATGGTACTTGTCATTAGTAGCAACAAAAAAGGAGCACGACTGTTCTTACGTTCTTTCTCATCCCTGGCAGCTTGTTTTAAAATGGAATTTTCAATGCACTGTTTATTTATATTATGAATTTCTCCCCAACAGCCTAGATCTCTGCAGACATGTTGTGTTTGGGTCCCACTGACACCTAAAGGAAAATGTTCAGTGAGATTGTATAATTTGCGTATTTTGACTGTCTCGGTGATATGTTGTTTGTTTGCCTTTAAATATATGCGTGTAACCTTTTCTGGGTTATGAATGAATGAATACATTCCATCTTCACAAAGATGAATGTTTGCATCAGTAGATTTCTGTTTGACAATGTGGTGTTGCTCTTTGATATTCTTTTTCCTGTAGTTGGCTGGGAAACTCCTACTAAAGTTAACAGAATTCGAAAACTTGAACCTCTTGGTGAAACCCGTCGTAATGGTAATTTCAGAGGAGATCACAATTTGTTGGTTTTCCTCAGAAACCTGTTCCATTTTGCATGCTGGCTTTTTCTTTCATTTCAGCTAACCATGTGCAGCTTTAATAGCATATTTTTTCAAGTTTTGAAAAGAGCTCATTCTTTGTTCTAGCTCCCCCTCCCCTGTTTAAAGCAAAGTGTGGGCTGCATCTTGCTTATACAGTATTTGCTTCATTCTGTTTGCTTCAATACAAATTGGTCTCTGGTGTGCCCCTGCACCATGATTTACAAATAAAGCAACCAGCACCCCATGATAACAGATCCCATTGCATATAATACTAAATATGTACTTAGGTGTAGACCAGAGGGGGGGAAATGAAACAAATTGCATATATTGCCAGCTTTACATATATCAATGAATTCCTAAAGCTCAGGTGAGGTGTAGGGATAAATCTGTTTTAAAATAGACCTTTGTTCTAAATCTCATTGATTCTACAATAAATGAACCGATTCTTTTAAAAATTCAGCTGCCATTTTCTTCTTCTCAGATGACTAATGGAGGGAAAGTATTTCAAGACCTGTGAAATACATCTAGATGCTTTTGCACTATAGCATATCCTCATTGCTTAAGCATTTCTATTGAGCAATATTTCAGAAAAATGGGGATGCCCTTAGATCAGTGGTAGAGCACATGCCTTGTATATACAAGACCAGACCTCATATCTCTACTTTAAAGGATTTCCCCTAGAAAAGGCTGCAAATGATTCATGTCCTAGCAAACTGCTACAAGCCAGAATAAGTAATATTAAGATGGATGAAGATTCAGGTAGGTAACCGTGTTGGTCTGACACAGTAGAAATATATATAAAAAAATTAAAAAATTGTCCAGGAGCACCTTAGAGACCAACTAAGTTTGTTCTTGGTATGAGCTTTCGTGTGCATGCACACTTCAGATACCAAGATGGATGAAAGCAGCTTCATACATTTGCAGAACTATTATTTTTCCAAAAAAGTAAGAAAAAGGTTAATACTTGTAGTGGTAAGCACAAATACTTTGCACTGTAATGAAACAGTTACGTAATATGCCTTTCCACAAATTTGTGTAACAAAATGCATCTTTCTTTTTAAGGAGTATAAAGAGAAGAAAGCAAGAGAAAAGAGAGAACAACAGAGGTAGGGAGGAGAGTGAAGGGCTTGCATTTACTGATTTCATTCCCTTTGCTCAAAACAAGGCAGCCCGATTTGTGGCTGGAGCATGAGAATGGAAATCAAAGATATATATATATATCCTTGGACCCAAAACAGAGCGACTTTCCCTCTCTTTCTGATGTGTAGAGCCAAAATGGAAAATCTTCTCATGCAAGAAATACTTCTGATTGCATTTGGTAACTCAGCTTGGTGAATTACTGACACAAGAATACATATGGTATTCATCACCCATAGATTTGATTCCCAGAAATACAGTTAATAATGTTTATCTGTCATTGAGTTCCTTGCATTCTTGTCCGCATTTCATTAACAAAGACCCACAACTTAGATTTGAGATGATAAAACAGAATCTGGGGACAAACAGAGAGTCATGTGCTATGGCTTTTTTGATGCTACTATGGGCACTAATGAAATTTTAGAATCTTCTGTTAGAAAGTGTGCATTTGCCAGAATTCCAATACTTTTCAGCTTCAGGAGAAAGAACAGACTTCATCAATCCCCCAAAAGGTTTGGTCTACACTTCCCATCATCTTTAGTCAGCATGGCCAGCCAGGGCTGATGGGAATAGTAATTAAAAACATCTGGAAGGCACAAGGTTTTGGGGATGTTGAGACAATTTCCCTAAAATTCAGATCATTTTAAAAACTCCCCTATGCAAAAAAAGAAAGAAAAGCCATTGGATTCATGTATATTTTTACTATAGAAAACTATGTAGCAAATATTTATGACAATACTTAACATCATGCAACGTCATGTATGAAAAAATAATCAACGTGACAAACTGAATCAAAACTAGGGGGCATAAGATGTATATAGCTTACCATCTATTTTTGGTGCCACAGATTCAAAAATATCCTAAGAGCTGCTTGCATGCACTTTTCCTGTTTGCTGTCTCACTTTCCTGCTGAGCACATAAACCAATAGTTTTCTTTTTCTTACTTGATAATTTTGCACGTATTAAGCTTGCATGTCTCACACATGGATTTTTTTAGAGTGTAAAGATGAATGTTTTCCTTCTCTCTTAGCTATATTTATTAATTTGGCTGTGGGGGGTGGGGTGTCTCCTTTTTCCTTTTCCAAATCCTGTTTATCTCCCCAAATGACTATTCAGAAGTGTACAAGCAAATCTGGAGCTAGTGTGTCTGGACAACATTACAGTTGAAGGTGTCCACTTAAAAAGCCCCTACTAACATTTGCTGCCTCTTTGTAGCTAACTATGTTGATGTGGAAAACAGTGGAAGAGAGGGAGGAACCCTGCAAGTGAATGGTCGCTTGAAATTCTTCCTTTCCCTTTCTTTATCGCTCCTGGTCAATGTGGGCTTCACATGGTTAACTATAAAGCAGTTGGGGAAAATAGCAGCAGCAACAGTTTGGGGTGCGCCTGTGTATATAATCAAAATTATCACCCCAACAATTCAGGTTAGACAAGTTTTCAATTCCGTCCCCTTTTTTCTTCATATTACATTTTGACCCTATCCCTATATTTCTTTAACATACTATGATTTTCCTCGCTGGAATACATTACCTGTAGACAAAGTATCTGCTGGTGTGAAATGTTTCAAGCATTGCCATTTTTCTTCCACAAGTCTTCATGACAAAATAATGTCATTAGGAGAAATTGTGAAATATGGGTTAAAAAAATTACGGGCAAAGGTATACCTTTTCAGTATTCTATGTTTTGCCATGCCCCCATACTTAATAAACCAGCAGACACTGGTGTTCCTCTTCTTCAAAAGAATGGCTAGATATATGGCATTTTATATATTAACTTGGTTTCTTTTCTGATATGTGTTAGATTTCTATGGAAAGCCGCTGCCTCCACTGACTATACGGCAAAGACCTAACAGCGATACCCATGAAGTAATTTCTTAACCAACAGTCATGTGGCAGTTTTTAAAGAAGCATGTATCATGTAAAGGGAAGACCTGTATAAGACACTGTGTTCTTGTTTCCAGAGACACCTGCTTTTCTTAAACGTTGCTGGGCAAGGACAGTAAGGCTGCCTTGATATCTCAGCTGTGAAGATGGCCCTCACAAACTATCCTATTTCCTTCTTGACTCACCAATTCTTCTTCAGGGTTAATGTGGAACAAGAGAACTTACATAAGTAAAACTCTTGGGAAATGGAACACTTTTTTTCCTTCCTGGAAAGGATAGTTGCAATCCTGAAGAAAACATTTTCAAGACCAAATGCAACTTAACTGTGCACGTGCAAAGACTGTTTTTAAGTTTGGCTTAATACAACGAGGAGACTTTTTTTTTTGTTCTTTTTGGGGAGTTGTAAAATACATGCATGTTCAAGTGGGGGGGTATAAAGTGTACATTTTAACTATTTTTATATTTTTCTAGCATTTTGTTTTAACAGAACTATTTGGTTAACAGAACTATTTTGAAATATTAAAGTCCATAGCTATATTCAAAAGCAGAACATATTTAAGAATGTCACATTTTCACAGCACTTCACTCTTGCATGTGATTTGCCTCACAAATTGTCTTGTTACTTTGCCATGCTCTGATCCGCCAAGAAGAAATGTGAGTGCAAATGGATGTTGTGCTCATGTCTTTAGTGAACCACAGCTAGACTTCCTGGAATAGTACCATTTCTATCTTCTGGAGGCAAGATTTCAGACAGATTATTAATAATAGTCTGTGTGCAACGACCATTCCTGGAATTGATTTTTCATTTCTTCCTGTTAGATTGTGTTGCTCTTGTGCAACAAATGGAATTGTATCCAAAATTATGAGAGTTTTCTTCATGGAATCATTTGATTTTGACTATAGTAACCTAAAATGAATTATCTGCCCCAGGGTCTAAGGATGGAAACTACAAGCAATAAAAAGTTGAAAATAATTTAAATTTCCTGGAAAATTAAATCACTTATTGCAGAAATTGGGAACCTGTCACTCTCCAGATACTGTTGGACTAAAGCTTCTGTCATCCATCACTTTGCAGCTGGCTGAGAGTTGCAGTCAAATAACATCTGGAGGGCCACAGGTTTAGTGTGTATGCATTTTTCTTAAGATAACAATGAAATATTACTTTTTCACACTTTCGTGTTCAGATTTGTGCATATGAGAATATATGATCAGGGAAGCCCCTGTACATTTAAGTATGATGGGCAGCTCTGAATATTCTTGTACACAGTGGGTACAAATTCACACTAGCATTAAAGTGAATAAGAAAATCTCTTCTCCTATTGGAGCCCTCTGAATCTCTGAAAACTGTCATGTTCTGACAATGTATTTCTAAACTTTTAACAAACTGGGCAGGAAAGGAACATGAAAATATTTCTTTGGTACTATGTTTATGTGTGTTTAGATATCAGTTAAAGAGAATAACTTGTACACCAGAAATAAAACTTGACAGTTGAAGCCTCACATTTACTTTCAGCTTCTGTGAATTTTGCATAATTGTAAATGTCATTCCTTGAAATATATCTAACTTAAAGTTTATATTCACACAAGTTTTTATTTGCATGTGGATGTTATCCATCCACTGACTGATTAATTCTCCTTGCCTGGGAAAAGCAAGGAACCACAGGACCAGCTCTTACCACATCTGAGGATGATCCTGTCTTTTTTTTGGGGGGGCGGTTATTTTAACTGGGTGTTTTGTGATAAAAATATGCTTTGTCCAAAGTGCTAGTAGAGCATGACAGCATCATTTTGAAAAGCATTTATTTGCTGCGTTTTCTCCTCTCCCAAGGATCTCAGAAGTGGCCTACATTCTTAATCCTCCTTTAATTCCCCATTAGCAACCCTGTGAAGTAGGGAGCTACTGTCCTGCCCAGCACCACGCTGCTTTCCCCTCCGGGTCGCAGCTTCGAGCCCCAAGTCGGGAGAAAGATTCCCTGCCCTGCATGGCCCTCGAGGTCCCTTGTGAAACCCCGCTCCTTTCGTAGCAACTGCAGCGACAGAAGTCAGCGGGTTGCCTTCCTGCGAAGAAGCCAAGTCGCAGGAGGAGGGGCTGCAGCCCCGCCCTTGTGGTGACCCGGCGCGCTCGACGATGCCATTTCCGCTGCGAAGGGCCGGCCCACGGGGCGCCATGCGTGCGCTGCGGCGCTTGGGCCGGCTCGCCCGGCGGCTCCGCGGCTGGGTAGACGTCTGTCGCCGGAGAGACACCCACTCTTCGGCCGAGGAGCAGGTGAGCGCCGAGCGGGCGTCGCCTCCTCCAGCAGGGAAAAAGGCGCAGCCCGGGCTTCCTGGAACCAATCGCAAAGCAGAGCCTTCCCGGCCGCGCGCCGCTAACTCCTCCCCTCTTCCCGCAAGGCTTTTAAAACTCCTGGTAGCTGCTATAGACGCATGAAAAAATAGATTGAAAGATGCAGCGCCAGTTTCCGGACTCGATAGAACTTTTTCTTTTCCCCTTAAAGGGCTGCCCCTTGAAATCCGTCCGTTATTTTAAAGTTGGCGTTCGTGCCTCCCCCCTCTTTCCCCACCCCGCGTCGTAGCAAAAAGGCGAGACGCTGCTGCTGTTCTTGCACGCGGGTCTTTCATTAGAGTTTCGGAAGCTGCAGCCCTGCGCGCTTTCCTCACTGGCTGCGGTTGGGGCTTACTCTGAAGGAGGCTTGCAGAGGATTTCCTGGCGCGTAAAACGGAAAGCTCGGCCTTCCTGCGTGTGCCTTAAGGCGTCTCTGCGCGACCGAGCAAGGGGTCGAGACGCGTAGTTGTTTGGTAAGGGGAAAGGTTTGCCTGGAGACCCGGGATCGGCCCCACCTCCAAGAGGCGACCTTAGCACTGCGTTATATTTCTGGATTGCTGCATGTTGCTTGCTTATTTACTGAGCTTCAGCGTGCTCCCCACCCCGCCCTGCAATATTCATTCCACACCAAGTTGCACAGCCACTCTCGGGCAGCCTGAACTAGAAAGAACTGGAGCCCCCCCCCCTCCCGCTGCTGTTTTTTTGTTAAGGCGCACACGCCTACTCTATCAAAATGTTGATTCTTCTGCCCTAAGGGGGCATTTAAAATGGTTTCCCCTTTCAGAACTGGGAGATCTTTTTTTCACAACTGATGAAATGCAGCTGCCGGTTTTACTTTTTTTATATATCTCTGTGAACACAGTAAAAGATGGGGAACAGAATTCTGATAAATTCACCACCAACTGGGTCTGAGTGGAGAGTAAATCTGCCTATGGTATTTTAAGTAGCCATCATCAGCCATGGCCAGTTCCAGCTCCAGCCATGTTTATTTATTACATTTATATCCCACCTTTAAAAAGCTTGAGGCGGCTTCCTTGGTTCTCCCCTTTCCCATTTTATCCTCCCCTTCAAGCCCGTTAATTAATTTTGGGTAGAGAGACCAAGTCACCCAGGGAGCTTCACGGCTGAGTGGGGATTTGAAGCTTGATTTCCCCTGAGCCTTGTTTCTTGCAATCCTAGTAACCACAATGGTTCTGCCTCCATCCCTTTAACTGCACCCACCGAGATAAAGAGAAACTGGAGAGAGGCATCTGATTATCTGTCTAGAATACCTTTCCCAAGTCGAGTGACCTTCAGGTGCTTTGCACTTCAACTTCCATCAGTCCCGGTTAGCACAGCTGGTATAGGAGATTATGAGCAGACTGTTGGCAGCAGGTGTTTTAAGAGGTCCATTTGCTCTCACTCCCATTCAAGGGGGGGGGGGTGTAAGCAAGTAGGTAGAAATGATGGATTCTGTGTGTATTTTCTTGGGGAACCAGGACTGGAAAGATCGGGCATGATGCATCCTTGAAAGAGCAGTAGCATGTGTACTGCTTCCTCCTGCCGCTTGTGGTCCAGCAAGGAAGTCTGCCTTGTCCTCTTGCCTGCTGGCTCTTGTATGGATGATGCAGCATTGGGGACAAAGGCTGAGATTGAGCAGGGCCAACCCTGCTGTAGGGCAGAGTGAGACAATCACCTCAGATGCAAGTACTTGGAGGAGGGAAGTGTCCATAGCACTCCTGAGCCTCTGACATTTGATCTCCCTCTGCTGGAGATCAGAGCCACACACACACACATCCAGGTGCAGTAAATGATGCCATTCTGTTGCCAGTGGTGTCAGCTTCCATATGTGGAATTGGGGACAAATGGACCATCTTGTCCTTTGCCTCAGGCTGCAAAATATTTTGAACTGGTTCTGTGGACAGGCAGGAAGAAACAGTCTTTTGCTTGCTTATTCTAGAGGTTTTTGCTGCCGCGTTTGAATTTTTCTAGAGGTTTTTTACTGTTCCTTTTGCATTTTTATATTTATAAATGTATTGTAAGATGCTTGGGGGGAGGGAAAACCTTCTGGCAAGAAGCAACTAGCAAGTCAGTAATAATAAACAACTTACAGTGAAATCTTAACCATGTCTACTCAGAATTAAGCATTACTTAATTCATCAGGCCTCTCCTAGGTAAGTGGGGTTGGAATACAGAGTTATTTTAAAGTGAAGTGGAAGGGGAACTTATTGACAAATTATTTGTATTAACCTTTTAAGGATCCATGCTGGCGTAGAAACATCAGTTACTTGTTGAGAATATAGCTTCTTAAACTGTTCCACATAGAGTTAAAGTATAAGTACAGTACAGCCTTTGGGTAATTGGTATTCATATATGCTTTTTTGTCATCTTCTCTCCAAGTTGGAAACAAAATCAAAAACAAAGCTTCAAAAGAAAATATGCCAAGTTGTTCTCAGTCATTTTGAGAAACAATACTCCAAAGAGTTGGGAGAAGTGTGGAACTCAATCAGGTCAATTTTCTGTTTCTTTTCTCTCCCCCACCCCTCCCCACTAGTTCAATGCACCATAAAATAATTGCAGTAAGCATAGCTCCTCAGAATGCAAAGTTTTGAGTTTTCAAATGTGCTTTCTGTTTCCTCAGTCTTTTATACTGAGAAGGCGGGGGACAAATCTGATGACCACATAAAAAAGGGATGACACAGTTCTGGGTTTTTAGGGGTCAACACCGTGCCCTCCAGATGTTGAACTTCAACTTACATCAGCAATGGCCAGTGGTCAAGGATGCAATGCAGGGGATTGGACTAGAATGACCCTCAGAGTCCCTTCCAACTCTGCAAATCTCTGATGGAAGTCAAACAGCATCTGGATGGCACCATGTTACTCTATTTTTAATGAGTAGTCTGGGGCTGAAAGTACATTTTGCCATGTACCTTATTGTCAGGGAACTGCCATCAGTGCCGGAGGGAGAGAGCAAAATCCAGAGGGATTCCAGAGAGCGTCCCAGGATTGGGAGAGGCAGCCCATCTTCTGGGGAAGAGAATCAGCGTAGCACCAGTGGAGAAGGGGGGCAGATGGGGGAAGCGGCGAGGCGGTCCCATGACTCCTTGCCGGGGACCAGCGGGGAGAGTAGAGGTCCTCCGCTGCCTACGCCCTCCTTGCGCAGAAGGCTTTCGCGCAGAGAGTAGGAGGAGACTAGGCATCAAAGAGCTTCTTTGCTGGAAGAAGTTTAAGAAACGCCCACTGACGGATTCTGCCAGCGATTGAGACAGCCACGGGTGAGTTGCTGTCCAGACAGAAAAGGTTCACTCAGGCAACCCAGCCAGGTGTTTGCACCAGCTTATGCACGAGCAACCCCTAGAACCATTACACTTATATATTTATCTATTTATTTAGGAATACATACCTTGTTTTTCAAAGCAAAAAAACCCATTCGCATAGCAGCTCATCAATGTTCTGGTTTCATAATAAGTTGTAGAGTGTAACTGTTAACAACTTGAAAACATTGTTACAGTTATATCTCGAGTTGAATGCGCTTTGGGTTGAGTGCGTTCGAGTTGCGCTCCGCGGCAACCCGGAAGTAATGGAGCACGTTACTTCTGGGTTTCGCCGCTTGCGCATGCACAGACACTCAAAATGGTGTCACGTGCATGCGTGGTAACGGCGAAATGCCGCACACACCGTCGCGTCTTGCATTGTGTTTGGGATGCGAAAGGGGCTCCGGAACGGATCCCGTTCACATCCCGAGGTACTACTGCACTGTTGTTTTCCTTTGCAAATGAAATTATGGGTAAGCATTTGAATGTACCTTGATTAAATTCAGATCACCAAGGACTAGAAGAATTGTCCCTGGGATTTGATATGACCCGTTCTCTGCTAGTTGGCCATCCCTAATGTAAAAGAAGAGTTCATAATTAGGCACAGGAAGCCTAGTATGCATGCAAATGACACAGGAACATTTCTATTTAATCTAATACAGACAAATGGACTAAATTCTATGTTTGTCTGGGTTTGCTCTGCCAAGACTAAGCTGTGCCCTTTTTTAAAAAATGTCTCTTGCAGTGTAAGATAGCCTTTGGGGATTTGCACAGTGCTTTTTCTTTTTTTATAGATGATGCAGACTAACCTGTACATCTGGAATAATGCTTCTGGGACAGAAGAAGAAGGCTGACTTCAGCCTAGAACTTTTCATTTTAGAAATTTCCCTGAGCTTTACTTTAAACTCTTGTGTGCTGTTAAGAACATAATAAGAGCCTGCTGGATCAGGCCAGTGGCCTAGCCAGTCTAGCATCCTGTTCTCACAGTGGCCAGCTAGTGAGGCTGAGAAAGTGACTTGCCCACCCAAGCTGACCCAGAAAGCTTCATGCTGTTCAAACCTGTGTCTTCCACTTCATAGCCCAACTAACCGCTACACCACTTTGACTCTCCTGTAATACTACAGAAAGCAGAAAGTAAATCATGTGATAAGGGAAAAATTCAAAGGCAGTTTCTATAATCCCACTCACACTAAGAGTGACTCATTCCAGACTAAAAATTAGGTGCAATATGTTACCCTCCTGTAGCCTTTCATTCAGTGTATTGATCCAAATGGTAATGATGAAAATTCATTTGCATGTAATGCACTCTTTAGCCCATCATTTTAGCATAAATCTCTGCTTGGTGTTGAGCTGTTTCCACTCTCCTTTTCCTGATGTTGACACACTTTTGGCTTCTTATATCCCAGCGCATGCCTATGTGTAACATGTATATTTCTTTTTTAATCTCCAGTCAAGTGCTTTCAACACCTCAGTGCTGGCAGTATGCTGTCCTCCTTAATAAATTCAATTTTTCCTCTGAAGTGGAGAATGACTTGCGCTTAAAGGGCTATCGCCTCATTTTCCCGGAAACTTCGTCCTGTTTTCGGCAGTCGCTCAAGTGTTACATCAGTAGCAGTCCTGGAAGGTTCCCTGCTCAGAAACACAGAGCTGGTAAACTGAAAGAATATTACCTGCTGAATGCAGCATCAGTTCTGGCTGTGCTGGCCCTGGAAGTTGAGAATGGAGAGAAGGTTTTAGATATGTGCGCTGCTCCAGGGGGTAAATCGATAGCAACGCTTCAGTATGCTTGGCCAGGTAAACCACTGCACTCCTAAACCAATTAGAACACACAAATTGGTTGCTAGATTGCTTAAATAACCTATTAAGCAGGTTATTCAGAGGCATTCATTAAGAAAGCTCTTGCGGCATCCTTTCCCCTCCCTATTGCAGTCAAAACCCAGCACATCAGGAACTGGAATCGGAGCTGTCTAATTTTTATTTCAAACGCAATCTGCATATTATGCCCTTGCTGCCTGACACCAATTTTTTTGTGCATTAGTCTGAAGGCACATGAAAAGAAGTGCTCTGCGGTCCTCTGATATTTTCACATCATCTTTGTGATACCCTGGTACTCTAATTTTGCAGGGTCAGCTAGAGAGGGAAACAATGCAACCTTGGCATGCTCACGGGGTGCTGATACATTAAAAGAACACTTCCCAGTTTGTTGAGTGCAGGAGGCACATGAAAAGGAAAAGAAATGTAAGAGGATTAGCAGGGCCAACACTACTATTTGACAGACTGTGGAGGCTGCCTCAAGCTGCAGATGCACATACCCTACCCTATACTCCCTTAAGCTAGCCTTCTGCCCTCAGACCTGGTGAAGGATGCTGTCCTGTCATCACCCATGTAATGCAGATCATCCCTTCCTGTGGGTGCTTTGCAATAAAAAAGGGACAGTAGATGCTTCATTGCACACACCTGGAGTATAGTTTGCCACCAAATGCAGTTCTTACAATATTTTTATTCTACTGTCAATATACGTGTTCCAAAAGAGACTGCTTGACCATTTGGCTAGATCAGTGATTCCCAAACCTCCACCTCCCACCCAACAACTTGAAAATGATTTTTCTTTGTGTTGTAGCAAATGTAATGCTGTGTGCTAGGGCTGTATGATTTTTTTTTAATTATGTTTTTATTGCTTCTTTTATTTCTTAGATAGAATTCAAATGGTAATACAGTAAAATGCAATGTAAGAAACAAAAGAAGCAAGTGAAGTACAATTAAAATCGGTATTGATATTTAATGTGAAGGATTTGCTGTCTCCTGTCTTCAACCACAAATCCACAGACACACTGTTGACCACCTGAATGAAGCTCGTGGACCAAGCAGTGGTCCACGTTTTGGGTACCCCTGGGCTAGATCACTGTTCAGCAGTGATGGTTTCCACTCCTAGTATTGTGTACTGTCAAATCATCTGGCAATGGGCGAGACCAATCACTTGATTGTGTCACCACTACATGCTGATGTGTGTGTTTTTAAATTAGTCCTAATTCTTGCTACTTCTAGCTTCGGCTTCCGATTTAACAGGGATTGTTCTGATAGTCTGGTTTGCGTGCCACCTTGGCCAATTTGTTGGGACAAGTGGCAAATTGACTGCATATATTAACTTATCTGATGTTCTTTTTCTTTAGGGCTTCTGCACTGCAATGAGTATGACCATTTGAGATCACGCTGGCTGAAGCAGACACTAGAATCCTTCATCCCAGAATCTTTGATGAGTCTCATTACTGTTTCACAGTTGGATGGAAGGCAAATTGGAAATCTTCAGCCTGAAGGCTTCGATAAGGTATCTCTATCATGGCTGCTAGCTTCATGGGGCTCAGACTCTCTCATTCTCCCATCAACCCCTTTTCAGTTCAGGGATATCACAATTCTCAGTGATGGCTCTTGAATAAAACAGGAAGATAAAAACTGTAATTTATTAATTATGCATTTATCCTTTGGGTCGCAGAGGGTTCCATCAGATCTCTCATCAGGGCACTGATATTAACATCATTTTTTCAGTTTATATCCCACCCTTCCTCCAGAAGGAGCCCAGGGCGGCAGGCACAGCAATATTAAAATATTTTAAAAACAAGTATGCCCTTTCAAACTATATGATTCTCTAAGATATTTAGAATAACCCCGCCTGGTGGTACCATGGCCTGCCTTGATTCATCTGCCATCAGCTAGGGAAAAGGCATTATTTGCAATGGCACATTATGGAACAATCCCTCCCCACTCTCAAGATCCAGAACACCCCGCCTAGTGCTGAGTTTTCAATAGCAGTTGAAGACGTTCTTGCTCACCCAAGCTTTCGGGGACCCTTGATCACCAGCATAAGAGCTCGCTATTTATTATTAGTGTTGTGTATGTTGTTGTTTAGTCATTTAGTCGTGTCCGACTCTTCGTGACCCCATGGACCAGAGCATGCCAGACTCTCCTGTCTTCCACTGCCTCCCGCAGTTTGGTCAAACTCATGTTCTTAGCTTTGAGAACACCGTCCAACCACCTCATCCTCTGTCGTCCCCTTCTCCTTGTGCCCTCAATCTTTCCCAACATCAGGGTCTTTTCCAGGGAGTCTTCTCTTCTCATGAGGTGGCCAAAGTATTGGAGTCTCAGCTTTATGATCTGTCCTTCCAGTGAGCACTCAGAGCTGATTTCCTTCAGAATGGATAGGTTTGATCTTCTTGCAGTCCATGGGACTCTCAAGAGTCTCCTCCAGCACCATAATTCAAAAGCATCAATTCTTCGGCGATCGGCCTTCTTTATGGTACAGCTCTCACTACCATAGATCACTACTGGGAAAACCAAAGCTTTTACTATACGGACCTTTGTTGGCAAGGTGATGTCTTTACTTTTTAAGATGCTGTCTAGGTTTGTCATTGCTTTTCTCCCAAGAAGCAGGCGTCTTTTAATTTCGTGACTGCTGTCACCATCTGCAGTGATCATGGAGCCCAAGAAAGTGAAATCTCTCACTGCCTCCATTTCTTCCCCTTCTATTTGCCAGGAGGTGTATAGCGTATATATTTCTTACATAGTTTTGTGAAGCTTTATTTTTTTAAAGGCTGTATGTTTCTTTGATACCTTTTGTGCTAACTGGTTTAGTAACTTTTTTATAAACATTTTTGTTTTGCATTTCCATAAATGTTTGCATTTGAATAAAATATATGAAGTGCTTGAAATGCACTAAAAATAATAATATTTGATTTGTAGGGAGATGGCACTGTCATTGGGTGTATTCTCACAGTATGAGATTTTTCTGTCCAGAGTTTCCATGTTCGGTTTATTTTTACTTTGCTATTGGTCACTCAGGTACTAGTGGATGCTCCATGCTCAAATGACAGAAGTTGGTTATTCTGTTCCGATACCCAGCAGGCTACCCTACGATTAGCACAAAGGAAGGCATTATCTGCTATACAGATACAGCTGCTAAGGTAAGAAACACAAAGGAAGACGACTGAAATTCAATAACGCTCAGCCCTGCACTGAAGGACGTGCTGAATTGTATTCTGAGGCTCAGTGTCTGTCTGACCCATATACTATCCTCTCCATATGCAGCCACACAGAGCCAGTCATCATTTAAGAAGGCATACAGCTACAGTGTCGTCTCCCAATAACTGGCATGGTTGAGAGAGAGAGAGAGAGAAATTCTGCTCTTCATGCTGAGCAATAGGCCTTTAACTAGGACAGTCACAGGAGGCAGAGGAACAAGTTTGTGCTTACTTGCCTTTTAATGTACTTCAGTACAACACAGTCTCCTAAACCTTTTTTTCAAAAAGCTTTTTCTTTACCCGTAGAAAAAATAACATAATTTTTTATCACCTCAGTACAGTTTGGGGGACAAATGTATCCTAAGAAAGCCATAAAAAATACATTACCTGTGTGAAGGTATGAAATGCAAGACCATTTGCAACTGTATTGAGAACTTCCCTTTTCCGGTATAACAATATTGTTGCCTGTAAGTCAGCGGGTCAACAGTACCCCACAATGTTGACTTCCGGGGGAGGCGCCTCTGGTAATGGCAGAATTCCTCTGACCGGGAGGAATCTGCTCCGTGGAAATCTGGGTCTGGCCGCCACGGCGAAGGCGGAGACCCGTTAAAATCACAGGCAGGAGAAGCCTGTAAGCGTGGGATTCGGCGGGCACCTTTTGCGCCTCCCCCACTCGCGGGGAACCCCGGTTTTTGGGGCTCCGGAGCGACGTGGGGTGAGCGGCGCGGTGCATCGAATCGTCTGCTTCTTCCACGGAGCGAAGCCGCATAGCTGTTGCCGGAGAGCGCTGACCTTTTCCTGTGGACAATTTGACTTTAAAGTAATTACCCATGAGTAGAGCTGAAACGGAAGAATTGGATTTCTAAAAGTTTAATTTGGTATCGTAACGGGGAGGTTCAAAACAGGATGTCCACCTTCCCTTTTTGTAAATAGACTGAGGCAATGAAGTTGCAAGCTGGAGTCTTGGAAGGTCTTTTGTAAAAGATCAAATTTCCAACGGTAAAGAACATTAAACCCCCTCTTGGAGGCAGGAGAAGAGAGGGGGAAGTTGCGGATTGAGTATGCCTGCGGGAGAGAGCGAAGAGGCTTAAAACACCGCCGCTCTGACCCTGGAAACGGGCTGCTAGTAAGACTGACGTTTTTTGGGAATGTTCATTGACAGCGCTTAGAACGTTCATTGACAGCTAGCTAAATAAGAGAAATACATTGTTTCTACTGTTTCCGGCTGCTTTAAAAAGGAGTAAAAGTAACTGAAAATTGAAACTAATTTGAAACTAACTTTGGATTGTTTAAAAGAGGATACTATTGACTTTTACAAATAGAAACTGTTTCCCCCTAGTGGAAGCCTTTGAAACTCGTTGATTTACAAGAGTTGGATTAGGGGAATTTCCAGCTGCAAGTTAAAAACCGTGAGACTCTGGGACTGACCTTGAATCTTTCAAATGTTATGGTAAATGGAAGAGGAAAAACAGACCAGTCAACTGTTGATAAAACATTAAGGTCTGGGAAGCCCTCCTGTTCTTTTTGTTGCTGTCTCTGTACTAGTATATTTGAAACTAAGAGGAATGTCGACAGAAGAGGCTTTGGTGGTGGCATTATATAAGATAAATGACTCATTGGATCAGCTTCACAGGAAAATGGACATGATAAATGCGAAGGTGGATGTTTCAATTGTTGAGGTTGACTTGAATGCAGGGAGTATGGACAATACCAATACAGAAACCACTCAGAAATTGATACAAGAACCTATTTTGATATGGCACGCTGTGGAGGAAGTTAAGGAAAAAGCTGTTGCTGTTGAAGGTACAGAAACACAACTGGAGAGAAAGAGAAAGAGAGCCCCAGCCCTACAGAGGCAATTTGATGAACATAAGTTGACGCTCGCTATGACTGAATTTAAGGAAAAACAGACGAATTTGAGGATTAGAGTTCACCTTTGGTGGACATGCCCAAGGATTAAGACACTCTGGGAGATGATTCATAATGAAATGAAAAAGGTATTTAAATATACCCTTTTGAAGAAACCAGAGGCCTTTCTCCTGGGCATGGTCGGTCAATTGGTGTTAAAGAAGGATAGAATTTGTCTCATGTATGCAACAATAGCAGCAAGAATACTCATTGTGAAGTACTGGAAGACACAAGATTTATCTATCCAGGAAGAATGGCAGATGAAGTTGATGGACTATATGGAATTGGCAGAAACGACTGGCAGAAATCCGAGACCAGGGAGAAGAGTCGGTGTAAGAAAACTGGAAAAAGTTTAAGACTATGTATAGAAATATTGTAAAAATAATGAATGTTAGAAAAATGTTGGAATGAAGTTATATGGCTTTAGTAGAAATGTTATAAGGAATTAAGTATAAATAGAAATAGAGTATTAAAGGGAAAAATAAGATTAGAATATGTTAAGGTAATTGTAGGATAGAAAACAGAGGAAGATGGAAAGGAATTGCTGAAACAATTAATAGAAGTGGAATACAGAAAGGTAGGCGTGAGGAGGTCGTGGAAATAAGGGAATGAAAGTTAAGATATTGAAATTGTTTTGTGTTTTAAATGGTTTGCGTCTTGTTTTGTTAATCTTATGTTTTTTCTCTTTTTTTCTTTGCTTTTTCTTTTTCTTTTTCTTTTTCTGTTTTATTGTGTTCAAATGGTTGGAAAAGCAATAAATATTATTTTTTTAAAAAAACAAAACAGTACCCCAAAATGTTAAGTATGTACACCTACAAGAATGGCATGTAGCGTCTAACTGACCCTGCAGTTTCTAAAATGTGAAATAGCACATTGCATCATTAACATGCATAAAACATTGGCTGCTGCATTTTATTTTTATTTTTTTGCCAATGCCCTTCTCTTGGTGTCTGCAGTGGTAGGGCATTACTCTTGACATTTCAGGTAAGCTGGGTATGTTTCTAGACTCCGCCTAGGATTTGATCCCCTCCAGATCTGTTAGGAAGAGTTGGTTTTGGGTTGTTTTGTCCATTGTAGATTGTTCAGTTTCCAAATAATACCAGCATTTAAAGCAGGAAATGTATACGTACTATGTTTGGGGAGGGGAGGAGAGGGGAACCACCATTGGTCACCATTTGATCATGCATTTGGAATTATCCACAACACTTTCTGTTTCATTATAATAAAAAAAAATCTATGCTTTCTATATGATTTCTATCTGAAATTGCTGCATCATTATGTATCAAAGGGAAGAGAATTGCTGTTCTCCCTGTTTTTTTGACACATAACAGAAGTGTCAAATCTTCTAAACCAAGAAAGCTGCTGTTGACACTTCTGGATTTTAGACAAGGTTTTTGTGGTCACATTTTTTGTTTTATTGTTTTCCCGAGTCATGTTTTCCTTAGCCAACCTTCTGACTGGCGGCACACTGGTCAGAAAGCTGTTAGTTGTTATATTCTGTGCAAAACCCTGTAAATGGGTTCTTAAGTTTCTTGTTCAACCAAGCTGGCTGAGCTTATGAGCTGCTCAAGCTGACTGCTCACGAAGAGGCTTGAGGCAACTCTCCACACCACATTTCGGAAAGATCTTCTTGTAAACAGAAGAAGGGGGTCACCTAAAGGCCCTTGATGGGAAATTGCCATTAAGTCTGGCCACCTGTTGAGATGAGGGTCCATGTTGCTTGCAAACATTTACAGATGCAGTCGGCCTCAAAATGATCACAGAAGCAGAATCTGTATCACTCAAAATAAATTCTACAACTGGCTATGATGGGAGAGGGGACAGTTTTGCTGGGGCACAAGGCAAGTTCTAACTGGGAAAAAAGGTTTTAAAATTCGGATCAAATTTGCTCATTTGTATCTAATCAGGTTCCTATGGGAGAGGGCTTACTTATCTTACTATTTCCAATTCTTACCAAATATGTTAATTTAACCAACTTTGTAATATGGGATATATTCCATAGTATTCCATGTGTCATATTTGACAACAGGGCATCCTGGTTTTTTTTTAAAAAAAAACCTTTGACTGCTCACTTACTTCTTCATAAAGAAAAAGTATGTTCTATCCAGAGGAGACGTTTTCAGCTGGGATAGAAACCTAAGAGCATACTCACAAATGTTCCCAGTGGGACCCTATACTATACCATGTATAGCCCTGGTGCTGTGTTTTATCAGTGTTCCTAGCCAGATCATGAGGCCAGCAGGAGAGTAGTGGTGTGTACATGGTCTCTTTCCAGCCAACATTGGGCTTGGATAGTGTTGACCTGCACTATAAACAGGAACCCATTTCAGGCCATTTTCATTGTTAAAACCTCCTGTAGGTGATCTGGGAATCGTAAGTTTGGTTTGTACAGTGCTGAAAATCTTGAGGGTGGGGATCTAGGCTGTGTGTGGAGTACCTAGCCAACTCTCAAAAGTAGAATTCCCAGAAATCCTCAAGAATAAGGAGGAGGGAGCTGTAATAGATAAACAATTAACAGGAAGAATTTTTTTTCTCGCGCCTAATTAAAACAAGTGGGTTGGGTCCAGAGGACATTATTCCTGCTTTGGTCACATCAAAATCAGTGGGACTAATAGCCTGATTTACTTTATGTGGGATTGCAACTTTCATCAGCACTTGGTTATTGCTAGCCAAGCCCATACAATTAAATTAATTTTCCAAATAATGTATTCTAGGTTTTTCATCTGTCCTCAAGAAAATTCATGGCTTGAATTAGGTGTATTTGGTTTACTGTTGCTTATACTGCTGCCCTTGCCTTATGTTTTACTGAGGCAAGTAGAAATGATTAGAAATGTAAAATGTAGAGCCATATAATATGATAAGGTTATATGAAAGAGGAGGCCAATGAGTTAAGCAAGGATTTCCCCCCCTCTTCCTCATTCATTTTCTCCCGCTATATATTATTTTATGGCTATTGATCAAATACTAAAGCTTTTTAATGTAGTGCTATGTTTCACCTCAGAAGTATCCCAGCTGTCAGGATGAATTGAGAGAGAAATAAAATAGTTTGTTTTCCTAAAAGTAGTGTTCTTTATGGAACGCTCTCATAAATGGCAGCACAAGAGAAGGTTGGGGACTGTTTTTCCCCCTTTTCTTTGCATGACTTCCTCAAGAAAAGGTCTACAGGAAGCTTGTGATTTATAACCGAAATATGAGTGTCTTATTGCAGTAATGCATCATGTCACCCATTTCCTTTGGAGAAATCAATCACATTTAAAACACTGACCTCCTTCAGTTTTCTCTTTCCAATATTTGACATGTAAAATCCAATTTGTGAACTCCTGGCTCAAGGAAGCATACATCATTCAGTGAAATTTTTGCAAATTTGTATAAATCATTCTGGATTATAATGCTGAAGTGGAACATTCTTGACAGCAGGAACCTTGTTGGTAGAGAAAAATCCAAACAAACCAAAATTGCCCATCTCCCCAAAGCACATTTAATCCAATTGGGCCTGCTGTCTAGAAGAGAGAGAAATTGTGTGTTTGATGAAAGCATACCAGGCTACAGCAATAGCAGCTGCAAACCAATAACTTCTCTGCTATAGTTTTGAATATTAATTCAGCCATCCACCTCTCGTTATTCATAAATAAATAAAACAATAAATGCATTGATTAATCCATTGTTATACATCCCTTTTCTGTTATGCCTTCTGGCTAAAACAAATAAAAGTAAGTTATTAATACTATAACATTTCACTGTTTTGCCATGAATCAGCAAGACTCTGAAACAGTGGGTTTTTACAGCTTATGTGTGTGCATGAGATCACTCCATGTGGTTTATTACCCATTAACATATTAACACGCTGGCTAAGGGCTAATGTCCTGAAGTGAAAATCACCGCCATTCTGCTTCTCCTCAGGTCTTGCTGCCGCGCTAACCAGTTCTAGGCTATGGTCTGGCTTAGCGTTACAGTCAGCCCTGAGCTTGTGTTCATTTCCTCCAAACAAATTTTGGTTATAGCTCATGGTTTGGCTGGAGGGACTGTTGGAGGGCGAGTGTGATATTTGGCTTCCCACTTCACACAGTTGCCCTCTCACTTGTTGAGGTTAACAACAATGAAGAAGGGGGTAGGCTGACATGCTCACAGCCCTCGGTGTTTAGTTGGCCGTGAAGAGGGCTAGCTTCAACTGTGCTTCTGGGTCTGGCTTGCAGGTAACCGTAGCTTGCTAAATTTGGGCGTTATGGTAACCTCAAAAGTTATTGGAGGCCAGAAAGTGAAGGAGTGAATTGGAACTAATCGGGGAAAGAAGGAGGGTGAGACTGCACAGATTTGAGGCATAGCGCTGGTAGCCAGACCGTGGTTTCCCTATGCCATGCAAACGGACCTAACAGTTCACTTCATTTTGATCAAAGAATCACAGTAATTTAGAGCTTTACTTTTTTCCACATGTTATAAATGGCTGCAAGGCTGGAACACACAGTGGGAAAAGTGAGTGATGTACCGTCAGGCACAAAGTACTGCTGTGATCGTTCAAACATTTCTCTAGGTATATTTCTATCTATAGTTTGGACAAAGTATGGTACCAGTTTCTGTCTGGTTTGGAGTTACGAATATTAATCTAGTAGTCTATATCAGATGTTCCTTTGAATCTTTCTTTTCTTTAAAGGCAAGCATGGCCAAGTGTTAATTGGGCATGTTCTTAGGAGAAGGGGTGGAGCTACATTTATTAATTCATTGCATTAATCACCTTCCTAAGATCCTAGGGTGATGTACAATAAAACAAAAATAGCTACAAGATACATCAACCATGTTTTCAAAATACATATTTTTTCCTTTCACCTTGCACTACTTACGAGAGAGTGCTGAGTTTTAGTGCCCATTCAAACTAAATTTTGGACCATGTAGAGAAATTCAGTGTGAAGCCCCATCGCCCTAGCAGAAGCACTTATATGGGTTTCCACCAGGTAGTTGACTCTAACTCATAGTGTGTTACAAGGGTACCCAATTTGGTGCCCTCATGGTGTTGCTGGGCTACAACTCCCATGTGCTTCAGCATGACCAGCAGTCAGGAATGATGGGAATTTCTTCAGTATTTGTTTTCTATTCCTTGGGTCTATTATACCTCTCTTGGTTTGCCTCCATCCAGATTTCCAAGAATGCTGTCAGTACTCCAGATAAAAGATATATAGACTGGACTTAGGTTTGGAATTTAATGTATGTTTAGATGTAAGCACCATCTTATAAGAGGCACTCCCCCTTCTCTCATGCACAGGATGAATGCCTCTTCTGATGCCGTTATGACAAAGAAACAACACTTCAGAAACAATGCTTTGCAACCTATATGCAAATTTAATGATGCAGCTAAAACTCATATGATCAGTTCAGTCGGGGTTTAGCCCTAGCCACAGTGCCCTGCAGCATCCCTCAAAGCCTTGTTCTTTTTCTACACATATACACAAATCTTTTTTGCAACATGCACACTCCCATCTCTGTAGAACTCTGCAAACTGAGAGGGGTGACAGATCCCCCACAGAAGCTCCCTTTTTTTGCCAGTGCTTCCCTCCTCCCCCAGGAAACAGAAGAAGCTTTCTTTTTCGTTTCATAGGTTGAAAAGCTATACTAAGTTACAGAGCTTCTTATACACCCTTTTAAGACCAACGGCTTTAAGGGCAGCAATATTGTAGCTATACCAGCTGGATAAACTAAAATGTAGAGGTTAATCAAGATTGCAGCCTCTCTGTCTCTCCCCCTCCCTCCCCAGGCATGGTCTGTTTTGGATAACAAAAATTAGATGAAAACAATGGATGACTATGTGAATGATAACAGTTCAGCTAATATTTCAACTTCATATATATCCCTTTCAACCTAAAATGCTCTTTTCTCTTGGCTGAGTTTTATACAAAAGGAGCTATCATCACCTCCATAACGAGAGGTGAGACACGTATGAAGCTTTCTGGCACTGTTTTTGGCACATCACCAATGCCAGCATGTCGCCACGCTTCAGAGGCATATGATAAATTGCATATTGTGGATACAGAAGGGATTTTCTGGCCTTTTCGGATTGATTTTGTATGGGAGGGGAAAGCCTACAATAACTGGGGAATGTAAGTGGAGTGACTGTGATGTGGCTAGGACAGGTTGATCTTTAAAAGGAAAACAAAATCTATGATCACTTTCATAAGAAGGAATGTGGGGATGAAAGTAAATGTGATTTCAGCTGCTTGAGTGGCTTAGAGGGGATTGCTTTTCTGCTGATCAGAAGCAGCCCGGCATTCTCAGAAAACGACTTCTAATAGCAAACACGAGATGGCAGCGTTGAAGTACAGCATAATCTCCCATAACTCAGCCTGGAATTTTTGCTTTCTCTTTTTGCTGCTGTTTTAATACGAACAATGGATAAATTAGGGACATAATTAATGCTGGTCCTTCTAACAGGATAAAGAACATGTAATTAGTCTCTCAAGGAGTGGGCTGAGGAAGTGGAGTTTGTAATGTGAATGACTGTGCCAACTCTATTGCCCTATCTGTATGCATGTATGCCTATCTCTGTATACAGTGTGTGTGTGTGTGAGAGAGAGAGAGAGAGAGAGAGAGACCAAGAGCAAATAAATAGCAATCTATCACGAAGTTTAATGTGCCTTTATGTGAAGGAGTTGCTTTTTGGCAACTCCTAGCGACAAAAGATTGGGCGGGGGGGGGGGGGCGTGAGCTGACATTTAAAATGTAAAGTTTTTCAAAGTTGCTGAGAATTTGAAGTGATACTTATTGCTCCTATATTCTCTTTTGCTTTTTTTGCCTTTTTTCTTTTCGTGTTTGTTTTCTCTCCAGCTACTGCTAATGGAAGCCTTTAAAGGATATTCAGAATGCGTTAACAGCTTTTAAGTCTTCAGAGCGCTTGGGATAAAAAAATGTTTATTGTCCCATTTATATCCATGGCTTAAATCCACATTCTTCAGCTTCCCTGCTTTGTGATTGATCCATTTATCGGTCGTTCTTTGAGCTGGTGCTAAATTTGCGATTAATTGAGCCTTGCTTAAATTCATAATAATGCTGCGTATAATTTACATAGCCCTTTCCTAGAGTGCTTAAAACACTTCACATTTTATATCAGTAATCCTTAAAGAAGCCCTGTAGGATTGACCAGTATTATTACCATATTACAGTCTGTGGGGGAAGTAAAGGGGTGATTCAAGAAAGTTGGTTGTGCTTAAGTTTAATTAAGAACAGTGGGCCAAGGTAGTTGCAACTTGTTTCTCAGTGATTTCAATGGAATACAAGTGCAACTAAATTACTTTGGATTAGGGTCACATCTACACCATACATTTAAAGCACATGGCCCTCCCAAAGAATCCTGGGAACTGTAGTTCACAGACCTACAGTTTCCAGTACCCTTCAACTACAGTTCCCATGATTCTTTAGGAGGAAGCCATGGGCTTTAAATATATGGTGTGGATTTGACCCAGGATACAGATATGTTTTCTTCTGCCTCCTTCTGTCTCCCTGTCCTTTCTGTCACTTCTCCCTAAAAGTAGTCTCAGTGCCATTGGCACAAATCAACCAAATGTAAGAATACGGCCTATATTACGTGATGACTTTTCCCAGTTTGTTGGCAGGTTACTGCTACGGAATTTTGTTTCAATACAACTCTTTAACAAATTGAAACTTTCAAATACACTGTATAACCGTTTGTTGATAGTTTATCATTTGGCTAAATTCTGATACACAGAAGCCAGTTTGACCTTGTCCCTCATATTCTACAGCACAATTTAAATAGTAGTACAGTGGTACCTCGGGTTCTTAATTTGTTCCTAAGGTCCATTCTTAACCTGAAACTGTTCTTAACCTGAAGCACCACTTTAGCTAATGGGGTCTCCTGCCGCCGCCACGCCGCCAGAGCACAATTTCTGTTCTTATCCTGAAGCAAAGTTCTTAACCTGAAGCACTATTTCTGGTTTAGCAGAGTCTGTAACCTGAAGCGTATGTAACCTGAAGCATATGTAACCTGAGGTACCACTGTACGTAATATCATTCCCAATAACAGCAGTGTATGAGGATATGTATATTCCTGCACCAGGAGTATTGTGGATAGTCTGCCCATTGAGCCCTAGAATGCTATACTGCTAAGCAAGTTGGTAACCTCAAAATAGGTACATTGTAAGATAGCGAAATGAAAAGGTAGGTTTCTAGCGAAAAGCAATATTGGGTATGAGTTTCGCACCATAATCAATGTTTAACAACTGTAATTGCAAGCACAAATGAGGACTTTTTATGAGCATGTGACTTACGTCATTTTTCAGTATGCATATCTAGTTTTAGCAGTTCTCTGTGCACAGTCAGCATCGCAGGTATAACACGATGCTGTTAATAATAAAAACCCCAAAATGCTATTCTAATAGAAAATCTAATTATACAAAATTAAGACTTTAAAAGTATTTTCTCAAATAACACACTAATGGTTTCTGTAATATAATTAAATCGGATTTTATACTCCTTAGTTGCGTGTTAAGAAGTGTATGACTTGCTGCTGATAAGCTAGGCAATGTCCAGTCCACGGAAAGTGTGGATCTTACTACAAGGCTTTCTCATTTGAAGTGCATACGTTGAATCAATCCAACTCAACATTTCCTGTTCCTTGCACACAGGTCTGCAATTAAAGCCTTGCGTCCTGGAGGATCTCTGGTTTATTCCACATGCACTCTTTCTAAGGCGGAGAATAGTGATGTCGTAACACACATCCTCGACTCCTGCAGCAATGTTTGTCCAGTGGATATGAGCGCCCTGGCCAGTTCTGCATCCCAGGAATTCACTCTCGCTTCTGGTGTCCAGCAGCATGAACTTCTAGTACTTCCAGAAAGGGGGAAAGCTTGGGGACCAATGTATGTAGCTAAATTAAAGAAAATGTGATTGATATTCTTGTGGTTGCAGTTCTTTTAGGTCATAATGACCAATCCTTTTTTTTTAGGGGCAACAGCTTTTTGAAGTGAAAACCTGAACAGGAGATTGAAATACAATCTCTTCTATTTGCTGGCAGCATCCCCCTCCATTTTTCTATTTCGGTACCCAATTAGAAGATTGGGGGAGGAGCAGGGGGATGCCCAATGGGACATGCAGAGATGTGTTTTAAGTAATTGCCCCAATTCCGAATGTGAATTGTAGGCATGTTGAAGAACACCCAGTTCACTAGTCTGTGGGCCATGTGTGTGCACTTGCCTGTAGCTTGTAACGGAATTGTCAGAATTTGAGCACTCATTTTAAATCCAGTTAAAATATATTTGCTTGTAGAAACTTATTTGAACACAGGATGACACTAAGAGCAAACAGTTTATAAAAATGGAAGCAATTGTTTCATGTATTCACAGCACCTCACTACACAAAACAGGGGAACATTTCAGGAACAAATGCCTGCTACAAATTGTATTTTTTTAAGAGAACAGGAGTGGAGACTTCCTATTAGAATCATAGAATTGTAGAGTTGGATATTCTGGTGGTATCTTCTAGTTCTGTGCACACATTGAGCAGTGGACAGCAAGTTAACACCTAGATCACACTAATCTATAATGCAGTGTCACCTGCACCCTGCAAATAGTGACAACTGGAAACCCTTTTGCCCAAGATCCTTCTGCTCAGCTGCAGAGCTCAAATTTGGTTTGCCAAAATAGTCTTGTTTTGGAATTGCTTCACCAACCTTCCGTTTCCAAGGATGTTCAGTGAATCCTAAACAGCTGCCATCAACCTCATTTAACCAGGAAAAGTTGCTGAGCAGGCATCTCTTTAGCTAGCTCTAGAAACATTAACTTTCAACTGCTTATTAGCAAGTAAGTATGTTAAATAGAAAGTTCAGCCACTGGATAGCATTTCTTTTGCACACAAAGAAGTAACTTGGGTTTTGTGATTTTCAGATGCCATGTTGCTGGAACAGTTTTCAGGACAATGAGAGATTGATTTAAAGTTATTAACGTTTTATTTTCCACTATCCCACCAGATTATGCATTGTGCACTTTTAAAAAGTCAGCGTCTGGTTTATATGGAGAATTTGTCCCTTTATGGTGAAGCTGTGTCATGTGCCAACAAAATCAGTTTTATTATGAAGTAACTTGTTGCCTTAGAGGATTGTTTTCTGCCTCCCTTGGAGGTTGTAGATGACACATGGAGACCAGCTTATTGTTACTGCTTTTACCTCTGTCAGAATATACAATGAAAGAGTTGATTGTGTTGAAAGGCCTCTAAAACAGCAGATTGTCAAGCAAATGTGGTGCTTTGGCATGGAGTTTGGAGACATAAATGCATCTTATCTGGCAGCTGCAAAACAAAATACTTGAAATGAAACTAGGATGACAAATGGCAGTAGCCGCCACACAGTGTTACAAGAGCATTTCTACGCAAATTCAGCCATAATTACTGGTATAAACAATCCTGAACAAATGGCTTGTCTAAAGCAATGTTCTATTCTGAATGCAAGAGAGAATGAAGAAATGGCACTCTCAAGCAAATGTCCACTCATAATTTATGAATTATTGCAAAACAATACTAATATTTATTTCTTCAGTATTGATCACCCGCTCATCAATGAATATTTCAATTTTAAAGCAGGGAATGATGAAATAAAATAATAGCAGCATGCCGAAAATAATATACAAATATTACAGAATCCATAGAAACAATCGATAAATAAATTAACAGCTCCATAATAAAACAAAACTAAACTGATCTTAAGGCAACAATTAGCATTTCCAATTTAACCAAGTATCTGGATATAGAAAATAGGATATTCAAAGTGAAACAACCAAACGGCCTTAGCAGTTGTTCCCATCCCATCTCTCAACTGGAGCAACCCACTCCCCTTATTTTTCACATAAAGAAGGCTGCACTCTGTGCCAACAGATTTTCACTCTAGAGCTTATGAGCAGCTTCCCACCCATCACTCTCAGTATCCAATCCAGCCAGGTTTTCACTCCGAGTGACATCAACCCTTGCCTCAATTCTCCCCAGCAAAAACTTCCCAACTTTTTCTACAATAGCAATAGAGCAAAATATACAAGAGAAATAGAGTTGAGATACCCAAGTAATGACACCAAAGGGGCACAACCCCTGGACTGTAACTTCCATTATTGGCTATGGTGGCTGGGGCTGAGGAGTTGGGAGTCCAACCACATCTGGAGGGTCACCGCTTTCCTGTCCCTGATACACGATGCTGTGATAGATGGACCAATACTTCAATAGACCAAGGCCACTTCCAATGGACCCATGCTCCCAGGCCATTAGGATTTCTCACAAGGACAACCTAAGACTGACTCATATGCAGAATGGCTCTCCTAAAACCTAAGAAGAGTCTGCTGGATTAGGTGAGTGGTGTTAGAATTCCTGCTCCATGATTGCAGTCATGGGATTTTTGTCTATCACATGACGGTGTATGTTTTGACTCCACAGAGTGCGAAGTGAAGGAGACAGGATGTTGGTGTTACTGTGTTCCATGAAGTGGGACTATTGTCCTTTGTTCTTTTTCTCTTTGCTGTCTGATGCGAGAGAGAGAGAGAGGGAGCCATGTTGCAGTGCTCCTTGTGTGTTTATATGTAAACAAAGTAGATTAGCCAAAATGCTGAGTTGCTGAGGTCTGTTACACAAGCTGCGAAGACTCTGCAGATCCCTAAGTGTGCCAATGTCTGTTTGCATCAGTCACTGTGATGTTTGGACAGAAGAAAGCTTTTGAAGCTCCCAAACGAAAGGTCAGGAGGTAGAAAACATGCCAGTCTGGCATGTGTATCTGCCAGGGTCCTACTCGAGAGTAGGATGAGCTCCTGACAAGTGGCTCATCTAGTCAAGCATCGTGTTCTCACAGTAGTCAACTAAATGCCCAATGGGAGACCCACAAACTGGATCTGAGCAAAACAGCACTCTTCCCTCCTATGCTTTCCAACAGAAAGCATACTCCAACTATGGAGACGGAACATATTCATGAAGGTTAGTAGTCACTGATGGATATGTTCTACCTCCGTAGTTTACAAAAACTGTTTACAGGAATTCACACCACCATAAATGGTTATGTGTCTCCTTTAGCACCATACTGGTCGTATTTACTTAGTAAGGTCAGTGAGACCTGCTCTTAAGTAACTGCACAGCCTCGCATCCTTTGTTGTTTAAGACTGAGAAGTCCTCCATGCAGGGTGCCAATAGATTGGGCTAGCCTCCAAGGCTACAGCATTTAGTAACAGCATGTTTAAAAGCTCCCTCAGCCCACATAACAGTGAAGCAATTAAAAGGCACCACCAAGCTATAACATAATTTTTAAAAACCCAGCAATTCATGAAGCCAGCATGTTCACATAAAACTGCCAAAAATAATAATAAAAATGTGCAGATCAAAGTTTGTACGGACCACAGAGGCACTTTAAACACACAATCCTCCCCCCGCCCCAACCTAACCCTTAAAAGCTCTCAGAATGGATTTTACCGCATCTTGTACATATATTTAGGTGTCAACATGCATTTATCAGCCTAATGATGGTTTCCCCCACAAGAATCCTGTGAACTGTACTTACAGGTGATGGGAATTGTTGCTCTGTGGAAACTAGAGTTCCCAGGATTCTTTGAGGGAATGACCTATGAATGTGCTTTCGATATACGGTATGGTTGTGACCATAGGCCATATTAAAATCGGTTCACCACCACAGTTCTACCCATGCTTATTTGAAAAACAAATAACATTGATTTCAGTGGGTCTGAGATTGCAGATCTGTAATGAAGCCCAGCTTTTCAAACATTCTTCCACTGTATTTTGGATTACACTGCTTCAAGTTATTTTCAGCTGTGTGTTTGATTTGCGTGCTGAATAAAATATATTCTTGCTTTTCTGCTACACTTTCTACATGGTAAATGAAACTGATGGAAAGTGTTGCAGCGGGGATATTGTGATTCACCCAACTGAATTTGTGTCTTGAAATGATTCCAAATTCTGGCATTACATGTAATATTCTGGGGATTACTGCTGTTAGGTGTTTTCAGATTGTCATCTGAATGTATTAAGAACTGTATTTCTTCATGTGATTATTCTTCAGGTTTCAAGGGCAATTTTATAACCTTTATGACTCTGATGATCAGCTTGTACACAGGGCACTGCCTTGAACAAAGTCAAACCATTGGTCCATCCAGCTCACAGCAAGTTCCAATGTTTGTTTTCCAATTGTACCTGGACATGCAAGGAATTGTTCTTAAAAACTAGGGAACAAACAAAACTTCCAGCAACTGGCAAACCCATCACCCAAACCCCCCCCCCCACAAAAAACCAACCATGATTGGGTCAGGCAAAGATCTAGTGAGTTGGCATCCGATTCAGATCTGGGAACAGCTTCCAGTTCCCAGTCTAAAGTGATCCTGTCAGGGTGCCTGCAAAGTGATTGATATGGTTAATACAAACTAGAGATTTCTGCTGAGCTGCCAGGCTGCACTCTTATCCCTGCCTTTGAGGACGAGAAGCCTGAGACAGCAACAACAAAAGCATCACAGGGAATGCCAGGCAGCTATTTTTGCCAGGGTAACTGGAAGAACTCAAATGGAAGAAAGACAAGACATGCATTTGCTATACCTTTTGTGTGTTATCACCAGAGCAGTTTTTTAAAAATTAAAAAAAGGCCTCTTTCTCTCAAATTTAATAAGCACAT